GATATCAAAAGACAAAAACAACTTAATTCGAGAAACAAAAGTTTGAGCTAGAACAAGCAGCGAAGGATGAAGAACAAAAGCGGGAATTGAAGCACAAAACTGAACTGTTAAATAAACAATTGGAATACCAGAAATCAATCAAGACATCAGCGAAAGAACAAGAAAAATCAACGTCTATTAAATTACCCAAATTACCCGTGACAAAATTTAATGGAAATTTTGAAAATTGGCCCCCGTTTTGGAATACATTCGAGGCAGAAATCGATAAATCTGACGTGCCTTCTGTGACCAAATTTGCGTTTTTGAAAGAATGGTTAGAGCCGAAAGTTAGAGCAGAAAGTTAGAGCAGAAATAGAAGCATTACCTTTTACCTCAGAAGGATATCAAAGAGCGAAAAACATACTTAAAAATATGGGAAAACAAGCGAGATAGTGAACTCTCACGTTCAAAACATAATGGGATTACCTGTTATTACAGACTCTAATCCTGCCAAAGTGAATGATTTTTACAAGAGCCTGTTATACAACACGCAAGTGCTGGAAACTCTGGGCAAGTTGGACAAAGTAAGCGGTATGACAAGGAGTGTACTGGAGAAACTCAAAGGAATTAAAGTAGATCTGATGAGAGGAAATGAGGGCTGGCAAGATTGGGACCTTACACGCCTTATCGTGGAGCTAAAGAAATGGAGAGATATTAATCCAGTTGATGAAAGCGGGAATACCAAGAAACAACGTAAGTCTGGATTTTATTATGCAAAGGACGGTGATCAATCATCGTAAACGAGCATGCGTTTATTGTGATGCTGAAACCCACAACTCGAAGGATTGCTTGACTGTAACTGACATCGATCAATGAAAGAAACTACTGGCAGAAAAGAAACATTGCTTTAATTGTACCGGAACTAAACATCGAGCAGCAGACTGCAAGAGTGTTCACAAATGTTCGAAATGTAATATGAAGCATCACTCATCAATATGTACAAAGAGGGATCAGCTTTTAACTGCGAGTGGATCGAATGGGGGTCCGTTAGTGTATCCAGTTGTAGTAGTAAGTGTCGAGGGTATAAAGTGTGGTGCGCTGTTAGATACCGGTTCAGGGAATTCGTACGCTTCAGCTGCCTTGTTGGATTTGCTGCCGAAACGAACTCGTAAAAAGGAAGTGAGACGTGTTGAGATGATGCTTGGCTCAGTAACGAAGGAAATGGAACTGTCAACTGTGTGTGTAGAGGCAGTGAATGGAGAATTTGCAATGGATGTGAGTGTTACGAAAGTCGACAAAGGAGAACTGCTAAATGTGGACAACCCAAACTATACAACACTGATAAATTCCTATCAACATCTCGATGGTGTGCAAATGGACGACAAAGACCAGAAACCAAAGCTACCGGTACATTTAATTCTGGGAGCAGGTGATTACATGCGTATCAAAACCAACAAAAAACCTCGGGTTGGTAAGATAGGTGAACCGGTCGCCGAAAAAACCAAGTTTGGCTGGACCATATTAGCTCAGGGCAAGGAGCTTGACTACTCTGCTATGTTTCTCACGCAGACGAGCCAATGCGACTATGAAGAACTGTGTCGGATGGACGTTCTTGGACTAGCAGACAACCCAGAACATGATCAACACGAGGAGTATGCCGAGTTTCGGGAACAGCTCACAAGAAGTGAAAAAGGGTTGTATGAAACGGGCCTTCCGTGGAAGGGCAATCACCCACAGTTGCCGAACAACTACAATGGAAGTCTACGACGACTCTCCAACCTGCAACGCAAGCTACAACAGAACGGTTTAACAGATAGCTACTCCAAGATCATTGACACCCAAAAGGCAGAAGGCATTGTGGAAGTTGCCAGTCAAGACCCCCAAGGAGTAGAGTTCTACATCCCCCACAAACCCGTGATAAGAGAAAGCGCTGAGTCAACAAAGGTGAGAATCGTCTACGACGCCTCAACCAAAGCCAACAGCGGAGCCCCTAGTCTAAACCAATGTTTGAATCCAGGCCCCCCACTGCAGAATGACCTTTGGAAGGTCTTGGTGAGAATGAGATTCCTCCCTGTAGCATTGTGCGGAGATATTAAACAAGCGTTCTTGCAAGTTCGGATAAGAGAAACGGACAGGGACGTACTCCGGTTTCACTGGAGTCCAGATGCGAGTCGTGAAGTCGAGACCTTAAGATTTACAAGAGCTTTGTTCAGGCTGACATCGTCACCATTTCTCCTCGGGGAAGTGATTGAACATCATCTGAAGTGTTGGGAAAGTAGGAAACCAGACGTAGTAGTTGAATTGCAAAAGAGCCTATACGTGGACGACTTAGTGAGCAGGAAGACAACAGTAGAGCAAGCACAGACAATGAAAGACGACGCGATAGCGATATTCAACGATGCTACATTCACGCTTCACAAGTGTCATTCGAACAGACGAGAGTTGGAAGAAACGATGAGCGACAATGAAGAGAAAACATTTGTGAAGCAACAACTTGGAACACCCAGTGAAGGAGAAGCTAGCATTCTGGGACTAGCTTGGTCAAAAGATAAAGATGAGTTAAAAGTCGTTGTTCCCTTGGGGGAAGTTACTACAACCAAGCGTGGGATTTTGAGTAAACTAGCTCGAATATATGATCCCCTCGGACTGTTATCACCAAGAACTTTACAAGGGAAGATAATTTATCGTGAAGTGTGTGAGAAGAAGATATCGTGGGATGCTCCGTTATCTGCTGAGCAAAAGAATGATTGGCTCAAATGGCAGAAGCAACTGCCAAACCATATAGCTGTGCCACGTTCAATACCCACCTTCCAGGAGGACATCGAGTCAATTGTATTGCATGCCTTTGGGGTGACGCAAGTGGCAAGGGTGTAGCAGCTGTTGTTTATGCTGTGGTTAACCAACCCTCTGGTACAACGCAAGGTCTAGTAGCAGCGAAGGTGAGATTGGCGAAACACGGGTTGACAATACCCAGGCTAGAGTTGGTCTCTGTACACATGGCGTCCAACCTCGTAGACAACGCACGACAAACCCTGGATGGATTTCCTGTGCAAGAAACGTATGGTTGGCTCGACAGTACAGTGGCGCTACACTGGATAAAGGGCGGGGGAGAGCATAAACAGTTCGTAGCCAATAGAATTAAAAAGATCCAGTCAAAACCTAACATACAGTGGCGCTATGTTCCGACCGATTGCAATCCTGCTGATGTGGGAAGCAGAGGTGGCCAAGTGAAAGACAACCAACTGTGGTTAAATGGACCAGATTGGCTTAAAGATAATCGTATGTGGCCACAAAATATCGTAACCTGTGCAACCAAAGAAAGCGAAGATGAAGCGAAGATGATCAAAACCGTGCTGGGATTGACCCAAGATAACTCGGACTGTTTTGACCACATCCTTGAGAAGTTTGCATTACGAAAAGCCATGAGAATATACGCGTGGATTACGAGGTTCATAACAAACCTGAGAAAACCCAATAGTAGAACTTTGGGACCACTAACGACTGATGAGCTCGAGCAGCAATATGTATTTTGGGAAAAGAAAGTACAACAGAGCTGTTGTAGCGAAGACGATAAGCTGCGACTCAATTTACAAGAGAACCCCCAAGGTATCCTGGAGTGCAGGGGACGCATTCAAGGTCATTATCCAGTTTATCTGTCAGACAAGCACATCTTTGCGACCAAGCTGGTGGAAGATGCCCATCTATGCACCATCATGGGGGAGTGGGGATGACCATGGCCCGAATTCGAGAACAGTAGTGGGTCCCACGACTTAGACAACTTACACGCAAAGTAATCAAGAAGTGTTACGGTTGTCGTAGATTCCAAGCGAAAGCAGTGCTACAACCACCACCTGGTATGCTGCCACCAGATAGAACTGAAGGGAGTCGTCCCTTTGAAACAATAGGCGTGGACTTTGCTGGTCCTATTAACTACATTAAGAAAAGGAAGGAAGAAGGAAAGGCATACATACTACTCTATGCCTGTAGCGTCACACGAGCGGTATATCTCGAGTTGATGCCCTGCTTACACACAAGAAAGTTTATCGAGAGTTTTAAGAAATTCATCGCAAGGAAAGGGAGACCAAGCAAAGTCTACTCTGACAATGCAAAAACGTTTGTTTCAGCAGCAAACTGGTTACGAACAGCTCAAAACGATGAAAAGTTAAACGAATTCCTCAGCAAGAATCGAATTAGATGGCAGTTCAACCTGAGTTGCGTCCCATGGTGGGGTGGCCAGTTCGAGCGCTTAATCGGATTGGTAAAAAGGGCTCTACATAAAACAATTGGCAAAGGGTCGCTGAGTTGGGACGAGCTGAAGGAGGTCCTCGTAGACATCGAAGTAGCATTGAATACAAGACCACTCAGCTACATGGAAGATGATGTACAGCTACCAACGCTAACGCCTAACTCCATGATGTTCATTGGTTCTACATTCGCGCCAGAGCTGGAAGCACATCACATACAAGAAAAGGGTCTACGCAAGCGTGCAAGGTATTTGTTAAAGTGCAAGCAAGCAATGTGGCGGAGATGGTCAACGGAATATCTGCGCGGTCTACGAGAGCGGCATAACCAAAATCACAAGACGTCGCCGTTCACGGTGAAAAAGGGTGACGTGGTTATTATACAATCGGATGAACGAAATCGTGGAAAGTGGCCTCTCGGTGTTGTCGACGAGCTGTACAAAGGACGTGATGGTTTTGTTCGTGCGGTGAAACTTCGTGCAGGAAAAACCTACCTTGAACGAGCAGTGAACCACCTGTATCCACTCGAGTTATCCTGTGACCGTACAGAAACAAAGGAACTTATCAACTTAAACCCGGAAGCGGCGTCGTTCCGACCAAGACGAGATGCTGCAGTGGCAGCTCAACAACGCATTAAAGAAGTAGCAGAAGTAGAACGTTGACGAAAACTATATAGTGCAAATTGAACACTGAACTTTTATAGAACTTTATCCTTTATTAGTACTGTTTGGTTAGACCAGTCTCCTTTGAGGAACATATACCTCGCTGCAAGGTATATGGGGGGAGAGTGTCGGAAACTGTCGTAATCTAGAATTAGTATTTATGTTCACGCGTGGGACGCGCGAGTCCAAACTTTAAACACTTCGGAAAGTTCCGGATTATACCGGTGGTTGTTTTTTCCAGGAGAGAACTTAAAAACATGTGGCTGTGAAACTGTGAAACTTGTGATTTTGTAATAGATATTATACTGTGTTTTGTTGTGATTTATTTTGGGCGATACTTGGAGGCAATCCCCAACACACCTGTTGTGTTATAAACGACCATTTATCATAATTGAGAAAATCATGATGAATTTCTGGCACTTGTTTCCAAATATCTTCCAATGAAAGTAGTTTGCCATCTAGAGTGGTATAAGAAAGTGGAAGTGAATGATCATTAGTTTAATTTAAACATGGTAAAGACCATACTACACGACAGTCGTGTAACTCCTTTGGGCGCCGCCCGGCTCAAGCCATGGGTTCCAGGTATAGGGGCCCCTGAGCAAGGATGGCAAAGTGGCGAAGTTGAAATATTCCAGCAAATTTTAGCGTAACCCTCCTCCCCCCAGTTAAATACATGGGTAGGACAAGGATTCAGGGCCCCTTTAGTACAAAATTACGTCACTGCTAGTGTACGAGCTTACACGAGCATACTGCTACATGATCCTGTAATATTCAACGGTATTTCAGATACAGAGCAATGTAACTAACTCGCAAGCAGACATCGATATCATTGTTTTACATGGCCACCAAGGAAGGTCTCCAACCTCGTTCCCAGTGTCTCACCTCCGCACACACCCCAGATGGGGGCATGACGGAAGTGAGACCCTGTAAAACAGGCTGAAGTGCGAAAACGACTGAAATAAGTTTCCGCAACCATCTTCGGACCTTACGAAAAATAGTACTTTATGAAGAATGGATCAGTGTTGCTAAGGAACCGGACCACCGCGGTCATTATTTATGGCGGGGAAAGGGGGTAGCACCGAAGAGAGATGTTTTTCGTGGCAAAAATTTTGCTTGTCCAACCATTAAAAAGTTAAAAAAATTTTACCCAACCTCAAATATCAATTAAAAAATTTTGCTTGTCCAACCATTAAAAAGTTAAAAAAATTTTACCCAACCTCAAATATCAATTAAAAAATAGATACCCACACCCGGCCAAAAACGTTTCAAAAGGATATACCATTCAGTTGTCACATACTGTATGTCTTTTAACACTTCTGTTGGAATGCAATTGTGCAATTTTGTGCAGTGTAATATTTCATTTTGGTCACACATGCATTTTCTTTGAAGACACCATTTGCATGCCTCCTGACAAATCGGCGAATGATCAAGATAGTGACTCTGATTAATTTACATATTGTATGGGCATATGACTGTTGACACTGCTTTTTAGTTTTCAATATTTGAGTAAGTCATGCTTTGGAAATGACAATACATTTTATTACCCAACCCTTGAGTTTTTCACTGACCCAACCTTTTATTCACCCCAAAGTTTTGTTTACCCAACCCTTTTCTCTTCGGTGCCCCCAAATAATGACCGGTCCATCCCTGTTTCCAGGGCCACGCCTAGTGACGAAATTTATTTACTCTCAATCAGGTTTTCCAGTCCTGGAACTGATGAATATCTACATTGCTACAACTTGTTCAAAATTACTTGATCAGAGTGCAAGTTTTTGTTTTCATAATGCACAATTGTAGAACGACTAATTTACAATAAACGTACCTTGTGTCCACGCAGAAAAATAGAGAACAGGAACACTATAGCTGGGGCTGTATACAACATGGTATTCAAATGTTAAAATCTTTTTCAATTGGTCCGTATTACTTGAATATACCTAGAAACAAGTCACAGGTAAATACGTCTGGACGAAGGATCATGGTTAGTTTGCCCGAAACGTCAGCGAGATAACGACCTTGAGAAATATTCTTTCAAAATCAAGCTGAAAACCGCAAAACTACGATCCTTAAGCACGAAGAGCACAATGGACGAGGATGTGTTGGATGAGGACATGGAAGTTGCGTTTTGCAAAATGCTGCAAACAAATCGAGGCATAAACACGTGGACTGTGCTTTTCGCGCTTAGGGTCGAGGTGTTGAGGTTGTGAGTTTTGACCTTCACAAGGCAATAACCTTAATTGTTTAATAAGGCTGCATGCTGAAGATTATTAACTGTTCTCCTTATAGAAGTACACGGGCCAACCAAGGACAATTATAAATCCAACATTCTGATTGGCTACTCAACCATGGACCATTACGTAACGGACCACGGTTGAGAAAAAAAATGGCGGAAAACGTTTGTTTTGCAAAGGTTTTGAGGGAATTTTGTCGAAAATCCTTTCACCGGATTGTTTGCAAAAAGTAAACATATAAAAACCACAAGCAAAGCATGCGAAGGTTGAAAGAAATCATTTAAACGCTCGTGTATACTTTTAAATCTTATTTAATCTTTCCAGCTGTGCTTGGAGTTTGTATTTTGAGTAGGAGTGTTTGCTAAAACAATTAGACAACTCGGCCTCGTTATTTATGGCGAATAGTCAATCAGGCTACGCTTTCGTTGACTATAGTATTCGCTCATAGACAACTCAGTCTCGTTGTCTAATTAAAACGAAAAGAAAACCAGAATACACGAAAGAAACCAGAGTACACGAAGGAAACCATAGTACACGGAGGAGACCAGAGTACACGGAGGAAACCTGAGTTACTGAATACACGGAGGAAACTAGAGTACACCGAGGAAACCAGAATACACGAAAGAAACCAGAGTACACAGTGGAAACCAGAGTATACACGAAGGAAACCAGAGAAGACGAAGAATACACGGAGGTACCAGAGTACACGGAGGAAACCAGAGTACGCAGAGGAAACTAGAATACACGGAGGAAACCAGAGTACATGCACGGAAGAAACCAGAGTACACGGAGGAAACTAGAGTATATGAAGGAAACCAGAATACACGGAGGAAACCAGAGTATACGGAAGAAACCAGAGTACACGAGGGAAACTAGAGTATATGAAGGAAACTACATTACCTCCCTGAACTGCAGTTGTTTAGATCCACCATAGGAATCTTTTCCTCCATATGTATTGTGACCTGGTGAAAGTTTTGGGTTCACCAAGAGCGCTTTCCATTGGCCAGACTGGTCTTTCCATTAACATAGAGACAGAAATGCTTGTCTAACCGGTGTGGTCATGGAAAGCGCCCCCCAGGTCTATCATTACAGAAAAATATCTACAAACTGGGTGCATTGCATATGGCATACAGTGTATTAATAGTTAAGATAGTATAAGATGAACGTGTTTAACTTACAGAACTATCAAATGTGTTTTCCTTCAAATACTCTTCTGTATCATCGGCCAGATTTTCAAATTCTGTCTTGCATGTGTTTTCAACCGTCGTTGCAATGGTCTGCCTTTTCGCTAAATATATTTGGTCAGGAGCATTCTACAAAATACATGTTTGTGTGGACATTCAGATTAAAGTTCTTTGAAGTGAAGTCAACTTTGCAGTTACACCAAAGTGATGCGCGCATACAAGGTACTACCAATTGATATTCGCTGTTATTACACGAATAAAATTCAGTTGGAACGAGCAGTGTGTAGGTTTTGCAAAGCAAATAAATAAAATATACACAGTCACATTATATATATATATAAAGGACACTGTAAGTCTCAGTCCTACTCCTGAATGCAAGTTGGTCAGATGCATAGATCGTTACGCTTGGAGAAGTCTTAGAAAAGGTGACCTAACCAAAGCTCGTCTCTATCAATCGCAGTTGGTTAACCGCGATAAACGGGCATGTTCAAGGTGGCCAAACAACATCGAAGATAGTGAGGTTGTCACCCATCTCAAAGTCGAATGGTGTAAACTGTCAAGACTGAATCTCAGCAATTTCGCTCTCAGAGGAGTCCGCTTAAAGCGCGCAGTGCTGGTTACATCTTCTACTGGTCAGGAGCACCAGAAACAAAGAGATAAGACTTCAGGCATCGGATTCATGATCGAGGACTAAATTGCCTCCACGAACGATACGGGTCATGCTCCAACACACGTTTTAAACCGTTTGCACAACCTGCTAACCAGCTCTGCAGACCGGACACGGGACAAGGTCTTAAGCAAAGATTCAGAACCCTGCAAAGGAATACTTGGGAAACATAGCCTGGGAAACACAGTGTTAAAACGGCAACGACAACGTCCATGGGCGCTTGTTTTTGGAGTTTTGCCCAATGTAGAATATCACATCAACTATCGTTTCGTTCGTCTTCACTTCAAACCAAACCCAAAGAAAGGAAGTGCTTCAAGGAAAAAGCTGAAGGTTGGTACATTCCAAACTTTAGTGGATGTCGAGGCTTGAGAAATCCAGTAGTTCTACAAATCCCTCCCATGGATTGTTTTGGAAACTCCTAAAAACTGCCATTCTGTGGACATCTGAAAAAGGTCGTCCCGGGTTCTCTGCGTAGGACACTGATGAAAAGACTGGTTTGTTATGAATAACTAGGGGATTGAAGTATATTGCTAGCGAAAAAGAGATCTAAATCTGCGCACCAAGCCCATTTAGCTCAGCCATCTTGAACTGAGAAGAAAACTCAACTTTACCCGACATTGGTGACTCCAGGGGATTGTATGAAGACCTCAAGGCTGTGTATGGCCCCTGATATCAGGTCCAGAGTTCTTTGCGCAGTGCAGATGAGCAGGCACTGCTCACATACAAGGTATTAATCCTGAACTGCTGGTGCTAACACTTCCAGATGTCCTTTATGGCCAACTGCACGGCCCACGACTCAGCAATTCTTCACATCCGTAGATAACCAGTGAAAACATAACTGGAGAAGTTAGTGGAACTGTGGAAATTAATGGCATTTCGCATGGTTTTCGCACGGGGAATAGGGGTGGGTGTCAGCATTGTCCATGCGAAACTCAAGGAGCTCTAGCTTCATTTGTTGCTGAGAGAAGGGAGAACTCCCATATGATTTACTGTTTTCAATCTGACCAAAGCGTAAGCAAAAAAGGGCTCATCCTGCAAGAGTAAGACACGGCTGCCCCTCAATTCCTCCAGCGTCGTAAAGATCAGTCACAGAAACGACCTCTCTAAGATTGTCTATATTGTAAACGCCATCAAGCAGTTTGTACATCATCTTCTTTACCTGATGATGCTGGAACAGGCGGCAAACAAAGGCAGCGTCTACATTCGCTATCGCACTGATGACAGCTAGCCTGTTCGACCTGAGAGCGAGGCGCCTGCAGGCACACACACACAAAGACTCTGGAGCAACTGATCTGAATGGTGTCACTTGCTGAAGGAAGAACTTCGAAGCTACACTGAGTCAAGACCAGTAATCAATATTTCATCCTGGCATAACCCAGAATAAACCTTAGTATTTATTGCAAGATCCTTAGTTTTATAGCTTTTCAAGATTTTAATTTCAACGGTTGAAGAAATCCGGTGATAGCACGGGATTTGCAATTTAAGAACCTATTGCACCCTCTGAAAAGAAGTTCTTCCATTTAAAACTTTTTCATCATCCAAGGTAATGAAGAGTGAGATGTAGAGAAAGAGGTTCAAGAAAAGCAAGTGAAATATTATATAATATCTCGGACGCGGTCGGTTGTAAAGCATATATATACAACTATCTACTACAATCTGGAAAATACAAACAGAACTTCGACCTTTCGAGAAAGGCCTTTCGTGGAGGAAAGGGCTTTTCGTGAATTGGGAAAATTACATGACATTTGTGCTTTTATACAGTGAAAAAGCATACGTAATTTTCCCAATTCACGCGCTACTAACTTGCGCGACGAAGGGCCTTCGCTCGAAACGTCGAAGTCATTCTGTTTATATTTTGAGGTATAGTGGTATATAACAACTTAACATTTTTTTATAAATGCAACTACGGTCTCACAGATCTTGACACATCACTTTATGTTGAAACTACAGTAGGCAGGACACGCGCGGGCACCTCTGGCCTAAGAACACAAGCTTGTAAAACTAATTTTCAAAGTTCTTACCTCGTTAGGATTGTAAAAATGTGGAACTATATGTAAACTCTCCTCCTTCTAACTGCTGCGACACTCTCTCCACCTTTAAATCATACCTACACAAGACTTACCTCCACCTGACTGCTACTGCCTAGTGACACTCCTAACTTACGGCCTAGCTCACACTCATTGATCACAACTAACTAATATCTTCCAGGTCATTCATTCTACCACTTCTCTCTTCTGTGCTTCTAGTTTTCCATTCACCTTCTAATTTTCTATTCTATATTTTTCTTGCTCTTCTATACTATCTCATTTAGTGGTGTGCACCATGCATATGGGACCTACAGTAGTCTCGTTTGTGTTTCGCCACTTTTGGCACCTTACTATTCTCCATATTCTTGTTCAATGTAATTATGTATGTAAGTTATGTACAATATTGTCAAGTTATCTACAGTACGTACCAAATTAAAGTTGTTAAATAAATAAATATGCTTAAAAGTAATGCGTACGGCAGCTGTCTATAAAACATTATATATTTAACATGTGAAATATTATATATATGTTCTTTCTCTCATATTCTTCATTAATATATCGTGTTCCTATCTTGAATATTTCGACACATTATAAGACATTTTTAAAGTTTTTAAACACAATCTTTGCCCCTTTGCCAAAATATAGCAAAAACCTACTTAGGGGAACCTGCTCACATCCACTTCTCCACTTTGTTCAATTTTTGGCAGGAATCTCCTCTAGAATTTTTTAGAAATACCCATTCGCAGGCTATAACATATAGAGATCAGAGATGCCTGCAGAGGAGGCTATGATGTCAAGATTAACACTGGCACAGACAAAGTTTATATTTTATATTACAATTATATTACAGTTGCTGAGAGCACTTGAATAAGGGTTTTACAAGGTGCTATATATTAGGCATACATGAAGTACTGCTAATGAATAAGTGAAATATGAAGGATCTGTGTTGGAAAAAGCATCACAGTGCCGGATTAACAATATGGCAGAAGTGGCATATGTCATGGGCCCTGCACTTTTGGGGGGCCCCGCGAAAGAGACGCCAATGGCAAATCACAAATGCGGTACATGTTCATGCAATCATGTATATGGATGTTGCCCATGTTGTTTACCTAGTTTGCATGACTTCTAATCTTTATACCCTGGGGCTTCGGTGGCGAAGTGGTTAGCACACTTGCCTTTCACCTCTAAGGCCGCAGGTTCAAACCTCATTGGGAACTTTAATCCCAATGCGACTCAAACCCAAAGTCAACGCTCTGCCGAAAGTTGTGGGTTTTCTCTGGGTACTCCGGTTTCCTCCCACAGAGAAAGTTGATAGGGTGGGTTAGATAAAAGGGCCCACAGTAATTGGCATATGCTGTTGTGGTGACCATGCCCTAGTTGGCAAAGCTTAAATTATAAAAAATTTAAAAAAATAAAAAGAATATATAATATTAATGCTAGAAACTGGGTTGATTTTTTTGTAAATACATGGCCAACTTTTCAACTCATGAAATACAAAAGGATTTTTGAATCTTTCTGAATTCAGTGTTTAAAATGTTGTTGGGGGGGGGGGGGTCAAGGTGCCCCGAGCTGATAATATACCATGGGCCCGCGTCTGTCAGCACGTAACTTCACTTAGAATATACAAAATGGAGATGCTTGGAAATCGATTGTTGACAGTCAAATAAAATGAGGCATGCAACTTAATAATAGAACTCTGCATTAAGCTGCAATTACTTGTGAACGGGCGAATCTAAGATTGAATTTGAAAAGTCATATTTACCTCAACATGACGAACACACCAGTTTTCATTCAAGATTTGGCATTTTTCAACAAACTTATCAATGGCATTATTAAACTGCTCTCTTGTCAGACTACCATCACTCATTCTGCAGTTCTATGGTACAGTGCTGATGTCATTGTCTCACAAGAAGTCTGGGATCTAATTATAAATTCCTGCCATTCTTTAAATTCCACCCTACTCTGGTAATGGAATTGTTGGAATTGAACCAAGGCCATGGTCAAGTGGTCACCCAATAGATTATATTGTGAATGTAGATAGCTTCTCAATGAATAAAGATATAAATAAATAAACCGTAATCTGCAGGTAATTAATGTACTGTTGCCGCCTCCACTCGCAGAACACAGGCAAAGAACGCCTTAGAACGGGTAGCTGTGGTATTAGGAGCAATTATAATGTACAAGAGTAAACTAGAGTACTTCTTGCACTGATAGACAGTCGCTCTTCATCTTCCTTCTGAGGCATAATTTCATAAAATACGAGAAATTTAATCAGTGTACAAATCAAAAATAAGTCCAGCGCTAGCGATGTGTTTATATCATCGTCGAATACAAACTATTTAGTCATCAATGTGTGGTAACACCCCAGGGTTTTATAACAAAGAATTATTTAACGTGTACAGTTCTTGCTTACTTTACGCCATGTTTTGATTCGTTGCACACCGATAGTGGGCGACCTTGCGGTTTGCAGGTCAAGGGCAGTTCATGCATCATTTCGTAGGCTATAATTATTGTAAAAAATCTCGGACTTTTGCTCTTAATATCAAAACATTACTCTTGAATATACTTTGTTTAAAGACATTAGAATACGTTTTTTCAGGTTGTTATGTCTGAGTGATAGAACTCTATTTGTCATTTTAACTTATTTTGCTATTGTTTATACAAAGTCAGCTTAAAATACTCACTGTAGTTAAATATTAACAGCAAACGGTCAAGCTGACACAAATATTCAAATATCAAAGTCTGTATTCTATATTCAAGATTAATTCCTACAAAGAAATGTTTCTAAAACAATTATATGAATATCGATTACATTTTTGTTTAATTTCGTATTTGGCATATCTCCCACTTGCCCGGGGAAGCCACTTGAGTGTATATAGTTGTAAATTTCACACTACTTGGCGATTTCAAAATTTCCCGACACGACAGTAAAATAATTTATATAAATAATTTCACTTGCTATAGTTTAGTCAAAATCAAAGAATTAAATAGCACAGAGCTTTGTTTTAGAAAAGACATTTCGTTTTGTGTTCGTTTTTGACGAAAGCACTTTGTGTGTCTTTTGTTTCGAGATCACGATTTGTTCGAATGAACCAATTAGAATGTTTCTTTTTGACAAGCGATCGTGATCGTTGTCATGGTACATTGGCCTTGGGTTCGGCGGCGTTCGTTTCGAGCATGATGGAGCTATCAACTGATCCTACGTTGACAGGCAGGCACAGCATGTTCTCAAAAGGCAAGACGAATACTGTCCCGTCAGACGCTCAGGCGAGAGAAAAGTAAGCCGCATTGAAATTTTCTAACACTTGAGTGAGCAATTTCGATTCTGCAACATCGAAAACACCAGATGACGTGTTGTTGATGTGTCGGTTTTGTGAATTATATACTCTTGAGTGGTCGAATTATTCCCGCCGTATTGTGTATATTTGAACGCCGCACACTATATTTCTACATTAATGTACAGCACTCATTGCTTCGTATATATTTCTTTAGACTTGCACTGTATGTCTACGAATATCTACTCCATGTTGGCGCACAAAAGAGTGCTCAAACGTTTCTCAGCGAGGTTCGTATGAATGCTAGTATTGCAAGCATCTCTTATTCTGTTTGTATTTGCTTTCTACTCACTTGACACATTGTGAACCATTTATATTGTATTGTAGATACGATGGGAAAAGAATATAACATTAGGAGAACCGCCAGGATTTCTTCATTCTTGGTGGTGGTAAGCTATATATTTCTTGCTAGCCTGTGTGTACGAGTGCCATTCGATATGTGTAATTGAAACATGTTTAATAGTACAATTTCATACGTTAAGCCACGGGCAAGTGCTGGTAACAAATTATGTATAACAGTTCAGTTTATAATGTGGATTTAGTATCTTGTAAACTTTCAGTAAACTTCTACTGTAATATATTTTCATTCGTTTTATTAATACAACATGGCTTCTCTTCCAGTGTATTTTGGGATCTCTACTGTGCTTCGCCGGAACGGAGAGAAAGCTATGATCATTCAAGCGAAGCTAAAGCTTTCCATGATTATGTGAGTATTTATGTGAGACAATCGGGTTTTTAAAACACTCTCAATTCATTTAAAAGTTGTAATAAAATTTGTCAAGCTGAACGCAAAAGCATGAATGCGAAAGTACTTTACTCCCGTCCTTTGTTTGACCTGTCGGGAGAACGGAAGAGCAAAAATCCACGTGAATGAACCAAAGCAGCTGGTTAATGCCGGCGAGAAGTATTATTTTTATTATCAAGTGCACAACAAAGTCAAATGTTTCGCAACGGTCTGGTCCGGTCGTGTAATAAAACAACTTTATTTAACAACAAAATTATAACAGGTGAAAAGTACGTACAGCCACAGTTAAGTATTCTTATGTCAGCGGCTAGCTAGTTTTGGCTTTACCTTTTAAAGTCGTTTCTCTCAACGGCTATTAAAATCAAGCATGCGGGCATGACTGCTATATTGTTTCGTCTATGAAGGAGAGAAAATTAGGAGTGATTTTCTCAATAATTTTGAGAATTTCTGCACTCTTTATAATCCGTCGTATTAAATTGTACACGAACGGAAGTGAAAATTGAGATGCTCAAATTTCTTCAAGACATCCACTTGACAAACTTGGAAATAATTTATGATGCCAGCATTCTTAGGCCATCTTATTTTTCTATTGCCATATATTGCATTAAATACAGTGCTGCAATGCAGTGAGGCTTAAAAACCATAGTGCATACACTATTTATAGTCAAAGCAATGTCGTAATTTGTAAGCGCTTGGCGCTTGCACACTTCGTTCATGTGTTGACCGAAAATTACAAAATATTGAACGTTTTAGCATTTTAATCATATCACTAATGCTAGTAATACACTAAACTTTGTCTGTGGTTTATCTGAAACACTATCGCTCATGAATGACTATTTTCAAATCAAGCTGTGAGTTGACTACAAGGTTTACTATTATTACAGTACGTACATTGTAAGAGTTTGCTATGGACTTGCCAAATCTGGTAAATTAATTTTCCAATCTTCCCTTGAGCACCAATGTCTATTGCACGAGATACTATATTGAGATCTAATTTGGCAAGTGATTAAGAACTATTTATTACAGTTTTCATGAAATGTAATGTAAAATATCATGCTTATTGGTGATAAGTTGTTGAAAGTTTATAATAATAAACACAACTCAATGTTTACAACTCATCTTACTCAAGAGGGGCGCAATATTTTGAGATTTATACTCAAGTTTTGTTACAGTATTATATAAAGAAATGCCAGATTTATATTGTAGTATTGTAGTGTTTTTAAATTTAAATGCACATGTTTCGAAGAGCTAGGGTTTAATATATGCTTTCTTTATTTTTGTATTTGAATATATGTCAAAATCTATTGTTCCTAGCTTTATGTGGCAGGTGTTTGACTAGTCAAGACATTGTCTTGCATCTATTCATGGCTGGCGAACCTTGCATCACCTTTGCTTTGCTGTATTTGTCAATTTTAAACAATATTTTCACGAACAAAATATTGAATTTTTCAGCTTTACTTCCCAATAACTTATAATTTCAATGTATTTTTCAATATTCTTTGCCTGTGGGTCTTTAATATTTCATTATAAATTTTCAAGTATTCATGCAAATAGTTTAGTCCTATATTGCTCTCAGACTACAGCAAAAACAAAAATAATTGTGCCCTGTTGCATTATCTTGATATAATATTGCAGCAACATATTTTTATCCCATGAATGCATGTTTATATAGAGAGGCAGGACAACATGTTTGCCGGGATTGGAGAATGATTTTGAGATCCATGTATACATTTCTTTTAAATATTTATATGCAAGTGTTAAATGTTTTTCTCCTGGGCAAGGTTCCAGCAGATCCAGCCTCAAGCAGAACATTTTTTGCCATGTGAGTGCTGCATAATCATGTGACCTGTTGCAGGACAATTTTTCAGGATGATGAAATGTTAAATTGTAATTATTTGACCACCTTCCTGTTCTGTGTTCTTTAAGGTGAATTACAAGTATAACACAAATTTCAACATCAATTTTTATACGTTGAAACTATTTTATGAGATCCCATTATCGTGCCCAAGAAAACTTCCCATTGCGAATTCACATATGACAGGAAACCCAGGATAAAAATATATCCTGTCCCCGAAAGCAAATGCCCTGCTACTGACAGTGCCTTAAGGCCCCTAATTCATGTGCAAGATTCTCTTTGATAACTTACCCACACTGAGTTGCATTGTGCCAATCGATGTGCCCCAGTGCGCAGTGTTTATTATTTTGCTCTGTCTAATGCCAGATGATTTTTACTCTCAAGGGAGAGTGCTACAGCTCAATGGGTTAATCAGACTATCTGCCCATGCATCTAGCTAACCCATTGAGTTGCATTGTGGCCAGTGCAGTCCTACTTTATTATTTTAGTCTGCCTAACCTAAACGCCAGACAATTTTACTCATCAAGAGGAGGGCACTGTCTTGCAATGGGTCAAATATAAAATGTTGTGTCAAGTGTCATCATGTGGATTGTGGATTGTCATATGCAGGGATGGATTTATTGGGAAGGGGGGCATCCCAGTAGTCTTGGAAAAAGAGGGGTGCCAATTAATTTATCACATCCTTACCACATGCAGCTACTAACCTCTGGACCGTGCCAGCAAAATACTGCTGCTTGCAGCTCCCTCTATTGATTATGCACTAGGCCAATGTTTGCACCCTGTCAACCAATTGAATTGACCATGCAAGGCTCGATAAGTACACCCTACCAGATGCTGGAATATTTTTTGCTTGATTTTACTCAATCCATGGGTGGGGAGAATACAAGAAATTGACTGAATATAGCAAGATTTGAGATGTTTTGTATGGGAGTGGCACCTTGAAAACAGGGAATATAAATCTCTGGAACTAGGATACAATTGGTTGTATTATATAATAAAACCTGAATGTTTTATCAACTTGCTATTTAGGTAATTCCAAACCTGCAGCCTGGGGCTGTGCCTTCACCTCCATTTCCACAAATGACCAATGACAATTCAGGAAATGTAGCAGGAATACCTGGTTATTATCCGGTAAACATAAATGTTGTTTTTATACTAATAATTCACAATCATACTGTATTATGGCATACATAATACCATTCAATTTGTACATATGATTTTCTTTTTTAGCCTAGTTCATCACAAGGTCCACAACCTTCAACTCTCCATGGGGGACCTACACCACCTGGTTTCATGCCTGGACAACCGGTAGGTGAATATTTGAAGTTGTCCTGACAGTACAATTATAATTAGTTAAACTAATAGTAATCAATTCTTTTTCTCATTGTTTTAGAATCCTTCATTCATGGGACCTGCACAGGTAAGATAATATAGTATACCAATATACTTATTATTCCCCTGACTTGCAAAAGCATTGTTAGACAAACATGCAGAATTTGATGTGGCACAGACTATATGTTTGCCATTAATAGTATGTAGGTAGAGTTTTAGTAAAGTAGTGAACTTTTTTATTATACAGTATATTTATTGAAGTTTAGAGAGAGTCTTTTCCATATAATATTACTATCTATATATTGTGCCACTAGAGTATATAATGTTACAGACAGGGCTAGATTTTGGTGTACTGTAAATAATGCTAGGGGGGATGGAATATTTTTGGGGAGATGCAGCAGTCTGGGTTAGGGTTTACAACATGCCGCTCTGAAGTCAACAACATTACTGCATGCATGTAATGTATATTACTACAGTACCTAGTATCAATACTGTATTTATGAATTATGTCTGTATGACTGCAAAATTTGCGCTAAAAGGCTAATTGAAACATAGATAAATGCAATTTTTAGAAGAAAGTGATCAGACCTTAAAATAATTTGACTTAATTTGAATGATCAAGGGGAGGTGAATGAGTTTTTAGGGGAGGTGAAACAATTCTCAGGGGAGGTGCAAGACAATCTCAGGGAAGGTGTGTACCTCCCCTCAAAATCTGGCCATATGGTTACAAAATATACAAAGATCAAATCTATACTGTATGTGCCAGTGGCAATCACTATTCAGATCATTGAGGGGGTATATGTATTTAGGTTGTTAACATATTCTAACCTCTTTAATTGTTGCTGTAAGTTTTAGTCCTCAAATATTTTACACTTACCTCAAATATTAAATGATAATTATTTTAATTTGCTAATTAAACAGATATCTGTCTTAGTGGTTAGTAAAGTTACACGGCTGGCTTCAATTGTAGAAAATTACAGCTTGTTAATCAGCTAGTTTTTAGAGACTTAAAGGAAATATTGGAGTTGGGTGCCTTTCCTGCCCATTGTGTTCACCACTGATAGAGGCATTTGGGTTATTTGGATTAGGTTCATTTGTGTTTCGAATTAAAATTTATGCCGACATATTTTATACTCTAAGTGATTTGTATTGTTCTAATTGAAAGAAACAGTTACATTATTTAGTTTGCCCCAAAAGAATAGTCATTTCAATAGTCAGTTCTCTGTAAAAGTTCCTGTTTGGCACATTACCAACTTCTAATGCAGTAACGGTACAAATTTCGCCTACAAATTTTATTGCCTGGACAGTCATTAGAAAGTAAAGATAGTAATTATATTTATCCTGGATACCCACTACATCACATTCGTGTTTTTTAGTGGGGTCCTGCATCAAAATTACAATTATTTACAATATTAATTGTCAACATTTAAACCGTATGAAAATGCGATATAAATATTGTACAGTAAGTACCGCGATTACCCAGCCCCAGGGCTCTCAGAATTATTCTGATTAGGTAGCTGTGTTCGAGGCTGTGTAATTGATAAAGTAAGTGGCTGTGGAGTCTTTATAGATGCGACACAACTGAGCTCTATAACCGATCAGTCCTTGAAACTCAGGTCGGCATTCGGCAATGCCGATCTAAATGCCGACCTGCAAAGCGATATCTGTAGATTTAGGTCGGCAAAATTTTGCCGACCTACTTTCAAATATGTCTCTGCATTTTTTTCCGCGAACTCATCTTTCACACACGCATTTTCAACGATGATGTTTTAATTATCAGGTTTTGATCATTAGCTTGTGTAGTCACATTGCAGTTTCATTGTTGAAAACTTTGAAAAGTAAACATGCGTATTAAAATCGTCGAGCTTCAAGATTTAAACGAAAGTATATGGTAATAAAGTAGTGTACGGTCTGTCACAACATTTGGTCACAACATGCATGCACTGTTTAATTGGAGTTCATACATTTTGTTAGTTGTTTTGTTTGCTGGCATTGATTGCTGTTTATAAATACACGTATTTGCAGCAAGAAAATTAAATTTTCATTTGGATATTTTCTATTTGTTTTGAAAATATTTGCCGACCTAGATTGAGAATTATCGCTTTTAGGTCGGCAATTTCTTGCCGACCTGAAATTTCGGAGTTTCAAGGACTGACCGATGTATAACGTATCACTACTTTCGTTCTTCAACAAGATAACTTCAAGATTTAAAATGGCAGGTTACTAAATCAGTTTTACGAAATAGTACGTCGTTTTCAAAAATAACCACAAAGTAGGCAACGTTGAGGAAAAATAACTTTGTTTGAAAGCTTGGAGTGCATGCATGGACGACCCATTTAAGTTTCGTTATTTTTATTCACACATAATGATAAACAAGACGGAGGAATAGAGAAATACGTAGGTTACATTGGCCCATGATTATCCTAATCGAAAATTTAAAATGTTTTCGAAGACATGATTTAAAATGCATGAGAAAAGAAGACCAGAGGTCAAGAACCTCCTCTTGTGCAGTGGTACACGCGAGGAAAGCGGTATTACTGTAAATTTCGTTGGAAAACAAAATAATCCCAAGAGATCATATAGTTGTGTGTATGTGTAGACGCATGGACAATCACACCACAATGTTAAGATATACTTACGATAGAGGACCGTTACAAAAAATTACTTTTGCAGCCCAGTATTGGTCCCCTAAAAAACGAAAGGTATTTGGATTTGTTACAGTAGTACGAGCCCAGAACCTGCACTGCTTGTTACTGACGATGGATAATAGAGAGAGTAAGCTCCAACAAATTATACTTGCAAAAAAAACCCTGAAATGAAACTGCCACATGGTGGCGATAGTAAAGTTATAAAATAACATGTATATAACGCGTGCTCTGATTGGTCGAAACCCGTGTTTGGATCAGGCCATCCAAACACGGAAATTTAAAGTGAAAGTTTTTTAAAGTAAAATTTTAACACGGAAAGTTGTTATTTTATAAAACAATTACTTTATGGTTTCCGTGTTTGGATGGCCTGATCCTAACACTTGGGAATGTTGCTCGAGTCAAGAAAAGCGCGCAAAATCACTCGCCTTCTGCTCGTGATTTCGCGCGCTTTTCTTAACTCTCGCAGCATTCCCGCGTGTTTGGATCAGGCCATCCAAACACGGAAACCATAAAGTAATTGTATACTAATAAACGCCTACTTTGTTTGAGAGAATGCCGCAGAGCCAAGGCTGGCCTTAAATGCTACTAGACAAGAATAAGAAAACTGCTAGAGTGTACAACACAGATATGGAGTGGGCTGCCACATTTATCTGTACAAATATATTTCAATCCCTGTATTTAGAATTTCATGGCTCAACGATATCAGTCAAGATCTTCTGTTAGATTACCTGGACAGGTATGTTATCACCATATTTTCAATGTTCGGTTGTAGGTGATGGCGATGAACCATAATCATACCCAAAACCGGATTTTGGTGCAAGGAAATAGTGGGGGAGGTGGAAAAAATTTAGGGGAGGTGCAGCGGTTTCGATCACGACCCTCATGGAAAGTTAGGGCTTAGAAAGGGCCAAAGTCAACGACGTGACGTATGCATGTAGTGTATAGTACATATGTATCAGCTAGTGTATTAATTAATTATGACTGTAGAACTCATCCAATTTTACCTTCATTACAATCACTACAAAGTTTCTTTCGAAACATTGCATTAAAAGGGTACTTGACACAGAGATGAATGGCTATCACTGTTTCAATTTTACAGAAAAACTTTCTTACGAAGTGTAGACCCTAAGCAACCAAAAAATGTCAAATTGTCACTTTGATCTATCATTGAAACTTTCCCAAGAAGAGGTGCATGATGTTTCAGGGGAGGTGCAAAAATTCTCAGGGGAGGTGCAAACCGATCTCAGGGGAGGTGCAAACCGATCTCAGGGTTCTCAATATCCGGCCATGATCATGAAACATAGAAGTTCACCCATGTCAGGGCTCCGGAACCACATAGGACATCAGGGAGTGGTCACAACTCCTCGCTCATGAGGGCTAGTTGGTGTCTTTTTTTAAAGTTGCATTCCTTAGTTATGGCGATAGTGACAGGAAAACAAAGGAAATGCAGTCGTAGAGGAAATATGCAACGTTAGCTGCGACGTCCCGAGCCCAGAAAGCTACTATTCATCATGTTCAAAGTTGGTATAAAGTGTCCTTCCTGGCTGAAAGAGTTACGTCCGCTGTCCTGAATTTCTGGCGCCTCTGCATAGATTGTCATGGTCAAGTAGGATATCCCCCAAGAGGATAAAATTAAAATACTTGCCGGGTGCGGAAATTACTTTTCGGAACAAGTACTTGCGTATTATGGTTTCGATAGTGATTTACTCCATGGGCAAAAATGTTTATGCAAACCGCGAATTCGGTCTTATAAGTGTGTACTCATTACGTTCGAGAAAATATAACGTTTTGTCTTGGAGCAATAGAAAGGTGTCCGTTTTGTAAATAGTTGTAGAGGACTATTTTAGCCGTATAAAAATGTGGCATGAAAATGCGTTGAACATTATTTGGGAATTAAGGTTGTCTGCTGTATACCTCGCAAAAGTTTTGAACTTTAATCTCTCAGAATTACCATTTCCTGCATTCGGAGATATTCTTTACTTTCCGATAAATGCGCGCCTTCCATTGGTACTTGTGCCTTTACACTGACGGAATCGCCCTGTTTAAATAAAATTATTCTACTGGGGCCGGTGGTTCAAAATCTGGTTAGTTTAGTCCTTGGTTAACGAAAATCTCAAAGCAATCTTCTGTTTAGAAACATAAAGGTAATTTTCTGGATCAATAGAAGTTTTATTTTTTAAAGTTTTGAAATAAACAGATGTGCAAATGCACCAAAACCAAAACACAGCGGGTAAAATTTTAACCCAGGGTTAGCGCTAATCCAGGTTTGAACAACCGGCCCCTAATCACATTTTGGGAGCTTATAGTTTGGGCGCCCAAATTAACCGTATAACCAACGTGTCTTAACCTCCATACACTGTATCTACCTACATAAACAGGAATGAGCATTTTAATGACTTCTTAATTACCTTCTACATATACATGTCATGAAGGGATTATCCGTCTGTAGCGTAAATGGGAAGAATAATATGAAAGGTTAATGTATTTTATTTAGCCCGTTGGTGTGACAGGAGTTCCTGGTGCTCAACCTTTACTACCAAATACAATGGACCCAAACAGACCGCAACCTTCTTTTGGAGGTAGGTACTCAGTTTTGTCTTACCCAAAACCTACCTATGACCTGAAGCGATAGTCTGGGACTGGATTGACACAGTACAATTTTTCTTTCACTCTTCTGCTTGTTTTTGCGCGAAAAACCGTTGGCGGTCTGATTGAGTGGTTCGGGTGAGAAAAACCAGGCTGCTTAGTGCTTACCATCCAGTCAGATTGGGAATGCTCAATGAAACCGGACCGAGCAGAAACGAGTCCAACTGAACAGCGGGCTACTGAATGTCAGATGTGTCACGTTCATAGCAGACTTATCAAAAGTAGATCGCCCCAGATTTCGCCATATGTACTACTGTACTAGTATACGGAAGAAAGCATGCAGCCACAAAATGGAGACCATACATTCAGAAGATCGACTTCTTGGCTTCGCCCCAGATTTCGCCATATGTACTACTGTACTAGTATACGGAAGAAAGCATGCAGCCACAAAATAGAGACCATACATTCAGAAGATCGACTTCTTGGCTTCGCCCATGATTTGGGCATAACCGTTGCAATGCTTTCGCCATTTTCTAGCCTGTGCGCTTATGGGAGGCATTGACCCTCCTGAAAATATTCAAAATGGCAGACGTTCAGGGGGGTGAATGCCTCTCATTAGAGACCTTTAGATTGACGTTTACGGCAAACGTAAAACCGCTAGCGAGGTTTTTGATTTTATAATTCTATTATAATAGCTTTTACACCAGTTTTGAAATATGTTTAACTTATTAAACTTGTGCTCTTTAGCAATGATTTAAGAAAGCAAATTAACCACTAGTCATGCCATTCACCAAAGCAGTATATTAAGATTTGACGTTTGAAGTTGACGTTTGGCGTATAAATTTCATGCTTGAACTGCTACGAGGGCTTGTAGTCGTTAAAGCATGAAATTTATACGCTAAACGTCAACTTCAAACGCCAAATCTTAATATACTGCTTTGGTGAATGGCATGACTAGTGGTTAATTTGCTTTCTTAATTCATTGCTAAAGAGCACAAGTTTAATAAGTTAAACATATTTCAAAAGTGTTGTAAAAGCTATTATAATAGAGTTGTAAAATCAAAAACCTCGCTAGCGGTTTGACGTTTGCCGTAAACGTCAATCTAAAGGTCTCTATTAGCGGACATGACGAGTGTATTTTGATAACGAATCATGGCGTGGCGGCGGTTATGCTTTTTTAGCTGAGTCAATCTACTGTATGGTCTCTATTCTGTGATGCAGCTCACAAAATATCGCTGTCGTGAGATTACTCATATTTTGTGGGGTTTTTTTCAGGCCCTCCCATGCCTCCTGTTCAGAGAATGACACCTCGCATACCAGTTGTAAGTCCAAATGTACGTTCTTTAAATCATTCACCAAACATTTTAATATAATTGTTATAATTACTATCAAATAACGCACATCCCTATGAAGTTTGGTTTCCATTTGGTCGTGACGGTCACAATCATGTCAAGATGGCTTATTTAATGTGTCGATATCTCGCAGCAATTGTAGAGATTGATGTGCATACCATACGGTAACGAGAAAATAAGTCGAGATTATTCCTCGGCAGTGACCATAGTTTTGTATAACCACAGCTATCTCCAAATGGAAAACAAGCTTAACAAATGAAGTTTCACACCATTTTTTTGTGATTGCATTGAAAAGAAAATTCAAAATGTAGTAGTAAGACACTTTGCCAAACTATCTTATTGGTTTTCTCTTGAGATATTTAACAATGTTTTATACGCAATTTAATATCCTCACTATGACGTCGAATTGCATAATCAGAGACCTCAGGGTATAGGACGGCAAAGCGACGACGACGGCCAAAACAAACTCATTCAAGTAACTGATTGTAAAGAAAGCTTATCGTGTATTATCAATCGTATGAATTTAAACACAGCTTAAAGAGATCAAAACAGAGGCATTCTATTGAGTACAGTTCCACATTAGTACTTAAGCTCCCTATTATAGCTTTCTGGGGCCGGTTGTATAAAAAAGTGATTAAAGTTAACTATGATTAAGTGCAAACGTCATCCAATAAGAAGCGCCTATATGTGAGTTAATCACTATGCAAACGTCATCCAATAAGAAGCGCCTATATGAGAGTTGATCACTATTTAACTACAAAATAGTGATTAAAAAAGTGATTAAGAGTTTTATACAACTGGTCCCTGAAAAACTTTTGTAACTCTTATAGATAGAGTAATTGATTCAAATTTGTCTACGTGTAACATATACTTGTATTATGTTGATGTAACATATGCGCGGATTTATGATGTCGATGCATGATATTCCAAGATCTTGAAGTTTTTCACAAAGTCATTATGCAATGTGACGTCATAGTGAAGATCATTTGATATCAAAAATTGTTAAACATCTCAAGTACGAAGCATTCTATGATAGTTTGGCAAAGTATCGTATTTGGTTTATTTTCAACTTTCTTTGCAATGCAATCCTAAAAGAATGGTGTGAAATTTCGTTGCATAAGCACTTTAATAGTAATTGAAAAACAAAATTAACATCCAAACGTAGAACTACAGTGTACTCAGTGTTCAACACGAAAATGTCTTCGTTATGGATGGATCTACCTGGAAAAATCGCCTTAACAAATATTAGAGAAGTTCAGATTTGATTTCCACTGCCGTTACCACTATTAAGGGACCATTAACCAATCAGATGCGTTTGATATGTCCGATTAACCAATCATATGCGTACTAAGCCAGTGAGAGGTATAGTGGTACTGAAAGTCAAATCTGAATCTCTCTAATATTAAGATCGAACCCGTGTACATGTGAAAATAATTGAGTCACCATCATATTCTAAGGTTTATTGCCTGTAAAGTGTTAAAATATGATTCATTTTTAGGGTTATACGTCAATGAGACCGAACGCCCCTGTTGGGCCTCCAATGTCGATGTAAGTTTTTGAACGTTTTCTTTATGTTGCTTTTAAGAATTTTTTGTTTCGTGGAAAACATCACACCATTTATTTGGCAATGCTAGCTTTCGATCTATAAGCATGCACGGATCTTCTTTAATTAAAACAGCTGTTATGCGACGGAGAAAATAATGCCCGTTCCCTTTATGCTAGTAGTAGTCTTGTAATCGCAGGATAAATGTATTAGAGAGATGCATTTGCTTGTTCCTGAAGTGTACTGTCATCTGCTTGCAGACCAGAAAAAAAATGGAATCCTGGATCTTGAGAAACATAATCAAACATTTGCCTTAAGCCTGGTTCACACCAGGTAGCACTTTTGTCGGCGATTTTGTGTTTCTGACAAAAGTATAGAGTCGCTTTTCAGAAGAAAACAATTCTTTTGCATCTCATTCATTCGATCACATTTGCCAGGAGGAGAAAAAACGTCGAAAAAAAGTGTGAACCAGGCTTTACCAAAAAGAATGAGATGATTTTCAATTTTTCACACATACGTTATGGGAGAATCTTACGGAATCATTATATCTTGATTTATCACACTTCCTTATCCGTCATTTGATTTTGTGAAGTGTTTTGTGAAGTGATATTCAAATTTGGCGCAATGTACGGTCAAATTTGGACATTGCTTTTACGCATTTTTGAGGCAAATTCAGGATCCGAGGAACATTGAACACTTGATCAGGTCTATCAGACACAGGTGATTATTGAAAATTGTGGCTACTGATTGATCAAGCTACCTCGGTTTATTTCACGATAGCCACCTGATGCGTAAAGTACTGGGTGTTTCAGTGTTGACAAGCAAATAAATGTCAAATTTTAAAGAAAATATAATCCCAAACAGTACAAAATATGCAACAAAACTTGGTGTAAAAATATTTCTAGGTAGTATCTAGAATTGAAGTGAATTTTGTTTTGTCTGAAAATACTATATTTTAACAGTGCGAAAATAGTGCCAAATATTTTATTTAAACTTACTGTGATTTGTTTTCAATAATCACCTGTGTATTCATACTAAAACAATTATTCGCCTCAGGCTTGGCGAATATCGATGATTAATATATACACAAGGTCTGGATATGAGGTATTCTGCAATCTGATTGGTTCTCTACCAGCAGGATATTAGCTCATATCCTGCAAGTAGAGAAAAACAAAATGGCGGCTCAAACTGAATTTCCGACGTTTTGCGAACGACAAAACGGCAAGTTGTTCGCTTTTTATAGCCTGTACAGGATTAAAAACACAATGAAAAAACTCGTTGTTCACAGGTTAGCAAATTAATTTTTCAAATTTAAAATGGTTACAAAAATATATTTTTGAAAAAATAACCCGCCAAGAGAGCGAAGATAATGTGCGAGTCAAATCCAACCGCGATCATTCCTCCCGGGCAACCCCTATTTTTCGTACGTTTTATAAATCTTGCGTTTGAGGTTTTATATATTTTATAGTAAACAAATATATCTTTGATATTGTATTAAATATAAACATTTGTAGAGTTTTAGAATTTTTGTAGAATTGCCACACACCACGGTCCACATTGCTATTGTCAATATTTGTTTAATTTAATTTTAGCCAAAATTTCAGGACTACCCCTATAGCAGGGCATTTTACTGTGGTTTCTGCCTGTTCGGGCGGGCATTTGACAAATGACTACTTATTTTTTCAAAAGTTAAATTTCCCGGGGGTTGCCCAGGGGGTGATCGCGATTGGATTTAAGACTCGTACATAATAACATAAACAAAATAGAAAAATATTGAAAATATCCGAATAGCAAAGTCTGTGAATTCAGGACCTTGTCTATATAACAAAACAGTTATTCCACTCATTCGCGTCGAATATGAGCGATAGCTGATTCGGCGCTACACGCCTCGTCGGCTATCAGCTCGTATTCGACTCGAGTTCGTAGAATAACTGTTAAATAACAACCTTGACCTTGTCTCGGTTATTATTCACCGATATTCACCTCGCCTTCGGCGAATAATTGTAAAATGAAATCCAACCAATAATATGAATATTTTTAAATGTTCGTACAGGGCAGGTGGAAGAGGGTGGAATCCAACGACAAGTACCGGAGTAAGTGTATGTTTCATTATGATGATAAAATGTACATCTCAAATGACTGATTGTTAGCATAAACGTTTTTGGACAACTATACATGAAACAACTTGACTTCCTCATCGTATCTGTAAGTACGAAGTAAGGTCCATTTTATGACAAACAAATAAGAACGAATAGTACGGAAACCCCGTCCTGGTTTATAGGAAACTTTGATTGAAAAATATTCCGCAGTATATATGACTTAATATTCTGTCATGAATACCACTTTAACCCCAAATCTCCACATATTTCTAAATGTTTCCATATTTTCTTGTTCTTAACTAAATTTCTTATTCCAGGGCAATGGTCCTCCAGGTACTCCGATGATGCCAAGCACACCAGGTTAGTACTGCTTAAACATTACCACAAATGTTGTTTTTCCATTTTTGAAAGAATCCTTCCTTTCACCACTACCATTTATGCACTCGACAACAGACTAGTTCATAGAATCGTAGTGTCGAGGTAAAATTGCAGTTGAATAATAATAGCTAGGAGATTTAAAACATGCTTGTAATTATGTAAATTATTCCCATATAAAGTATTGCACTTCTTTATTTTGCTCCTGTTTCGCACCTAGGCGCTATATTCGATTTAGGCTATATAATAGGGATACATGAAGTATTGTGACAAACGGGTGACGCGCGAAGGACCTATTGGGAAGATTGCACCCGCGAAGTGGACACTGGGAGGATGAGCACTCCGAACAATTTCATTTTCATATATTATCAACGTTTCGACTAATATTTATGAAATTGTTCGGAGGTTATTTTGTAATTACGGTGCGTCTACAGTAAGTGGGGCCACTTAGAGAACACTAACCAATCACATTGCAGGAAAAATAGCATTAGCCAATCAGCATTAGGCCAAAAACAATTTTAACAAATAAACGAATGTCAAAAGGTGAAAATAGACTTGAAAAGTAAACATTGCAGTTAATGGCTTCCTGAAGCGTACTCCATGCTTTCTTTTGATTGGACGAGCTGTAGTTTGATTAGATTTCTATTTTTGTTCTGCAGTCTGATTGGTTAGTTTTCTCAAAGTGGCTCCACTTACTATAGACGCACTGTAATATTGAACGGTTGCTAGTGAAGGACGACTACCTACTGTATTGTATGTTTCTGTAATTATAATCTGAACAAATATACTTGTAATCAAGTAAATATGTATTTTCATCATTTGTGAAGCAGGCATCAATGAGTGAACAAATAAATATCTCGTATGCATGTTACTATTAAACTTAGCCTCCTCCGCAGGCCTCTCTATGGGTTCTAGCCTGCGAATGGGTTTTGAAAAAAAAATTTTCTGGGAGAGAGGCCTGCCATAAATCGAACAAAATAGACGTATCTCAAATATTAGTGGCCGTGTTACGTTACCCCACCCCCTAAGTAAGCTTTTGACCCTAATTATATATTCAGTTTGAAATCTTCGGGCGAGGAGCGAAACTTGCGAGTATTAACTCAAAAATGTTTTAAAATGCATCGAAATATTCAAGTTATACGAAAATTAGTTGGTCAATTGAAAGGATTAATTATATCGCAATGTCTCTCGCGGTCTAAAAACGACGTGCAAATTTAATTGAATCGCTCGCTCGAAGCAGCCAAATGTTTACAATGTATCAATTGTTCAGCCGAGGAACTACAATTTGAGGAAATTATCTGGCATAATTTCGAACGCAAAACGAAGAATGGAACGATACAAAGGTATAATTTGTTTAATAAAGGAATTATATTAAATTGTATTGTTTTCTGGAATATTATTTTGGCATGTTTATTTATATGAAGGGGTTGACATTTTGATTATATTTTACTAATTTTAGTCAAATCATCAGACATTTGGCAACATGTTAAGTGAATTGATATATAAAAGGAAAAGATCTTTCTGTTGAAGCAACCATTTCAATAAGTGAGGAGAGATAACAACTTGGAAATATCAACTACAGAAATTTGATTACTACAAAAGCCTACAAAAATCAAGATTTTGTTGGCATCTTAAACCTGGTTTACATATGCCTGCATTATCATTGTTTACAGCTGTTGATGCATACATTCTTTTGTGAATTATTTAGTTGAACTTTTAACGACAATAGCCCATCAACAAACAGCAGGTATATGTGAACCAGGCTTCACTTGGTTAAATAGTTAATTGGAACTCACCCCCTTAATTAATATCATGTGAATATGCTAAACCCATTAATAAGTTGCATTGTGACACATGTAACAACCTCTTTCTAATATAGTACATGCCTAGTTGTGTTACACGTACTGGCCACATGACATCCATGATTTGATAAATAAAGAAATTTATGATGTATCTGCATATTCTCTAATTATATGTATCTCCCTTGTTCATGTTTAAATAAAATTGCTCTTGACATTATTTGTTTTAAATATAATAAATCTAGATTGGCATGTATCATGTAAGAGCCTACAATGCCAGGGGCCCACAACAAGTTCTTGTTGTCTCATTGCTTGCCGGCACGCCCCTGCTTTTACTCTGTCTAACATCAGACAATTTTACTATTCCAGGGGAGAGTACAAAGAATGGGCTAATCTAAAGCTTCACAGCTTACAGTTAATATGTACCCACCATTGAAAGACTTTTGGGTGGTTAATGTAACAATTAATAGCAAAACATGCAGGGATGGATTTACTGGGGGGCACACCCCCCTCCCTAGCCCTGGCCAGGGGGTATGTGTGTGCTATTTTTCATGATAAAGCAAAAAATATTAGAGACAAAATGAGATATTGTACACAGTACACTTGTACCACATGGAAGTTGTTTTGCCAAATTCTCAGAATACTGCTGTTGCTGTATGTTAATGGGCGGGCTGCACACATGACAACACAACTCGAGTCACTCGACACCAGAGCTGGCAGAGCACCCCCCACCAGATCATGCTGGATCCATCCCTGAAAACACGTCTATCACCGGGAAGTTTCGTCAGTGACTGTTTGTATGGTTATAGGGAAATTTGCCTTGCAAAATGGATTTTACCCATGTAAATATTTTGTCTGTGAACTTTGGCAACATTGGTTAATTAACAAATCCAAGGCAAATGTTATTAAGACAGGTCTTCATACATGTTGCACCACATGGAAAACTATTAGATTCTTATTAAATTCCAGTTGTCCTTTCCCTTATGTCTACATTGCTCACACCCATATATAAAACAGGGCCACTGATTTAAGAAAGCTTTTGCTAATTTTCGTCACATCTGAGACACTCAAGTTTGAAAACTTTGTCTTTGTCCAAGGGATAGATTGCACAGTGATTTCCGCAATAAGAAAGCTATTTGTTTAAGACTTTTATTAACGATTTCCTTCCATACAAGCGTATTAAAACAAAGCAAGAGGTGTTTATATATTTAATACGCAGTCACAGATGTCAACAGTTGAATTTACATTTATATATTGACAATTTTCGATCGTTCCTTTTCGTGTTACAATTTCGACTAAATCACTGCACTTTCAGCTTATTATGATATAAAATGTCGTCAACAATTTGAATAGAAATTTGTATATATCAACGATAAACTTTCAATTGAAACCTTGTCTTGATAAATGTCTTGACATGAATCGACGACAACGTGAATTCACTGCTCTGCAAAGTCACTCGTCTCTATTAAAACAATCCCAGTAAATCGCTGCGTCGGCTTTCGATAACGTTCTCAGCTCCTTAGTCAAAGTTCCCTTTGTATTTGTAATGTTGAAGAGCAGGATTATTCGTTAATTTTACAGTTTTACTCGTCTTGTATTAAAGCCATCGTGTTGAAAACAAAATTTTCTTCACTCCTTGCCGTAAGCCCTTCCTACTCCCCCTAAGTTTGAGTTTGTCGAAATTTGCATGCGCGAGCCAGTATGCGCAGTGCAAATTTTTGTGTCGATTTATGGCAGGCATCTCACCAAACTTTTTCCCACCACCCGATTCGTCGGGTGAGATGCCTGCGGAGGAGGCTATATTAAACTCACAACTCTCGAGATTATGAATTGGCTAACTTCACTATTGTAATACAAATATAGTACGCCGGTTTATATGAAGGTCATCACTACTCTCTGTTTTTTATTAGACACTCCGACACCGGGTAGTGATATGTATAACGTTATGATGAAGTCAGTACCAGGTGCAAACATGTCAGCGGTATGTCTCCTCGAGTTGGTAACTACTTCATCTTGCAGGGATATTATGTATATCCTTATACCACTATATACTAGTGTTATGTTGGGGTTATTATTACTATATACAGATGAAAATCATCCTTGCCAAATTATCCCTTCTCAAATTTAGTGAATTTTAACTTGATCGTTTGTTCCTATATTCTTGATGTATGTTACGACTGAATAGCTAGAGTTGAAAGTTACTTCTTAATCTATCCCTTGCGTTGTGAAACTAAAAAATGTGGGTGTAATGACTGATTTTCTGTCAAAAAGCCTTTTACTCTGGCCCTACTATATAAAATAAATAATGGACTTGTGCAATGCCTGTTAACTAAAGCCGTGTTTATACTACGAGCCTAAGCCTGGCCTGGGCCTACCTTTGGACTAGATTTTTGTAATGTAAACGCACTTCGGCCTGGCCTAGGTCAGGAAACCTGGAACACCTGTTCTGATAGGCCCAGATTTCCTGACCTAGGCCAGGCCGAAGTACGTTTACACTACAAAAATCTAGTCCAAAGGTAGGCTTAGTCTCGTAGTATAAACACGGCTTAAGGTTGGCGACATGGGCACGTGTAATAGTGTTATGCCTATAAACGTTTTTGTTTTAATTTAGTTTGGCATGGGAGGCGGACCTGAACCTGGACTGGGAATAGGTACACATGACTTAAAAAAATCATTAAAAGAAACAAATATCTATTCCAAAAATCAACCTCATGCGTGCATGGTTTCTATACTGCACTGCGTGACAGTGTGTGTTTTATACTGGAATGGCAGTATGATTGATTCCTTGCTAATCTATACTGTTCCGTATGATTGTATAATATCACCTCTGTAGTTAGGTAGCATTAAATATGTCAGCAACTCTGTTTCGTTGATTTATTAAAGAGAGCAAGATTCGTACAAAACTTGAAAGTCCTTGAAAGTCCTTGAATTTAAAACCAAATCTTCAAGGCCTTGAAAGTCCTTGAATTTATAAAGAAGTGCTTGAACGTCCTTAAATTCTTGCTTACATGTTGTTGGTAATGTTGGATGTCTTCTGAAAACATTTTGTTTGTTTGAGTTTGATATTAAGAATTGATTGTGAATTGATTTTGTCCATGGCTTGAATTCATTAAACTTGCCACTTGAACAGTTTACATAAGTTTGTACTGATTTCCTGATACATGACTTGAAAGTCCTTGAAACGTTCTTGAATTTTACTCGACCTATACGAACCCGGAGAGAGAAATAATGCGTTCTTTGTCATACAAGCATAATTACTTCTAGCATCATATCTGTTTCCACTGAGTGGACCTTCGGATGATCTTTGGTCTCATTGGATTTCCAAAGATACTAATAATATAATGTATCCTATGTTGTTTAGACTCACAGCAAGACATAGATGGTTTACCAAAGGTATGTATCGCTAGTTTATTATAATTTAAATTATATAAAATATTATTAATTTAGGAAACGTATATCCCTAGTAAAGAAACGTGAATCATAGCAGTAATAATCCCCAGTTTAGTCTTTCTGCCTATCACCTTCATTTTATTCTAGTTATTACCAGACAGTCAAATAATTATATCAAAATATCATAAATCTCAGGTAATGCTATTTTATAGAAATAAAAACTTTAACCTCCTTCCATCTTCAGAAATCTTACGACCTCTCTTATTAATTTACGATCCCCTCGCTCCCTTGTTATGCACTTCGTGCTGCACCTGTTCAAACTGCATAAAATGAATCAATATTAAAATGTCAAGGAACCATTAATTAACCTACAACAAATAATTATTTGTTAGGAACCTCCAAACGACCACGGTCCAGGAACCCCTGGCGGTGAGACAAACGAATATGGTGGAATATTATCCTTTGGTCCAGATACGGTATGTGATACAACAATACTGATCCTAGATTTATGTTTATTGCAATAGTGTTATGGAAGGAAAAACTTTGTTCAAAATTTGGCGGCTTTTATTTTAACGATATTTTTCAAGAAAAACTCAATACTTATAAATCTCTGCGGTGTACTAAACAAATTTCATGTATCAACGTACATATGAATATACATGCAGTTGTTTTTGTCCGAATGGTTGAATATCGGTTAACTAGCTTGTACCGTTTCAGGGATTTCAAAGCTAGAAATCAAGAAATATATCGCACGACTTGATCGCGTAAGTTAACTATAGTGTTGCATATTATTTTATTATAATCACGAGAATAAAATAGAATAGTATCTCTGTACTACTATATAGAATAATGAATAAGATAGGAGAGAAATAAGTATAATCTTTGATCTTATTTCTGTTGTCGACAGAGAGATGTGCAATTGTGCATAAGGTAGCATAGAACAATTTGTATGATCGTAAAATCTAAAGATATGGTGAAATTGATTGTATATGCAGGGAAATAAGCAAAGAGCGAGCATACTTTTAAGGATTTGTACTAGGGCTTCATTTTAGTTGTGTAAATATCGAGATTTTGGGATCTCGTTCAATAAAACTAGTAGTGGATGGGTTATTAAATATTAGTTCGATCGAACGACATGCCACAGCCAGTGTTTATTATAATAACAATTTACCCATTTGGAGGCAAATGTTTGTGACAAAGGTTTCCTATAATTCGCCCACCTTTGAAGCACTTTTTCGTAGCGAAATTCGACGCGAAATGAATTATCACATGCGCAAGAAATTTCGCGAGAAAATATTTCGCTTCGCCAGTGAGTAGAGGTCGAAAGCGAAATTTTGCAGAAACTATTTCTCGCGCCGAATTTCGCGTCGTGGAGTCAGGTATTAAGAAACCAACCTCGTACCCAGACTCTTTCCTCTTGGGGAGAGAAGACTCTGGTACCAACGCTGGTCGCGTGATCTGCTAAATTAGCGGAATTGTAATTACAATCTTGGATTCCTTTACGACAATCATACAAAATTCAAATTATAAATTAAACTATAAAAATCATCCAAATATCAAATATTTATTGACCTCATCTTGGATTGCTAATTAATAAATCTGCTAGATTTTAGCAGATCACGTGCCAAGCAAACCAGCGTCTACCAGGGTCTTTTCTCCCCGCGCCAAGTGGAAAGACCCTGGGTACAAGTTTGTTGAGAAACCTGGTTATATAGGAAACCTTGTCCTACAAACATTTTTCAGCATCACTCTTTCCTTGTTTGTCTTGGGGTCTACTCAATACACATATAAATACTGCGCAGGATTTGCATATTATTTCTTCTTTTCTAGATCAAGTCAAACCCCTCGAGATTTCTGGGTAGTACGTGGATAATGTGAAAAATATTCCATGGAGTAAATTATTGGACATTTTATCAGCATTTGTGCAATGGACAAGAGTTTTGAAAGATTTTTTACGAAGACTGGTTAAGAGAAACAGTTGGGTGAATAGAGTTGTTTTCATTCGTAAAACATACAAGCCAAGCTTGATAACTGATTTGTTCAGATATGGTTAAATAGTTTTCTGGGGAATCTGATCTCGAAATAACACTGGACAACAGAAGGTCAGGGTATATAAATTCAAGCACTTGCCAAGGTCACTGTAAATATCTGATACAACTTGGCGACCGAAAGTGTTAAAAATAATTGGAATAAAAAACGAACAAAATTGCCGAAGCAATAAAATTGTACCAAAATTGTACGATTCTTAACACCGCAGTCAAACGTTTGCGCATGCGTGAGTCTACGAAAATGACGGCGAAAATGTCTGCCAAAGTCATTACACCGGTTTTTCCTTGTGTTAAGACGAAGTCATACTGAGTTTAAACACTCATAATTTTCTTTATACTTTTTTTAGAGCTTCGTGAAAACAATACTATTTACAGTCGTTGAAGTGCAAACAGCCAATACGTTTGACCGCGGTGTTACGATTCTCGGTTCTTTTATACTGTCATAATCAGTGTCGCGATTTTTTAGTAGAATATCGGTTACCTTGTCCTTGTTGCCTAAACTATTTAACCATATCGAGAACCATCCCTTGAAGCTAGAAATGTGAATATATTTGTAAAGAGAACTTCACTGTATATACATCGTAGAAATCAGCGAAATATTTACATCCCGAGGTAGATGGTGTGTGAGCAAGCAATCCGTGTGATCAGCACCTGAATAATTTCGGAACCACGCTTTTCCCAACTTCCCTCTTAAGGGATAAACTGTGACTAGAGCTTGTCATGCGACATATAGACGTTTTTCATTAATTTCCGTTACGCCATTGAGGAGAGCAACACAGAGAAAGCCTGGGAATGAGGTTGTGTGTGTGTGTGTTCGGTTCTTAGGCTTGTATTCTACAGGTGATGGCTTAAGTACTATTCGCGTCTGAAGGTCTCGTTGAAGGCGTCATTAATGATTTATTGTTATGTTTAGCTCGATGTTTAGTTGCTGATCAAATGTATTGAATGCTCAAAGTTTTAGCCTGAATATAATGCTCCGACCTCCGACAAACTTTTACTAAAACGAAGCAACCTCGCAATCCAGGCGCTTTAGAGAACGGGATCCTGCCCGTCCTGGGTACAACGTTTAAGCCGCCAATGTTCGTTTCAAACATAGAAATGGTCTACAATGATCAAAGAGTTCAAATATACTATTATATTTATTCTCCGGGTTGATAACGATTAGCTTCCAATTCGATGCTTCGAGTCTTCATCATGGCCTTCATCAGAACGTTAACTTTTACATTAAATCAATCCAAGTTTTTTATTTCAACCAAACTTCAAAACAGATTATAAAACGATTTGCTGAACACAAAAACGCCATAAAAAAACACGACAGGGAGTGATGTTTGTTACGTAATTCAGTACCAAAATCTGTTTTCATTACTGTTTTACTCATTTATTCCCTTATTGAACACAAAAACGCCATCAAAACTATGGAAAATTAACTCACCTATATATCAACGCATCCTTCGACCACCAATGAAATCAGATTATCGTCAACTGAACAACCAATCAGACACTCTCGACGTATACAAGAACAGAAATGACGGTGCGAAATAAATGTGAAAGTTTAACATTCAGGGGCCGGTTGTTCTAGGCTGGACAAGGGCTAACCCTGGATTAAAAGTTAGCCCGCCGTTTTAGTTTTTGTATCTCTGCACGTTTGTTTATTACAAAACTGCAGAATAGAAAATTCCTATTGATCCACACAAGATTTCTGAAGAAATATTTCTAAGTTTATAAACAAGCTGTTGGGAAGTTTGCTTGGAATTATAGGTTGACCTGGGGTTAAGCTAACCGGATTTCAAACCACCGGCCTCTGATGATGAAGATCCAAAGCACCGAGTTGAAAGCTTATAAATCTTATATGAAAGTTGCCACTCAGCCTTGGATGTAAGCGAACGATTGTTCAAGCTGTAGTACCAACCTTGAGAACTGAAGCTACATCCATGGTGTTGGAGGATGCTTCTGCCGTGACTTCATCGTCAGGAATGAGGTCAGGAATACCTCTCGATTGATTATTCTGGGATTTGGGTACCGCGATTTTCTTCTATACTATTCACATATCTATATAAGTAATTAAGGCGGGAAAAAATTCGAAAACGAGGGATCATTGGGGCATATTTGTAATTGGTGTATTGTGGTTTGAAACGTTCTTTGGTGTGTCATGTAAATAGTAGTGACTTTCTGAATTCTGTACATTGACTTCGTAGCAAGTCAAGTATACATATTATTGTAATGAAGTATTTCAATATAATCGTTTTTGGTATCCATATTGTCTTTGTTTTCACTAATAGCCCTGGGCAACACTCCCAATATAACCCTTCAGCTTTGTATGCAAATTACCCCTATAAGATCATGTGATTATTTTATTATTATTTAAGAATATTTATTCTCTTTGTGCTTTTATGAATCTAAAAACAAATAAAAAGAATGATGAACAATGCACTGAAAATAGGTGAAGCTATTTTACACAGTCAAACAATTGCAGAGAGGGACGGCACGGTTCTCGGTTGAAGAAAGACGTCTGAAAAGTTCTTGTTTTACACGATGGAACTTTAGACATGTGAGATCTGTTTTTAAACCTGTTCGTTTTGCACACAGGAAGTTCAACATTCCTAATTTGCTGCAAGTTAGGTATGTGCATCGTTATTTAGTGGTGACATAGCCCGCGTGCAGGCCCAGGGAGTGGTGACAGCAAGTCATTTAATTTATGTTTTGGGTTATGCTGCATGCTATTTCCTTAATAACAACTTTGTTGTCAAGTTTTGTCTTCCATCGTACTGACAGAATGTTCATGGTTCCCAATATTTCTTTATAATACTATACAAGTCAGGAAATGTACGAAAAGTACGTCTCTGAAGTTTTTCAAGATCATGTGCATCAGAAAGTACTGCATGGGCAGCGAGTTGTGAAATACGTTGCATGCATACTCAATAACTGGGCGAATAAAAGTGACGTAGAACAAGACCAAATATAATGGGTAACGTTTAAGAAATACAGGCGTGACGATACCTTTCTACAAGTATTTGAGACATGAGTTCCACGTGAGGTCATCAGAGATAGGAAAGGCCCAGGAATTTGCAGATGTTACAACTTCAACATTTTACCATTAATAACTATGGGTTGAAACACTTTGTTAGACGTAGAGAAGCTTGTGCGAAGCTCTTTGCATTTGGATTCTTTTAATCGAAGGCCATTTGTTACGATCGTGGCTAAAGGGGATGGACTAAGTGTAGAAGCAGGCAAGCAGCTAGTTTTTCAAGACGGCCGCCAGTTTTTTAAGATTCGATTAAAACGTAAAAGAATCAAGAACCAGTCACTTGCAACCTATGCTTGCAACAATACTAAACCTTTATACCCTCACCCCACTCGTAACCCCCACAATAATACTAATGCAAACTCTCAATTTTAGAACCATCTCGTAAACTACATCTCGTCCATCCCTTTTAGACATCACCCATCTGTTATAAGGCTTCCTATAGATTCGTTTCTGCCATATTTCCAGAGATCGTCAACATTATAACAAACAGTCAAGGGCCTAATTTCGAGCCTTGTGTGACACCTGCCGGTTCTTCATTCCATTCGGAAAAGCAGTCATTACTTCATTTCATCACAGGTTCGTCAGGAGATCTATAGTCCAATGCATGATGCCTGATGGTTTTAGGGATGTTATATGTTGCGAGCTTCTCCAATAGAGTGTTATGATCCACTAAATCACAGGCTCTGTGAAAATCAAACAACATAAGGGACCGGTCATTTATGGTGGGGGGTGGCACCGAAGAGAAATGTTTTTCGTGGCAAAAATTTTGCTGATCCAACCATTAAAAAGACAAAAAATTGATTACCCAACCTCAAATATAAATTGAAAAATAATTACTCACCCCTGGCCAAAAACTTTACAAAAGGATACCATTCAGTTGTCCCACATGTCTTTTATCACTTCTAAGACATGAGTTTGATAACGGCTTGTGAAATTTTCGGCAGTCTAATTAAGTTTCATATTGTCTGCACATGCACTTTCTTTGGAAACACCATTTGTTTTGTCAAAATGACCAAGATAGTGACTCTGATTGATTCACATATTGTATTGACAAATGACTGTTGACATTGCTTTTCAGTCTCCAATATTTCAGTGGGTCATGCTTTGGAAATGACAATAAATTTTTATTACCCAACCCTTGAGTTGTTTTGTTTTTCATTTACCCAACCTTTTACTTACTCAAAATTTTGATTACCCAACCTTTTTCTCTTCGGTGCCACCCCCCGCCATAAATAATGACCGGTCCCTAACTCTATAGTGGTTTTATTTTTAATCGTTATTCGTTAGTATTTGAATATTCAAAGTTAACTGAACATTTCAGACATGCTGCAGTTTGGGAAGAGCAAACAGAAGGGTTATTCCCAAGTTAGTATACTTAGTATAATGCTATCCATTCGCATTAAGTCGACAGTTATATAATTTTGTAATGGTCAGAAGGCCAAGAAGTTCAGTTAAAGATAGGGTTGTGATTGGTGTCAAAAATGAAGAAAAAGATATTCCTGTCCTATAGGAAATACTTGGTCGAATGCGCCAATCGAACTAAATTGAACTGGATGTTGAATGGTATTCCAAGTAATTCCTTTCGTATAAATAGTCATTTGTTCACAATAGTCCAAACGTATATTGCTGAATCTAATAGGTTTTCTCATTAATTATTGCAAAATTGTGTTCCTCTTTATGTATGTTCATGCCTGTGTGTGTGTGTTTAGTCCTTCTTCATGTATATATCTCTTGTATATATGCGTGTTTGTATATCTGTGTTACATGTGTAAGTTATATATTTGTATGTGTATAAACGTTTGAAAAATACATAATAGTTAGTTTTTAACGAACTGTTCTGTATTTTTTCTCCTATTCTCCTTTCTTTTTAAAAAATCTTGTATGTACTATTTACAAGATGAGCGGCCGTGTTGTATCGGACGCGAATGTTGTAAATGGCTTAAAAAACGACTCATCTTATGAGTTCATTGGCGAAGTAATTTTAAAAATAAACGTTGTCTAAGCCGAGAAAATCAAAGTTAAAGTTTATGTAAATCAACGAATCTGTATCACATATACAGATACGACACGCTTATGATTTTTCTTTGTGTTTTCTTCATGAATTTATATTAATGAGTTTTTGAAATTAAATTACATAAGTTTCCTCGATAAGCCCTAGCTGCTTTTGAAACAAATATAAAGTTTATATATTGTTTAAATAAAAAAATATTCTATTTAATATATATTGCACAAGTTAAGTATGTGTTTAGTTGTCTTTTCCATAATATTCACGTAACATGTGTAATTTGTCGATTCATGATCATCTTTTCTGCAGGGGCCGGTTGTACGTTGTTAATACAGGCAAAGGCCGGATAGCGCTACCCACCGGATAGTGATTTTTTCAACCTTTGTAAAATGCTTGAAAAACTGTGAAACTGCGGAAATAGATGACACAAGAAGTATAAAAAAACATTTAACTTATAAATCGGCTAAACTTTAATACGAGTTATACCAATCAACGACTAATTTAACAAATTAAAGTTTGAAAAAATCACTATCCGGTGGATAGCGCTATCCGGCCTTGGCGTACAACCAGAGCGTCTATAAAGGTACGTTTACACGCTGCGATTTGTCGGGCCGATTTTGCTCGCTGTATGTAAATAACCTGTCGTGAATACTCGCGTCAGCACCTTGCGATTCACAAAATCGGGAGAAAAATCTGTAAAGCTACGTTTACACGCTGCGATTTGTCGGGCCGATTTTGGTAAATAATCGATGCCCCTTCTTCGACATTTAGCGATTTAAACGTTCAATAGACAATTCCCATTATAGACTAATTTTAAAACTAGGCAAGGAGATGCAAATAAATCACCACAGCTAGAAAGAGCATACTAAAATTAGTAAAATTACAAAATTTGGTTGCGAAATGTCGTAAAATTTGGAAAATATAGCCTTGCAAAGTTTGCAAATTTTGTATACTTTTGTATTGCGTGCGACATTTTCGGCCTAAATGTGGTAGGAATGTGGTAGGAATTTCCGCAAGCAATACAAAAGTATACGAAATTTGCGAACTTTACAAGGCTATATTTTCCTCATTTTACAACATTTCGCAACCAAACTTTGTAATTTTACTAATTTTAGTATGCTCTTTCTAGCTGTGCTAATTTATTTGGGATCCTTGCCTAATTTTAAAATTAGTCTATGATGGGAATTGTCTATTGAAGCTGTCCGCTCTCTCGTCTGTTCATGCAGGGCGCTGTACGCCCTGGTTCATGTTATAGTTTTCTGCGTGCGAAAAGTTTTCAACAACTTTACAACGGAAGAAAAATCGTTGAATCGTGAGAAAAATCTGTGGTTTTGTTACAGATTTTTCTCCCGATTTTGTGAATCGCAACAGCCTCGTACCCAGGCGCTGAAAATGGGCACACTACAGTGTTTTTATATAGATCAGTGGCTCGAGCGCGCGGGGGTGTTCCAGTTGCGTCCTCCCCAAGCACCCCCGCGCGCTCGCTCATCTTAGCCACTGATCTATATAAAAGTACTGTAGTGTGCCTATTTTTAGTTAATTGCGCCTGGGTACGAGGCTGGAATCGCAAGGTGCTGACGCGAGTACTCACGACAGGTTATTTACATACAGCGAGCAAAATCGGCCCGACAAATCGCAGCGTGTAAACGTACCTAACAAAGCACAGATTTTTCTCACGATTCAACGATTTTTCTTCCGTTGTAAAGTTGTTGAAAACTTTTCGCACGCAGAAAACTATAATATGAACAGACGAGAGAGCGGACAGCTTCAATTGAACGTTTAAATCGCTAAATGTCGAAGAAGGGGCATCGATAATTTACCAAAATCGGCCCGACAAATCGCAGCGTGTAAACGTAGCTTAAGGTACAACTGGCCCCAGGGGTCAGTTGTACGAAAGGCGTTTAACCAGTCAGTTACACGGTGTTCAGCCAGTTCTGTCCAGAAAATAAATTCCCAACCTCCCCCACCCAAGGCCTTCTCAAAGTTCCGAAATCGAGATCTTGGCGGCGGGTACGAGGTTGATAAATCACCTGTCCAGCAACAGGAGGTGGCAACAGGTGGGGGAAAATTGTCCTTCCTGATCAAATATTTATCGCGTGTGCTTTCTTGCCAGCCAGTTTTAATTTGAAAACAACAAAAACTCGGCCTCGGAAGCCTGGCTTGCGAGGTTGGTCTCTCGTACCATGTGACTTCATAAATGCCATAAATAAAATATGGCATTTCCATGAAAGTGGAAGCACTGGGCTTGGCCAAAGATTAGATACTATAAAGATGTGTCACTCAGTGAACTCTATATATATATATATATATCTGGAACGATAACATTCAGTCATTTGATTGTGAAAACAATGAAGCCTCGATACCAGTCTTTCACGCGGATTGGACGTCAGTCTCAGTCCCTCAAACGTCAGGTTTACGCGGATTGGACGTCAGTTTCATTCCCCCTCTTGCAAACCGTTGCACGGCCAGTATAAATTTGAACGCAATCACGAAAAAGAAAATTAAAAACATGGCCAACTCAATGCAATACATTTTAGGAGCAAACTGTTTTGCTCCTAAAATTTACTGCATTGAGTTCGCTGTCGGAAAAAGGTCGAGGAAAACTTCCCCGTGTGGAGAAAAGAATCACTTTTTCAAATATATTGTGTCGTACTGTCGTTCTGGATGCACAAGGAAAGAGATATTCTTGCCAGAAAATTTCATTTCACAGGTAGGTAAATTGACTTGCAACTGTGACTTTGCCGTTGCCATTTTTCGCGATTGTTTGAATTGTTTTTTAGTTTACCAGTTTTATAGTTTTTAGTCAATACACTGGTACGTTATTTTTTAAAAAATTTATTGTGTGATCGGAATTTGCCTGCCAGCAAAATGTAAATGAATATGTACGTGTGTTTGAATATAAATTAGACCATATGGGCTTAGTAAAAAATTATTTTAATAACTACGTTTCGGAGTATAACTCCACCTTCAGGTTAAAAGTGAATAAAGATATAAAAACTGTGATAAAAACTTTAAAAACAATTACAAATTTTATATGTAAGTGATTTTTAATACCCGACTGTAAGAAAGTTCTTGAACAGTTGATGACGAAGACAATGACGAATACTTATGTCGTGATTTTTTTGTCGGCTTCACTTTTCGCTCGCTGTTATCATTCCAGATATATATATATATAGAGTTCACTGGTGTCACTCTGCGAAAATTATGTCCGAGATTTTTTTATAGCCGCCATTTTGCCAGTAAGTGTCAAATTCGTCAAAATTCGTCATATAGCGCGAGCATCGCGATGGCAACCTATTTGTATTCAGTCTCGCCGCCATTTTGGCAGTAAGTGTTATGCACTCGTCATCTCGCGTGATCACTCGTGATCAGCACGGAAAATTACGGACACGCAAACATTAGGGAAATACGTCGAGTGACACATCTTTATAGTATCTAATCTTTGGCTTGGCAGTCCTTGGCAACTAGAAAGCAAAAAATGTGCAAGAAAAAATATGAGAATAACAGGACAGGCAAGTGGTTTAGTTTGTAATTATATTGTATTAAGACATAGCATAATATTTTAAATCAAACTCTTTAATAGTTGTTGAGAAGTCGAAGCAAAAGGCCATTAAATCAAGTACGATATCTTGACCTTTCAAGTACCAATATCGGTAAAGTTAATTTTAATACTGTTTTGATTGAGTCTAAAAGTCAATTTAATATGTATTTTATTTATATTCAGACCAGACTGCAGAGTATGGCAGTTTTCGACGAGATCTCGGGTGTGCAAGACAAAAATTCGGGTGTGCAAGTGTGCAATCCTCAGTTAATCAGGGGCGGATTTAGACCGTTGCAACTGTAGCATATGCTACGGTCAGATTTTCCATAGGCCAGTTCTAACATGGATCATAAAATCAATCTAAAATATAATTTAGCAATATTTTGTTTACTTTCCTTGTTTATATTTCAAGGTTTTATTTTATTTAGTTTTATATGTTCTAAAACATTTTATTTTGACAAATTGATGACATTTATAATACGTAACGTTAATTGTTTTAAGAATTCCCGCCCGAAAATACGGTTGTAATTGCCCGTTTGCGGGTCATTACGCAATGGACTATAGCTTAGAAAATATCATCCTTCAGAAATACACCGTAGCGTGTTGCCCATATATGATCAATTTTCGCTACGGTCAGATTCATTAAGGTCGAATCTGACCGTAGCGAAAATTGGCATATACGGCATTCTGATTGGTTTGCTACGGTCAAACGTAGCAAACCAATCGGAATGGGGCAAATGCTATAGTTTGCTACGGTGGCATGAAATTGGCTACTGCTCCAGAACGATGGAATATCTGATATTTGTGTTTGGCTCATCAACAACATGCTATTGGGAACCCACAGTACGGTTGTGCGCATTTCGAAATGAAAGCCGTCGTAAAGCTAAAGGATTAATTTATATGCGTCGAGGTAGAAATAAAATCAGATAGTAAAACGAATCATTTCCAGTCAGGTAAGCCTTATGAATGATAAGAGATGCACATTATATTTTAATTTGAGTTTTACTGTATAGTGTTCGCTATTAACTTCGCTTTATTAAAGTGTTTGTGCGCGTATGTACAGTATACCTGCATGTATTGGAATTAATACGCGAATTATGATACGCGCGTATATATATCGTGTTTTATAGCGCGCTAATATTTGTTTGTAATGCATATATATTCGTAAGATACGCGTATTCATATCATACGCGCGTTCATATGATATGCGTATTCGTATGATACACGCGTTCGTAGATGATACGCGCATTTCGGTATTCAATTGATAATGATATGCGTATGATACGAGTATCATACCGATATCGTATGTTAAAATATACGCGAGCAATAGTTTACATTTTGAGATCATTTCGGCTTATTTTTGCTTGAGAAATGAATACAATGAGGACAAATTTAATGGTCACATGCAGTGCTCAGAACGCAGGAAATGGCATTTCCGGGCTTCAAATTTCAAAAATTTTCCGGGGGGGCATGCCCCCGGACCTCCCTAGCTATGCGAGGTCTTGGAAAATGCTACGGTCAGATTTTTGCCTGGATCCGCCCCTAATTAACGTAGTCAAGTGTGCACTTGTAATTAATAGCTACATCAGGCTACATGTTCTAATGAATTGCGGTCGTTTCGCCAACGAGTCGTTTCGCCAACTGTCAGTTCGCCAACGGTCTCAGGTCGATTCGCCAACGTTCGTCCACGTTCTTATGTCAGTTCGCAAACCGAAACGTTACATATATATGAGACATGCATGGATATATAAATCTATTAATGTTTGTAGAAAATAACCGAAATAGCAAATTCTCCAGACATTTATGTTTAGACGGTCTAAAACAGGTTTAATCAGCGGACGCTAAACAAGGGCTATAACTCACGAAATGCGAAAGTTTTTATGCATATGATATACCATTCAATTCAAGTAAACACAACTGAAAAGTTTTCAAACTGAGAGTCAAACAATACGAATTACGAAGATTAGCCATACTCTTCATTAACAAAATTTCACAACAGAGCTAGTGACGCTTTTGATCACCAACGTTCCAACATATTGTCTACAAACATTGTTTGCGTTTCATGGTTTCACATTATAAAAACGTGAACTATTAAATAACCATGGATTGTAAAATAATTGTTTATTTTACAATCCATGATTAAACGTTGCGTTGGCGAACTGACATAACAACGTGGAGGACCGTTGGCGAATCGACCTGAGACGTTGGCGAACTGACAGTTGGCGAAACGACTCGTTGGCGAAACGACCGGTTACCGTTATAATGATATTATTAAAACAATGATTGTTTATTTGTACAAATAACTAAAATTTCTGCCTCTCAGAAAACAAAACGTGGTCCAAATTCTGACGAACAAACCGAAGAATATATATTTCGATCGGAGTTAAAAGTCATTATGAACACGTACAAAATAGCGTGTTTTTGACACACTTTGTGTCCTGTAAAAGGAAAATGTGCATGTCCTTGTAATTGAGTTGTAAATGGAAAAGTGTGCACTCGAAAATGCCATTTCCGACAATGTAGGGACTCCAAATTTCAAAAATTTTCCGCTCGGCGCCAACCATGGTGGCGCCTCGAGAAAATCGGACCAATTATAAGTTCTCTTGTGCCCATGCTTACATGCTATAGATAGAAATTCGAAACTTTAATGGACATTTTTCATTTGCGCCCATGAATCAGCGTTCCCGATTTTCAGGTGGTTGTTATATTATACTTGTCTTAGAAGTCCTTATTTTAATGCCTGACAAAACTGGAAAATATTTGAAATATGTTTAAGTGTGCAATACCATTGGCCAAAAAAAATCTCGAGTGTGCACTTGCCGTATTCTGCAGTCTGGTATTCAGACGTTTAATACTGTGACAAGCAGTGAGTTACATTGATTATAATTTTGCTATTCTGTAGTGACACTAAATCAGTTAGAGTTATGTCCGAAGTTAACAACATTGATAGCAAATCATAATCATTTGGAAAGTGTCCCAAATTTGGATTGTTGTCCAGAACTATGGAAACTTGATCTTTCACACAATAAGGTAGTTTTTAAGCACTTTCGAATTTTACCAGTTAATCAGACAAAAACATTTTACTGCTAAGAGAAGATCGACCAAGCTGAGAAATAATATTTTTGAAACAGTATTTTCTGAGAAACAATTGTCAGAATTACTATTTCTAAAGTATTTTAACAATTCACACAAACCAATAGGCAATTCCAGCTTTTAGTTTATGCCTGCAGGGGATGATGGGAAGTAAGATATCCATAGGCATACGGGAAAGAAAAAATTAGGGGGGCAGAAAGAAATTTGCCCGACTTTTTCGGATAGTGCCCGACACGTGCCGAAAATTTTTTTTTCTGGAACAATTTATTTTAGGCGACCCATCAAACAAATTTTCCCAAAAATCGAAAGATTTACATAATTTCCCACAAAATTTACAGAATTTCTCCCATTTATTTTTATAATAACCAAATACTGCCCGACTGTGAAGCGAATGTTGCCCAACTGGCTTTGTTTGCCCAACAAACTGGGGTTATTATTAAGAAGGATTTTCTTGTTTTGACTACTTTTTGCCTGACTTTTGTTGAACATTTGCCCGACTTTTCGACTTTGTAATCTTGTTGGGGGGGGCAGCTGCCCCCCCGTCCCGTACGCCTATGAAGATATCATATTGCCGATTATGCTGAAAAATGTCAATAAAAACTACCGTTTGGGGAAACAACCGAAATATTTCAATATTTACAAGTATAAGCTATCACTCCGTGTTTACACAGCCACCATTTTAATTTTTTCAGCATAATCAGCAATGTGATACTGATACCTTACTTCCCATCGTCCCCTGCACGCATAAACTAAAAGCTGGAATTGCCTATTGACCCTAGAAGTGCTTATGTCACGCAATTTTCCATCTAAACATCTAAGGTACATAAGCAATTAATGCAAATATGTGGGATGTACATATGGGTGAAATATTCATTGTTTGGCAGTGACATGCATGATCTTCTAAGCCTCTAAGGTCAATAATATTCATTTCAGATGTATACAGCTATTTCAATTAAGGTTGTCCCCGAGCAAAGCAGAAAAGTCGAATATGAGCGCAAAAAAAATGCTGGGAATCGCTAAAAAATTAATGATTTTTTTAGCGATTCCTAGCAAGTCTTTCGCGCTCGTATTCAACTTTTCCACTTTGCTCAGCGACAACCTTAATTAATTTATTAACTTTGCCAAATTCAAATAACATTAACACAAAAACTGGCAAGGCAATCGCAACAGCTTGCGCCAATTACTGCGATCCCTAAATGTTAGAAAAATATACTATGTAGGTACATAGAAAAAAACAATTACTAACAAACTATCAGATACTTTTCACATTGCGACCCACAGGACCACTTCCATTTTTGGAAGCTGACTGAGTCATGCAGACAGTAATTAAAATAGCTGTATACTGTATATGAGCAATCACTTGTGACTTCCTTTATTTGATCATTTCTGGGAGTTTGATTACTGGTTGAGGATAAAAGGTTGATGGTAGAATGTCAACGATCGAAAAAAATATCGAGGGTGTTGAAAAAAATATTGAGGGTGAAAAAATGTCAATGGTGAAAAAGTTAAAAAGACTTGAGGGTGAAAAAAGTGTTGAGGGTGAAAAAATGTTGAGGGTGAAAAAAATGTCAAGGGTGATTATGGCTCAAGAATTTGTTCTACCTTTCTGAGAGGGAGGACATTTAATTTGAGAGCAACAGAATATCATTTAAATATTTATCTTTATATATACATGTTGCACTAAAAACCAATTGAATATAATGGACAATTTGCATGTTAGACTAAATTTTAATCTAAGTAAGGGAGCGGTCATTAATTATTGGGGGGGAGGGACGGTAAATTTTTATAAAGCAGGGCCCAAAAATACATAACCCATCTAAAATATCAGTCCAAAAAGCTTGGCCTTCCCAATGACTTTGGCCCAAAAAATTGTGGCCCTCCTTTGAGATTTTTTACATTAAAATTTGATTTGTGAATTATGTAATAATTGTGTCATCAATTTTGGGACAACACGTATTTCTTAAATCTCATGCAAAGTCCGAAATTCTTGCTCTTTCCATCCAAGTTCTACAAACTCTCCCCGATCTTGTGATCTGCAGAAAATCGGAATGTTCTTTTCTTCAATGCCTGTCCTTCACAATTAGGATCTTCATTGTCTTCCTCATCTTCATCGTCTTCAATGTTATATTAGCACTCCCAATTTGCTGTTCCACAATATCTTCTTCATCATCATCGCATTCATCGATGTCGTCGTCACTGGCATCATCGTCATCACGGCTATCTGCCTGTGAGTTGAGTGAGTACAACGACCTAACAATGTCTGATGTTACGATATCCACTTTCTCTCGTTTCAATGCACCTTTTGAGTGCTTTAACTTTCGCTTAGCAATATACAAGTCCAGAACAGCAACTTTCAACTTCACCATGATCAGCAATGCAAATCTTCAATCATCCGCAAAGTGAAGCTAGAAATAAAAATTTAGGCTGGATTCCAAATCCACGTGCAGAAATGAACAAATTGCATAACAATGTTTATGAATCATTCTATTTGGAGCGTAAAGTAGCGTACTGTGACACGAAAAAGGACTTCACCCCATGCAGAAGCTAGATGTCAGTATGACAATGAGAAGATGATTTCAAAAATCAAGAACCAGCGAGAGCATATTAAGTCTGAAAAGGATCCCTTGCAGGCTGGGTATTTTATCAGGGAAAACCATGTGCTAAAACCGCACGATAGTGAAACAACAAAACAGAAGATTATACATACAATATAGATGACCTTCAAAAATCTATTGATAAGATTGAAAAGACCTAAAAGAACACCTTGAAATACCATTCATTCAATATTTGGGCAAATTTTGACAGGACATAATACAGCTCATGATTTTGATGTAGCTTAGTTATCTCAGTTGCAGAGTGTCAAAACTGGATTAACTACTCCACGTACTAGACTTGTGGAACGTCAGAAACCATGTGAATCTGTATTCAGACACAGCTTTTCTGGAATGTAGAGGACGTCACGCTCAAGAAAGCAGAATATTAATAAGTGAAAGAAACGGAAAAGGCGAAACATTCAGAAAGAAAGAGAGAGATACTCAGAAAAATTGCACCAGATTTACCTGAAGGAAAAACATGCCTAAAGGAAGATATTCGGCCAGCAATCGTCAGAAGACTCGAAAAAAGTCAGAAAAGTGTGCAAACGCTTTAGCTTCTTCAGAATGCAATCTTTTAGATGGTCACGCTAGGGAAGAACTGCGTAGGATCTTAGGTTGGATGGAAACTGAATATGACTTAAGAAGTGGTAGCGATGATGATGATAATAATGATGAATCCGATAGCCCGCGTGCAGGCCCAAGGGAAGAATAGTGGCCTGCAAGCAAGGCCCGGTATTTTGTAAAACGTCCCGTTTCATAACACGCCCCATTCGCGCGTCAATTGTCAAAAAAGAACCAATGACAGTGCTGCTCAACCCAAATAGTAACAAACAAATAAAATGTTGCGGGGTTTTCTCTGCTTTAATATTCAAAATAGAAACAATGTGTAAATGGCTGTGTTTTAACTCCAAAAAAGCAAGCAATGCAGTCAGTAATTGCTAAATTTGCAAGTGCTCATTTTCAACTAAAACCGGAACAGGCAAATTAGGACGAATTTCAACAGAAAATCAGTCTCAAACTTCAAATCGTGAGGGAAGTCGTGCGACCACATTAGCATTAATGTGTGCTTCGCTGTCGCCATTGTTATAAATAAATTGTCTCACTTGTCAGATCGTGTGTGTAATTCTTGTTGGCGGCGGAAAGTACGAAATTTATTTCAGTTATTTCATTTGGTAAAGAACTCTACAAAAGAAGAGAGCGTTCAGAATCCAGATCGTTTCGTTTCAAACGGCAATTACCGATCCATTACCGTATTCTGTTTCGCTCTCTCAGCGAAGCCTTGCAAATCGCAAAGTGTTTCGAATAGGCTTACATGCAACTGCCTCTAAATCTTCACCGCGAAAAGCGCTGTTTTCTTCAGTGCAAGAACAGAGTCAACACCAACCAAAAGATAATTTTCTTCAGGAACATATAACGTATCAAGTCTGTTTGAAATTAATGCATGAAACTCAAGTAAAGGTTACTATAGTTTATCCCAGTCGTAATGTTGCTAAACAATAAACAGTCTGTTCTTGTTCCATTTTTAATCAAAAAAGTGATCAATTTTCGAATTTTTTAGCTTATCGAGAGCTTTTGTGATGAATCACTGATCTAATTATAGAATCCAACAGCAAACAGCCAATCAGAATGCCGCGTTCGTGGGCGAACGCGGAAAGTACAAAATACCGGGCCTTGCTTGCAGGCCACTATTCTTCCCTTGGGCCTGCACGCGGGCTATGAATCCGACGGGAGTGGTGATAATTGTGAAAACTATTATGGTGAAAGTGGTGAAAGTGATGGGGATTGTACTGATGGTATTGATGGTACTGATGATATTGATGGTACTGATGATATTGATGGTGCTGTTGATATTGATGGTACTGTTGATATTGATGATAATGATCATATTGATTGTACTGGCAAAAATGATGGCGCTTTTAATGATTGGAGCAGCAGTTCAGATGATATTGGCCCTTATTGGAAATCATCTACATGCACACCATACAGTACTTTGGGCCAATATGTGAATGACTAATGTGATTATTATGTACGCCCACTTTTTAAGATAATTTGATTGTACTGCGAATAATATTGAATACCAGTGTATTTTATTATGTATGTGTACATTTTGCTATGGTTTACTTTTAATTAATGATATTTTCAACAACAATGCAAATGCAAAATTTAAAAATACCTGCAAAATTGAGTGGGAATAAGGACATGCTTATAAACGTAAATATATTTCAGATATATTTCAGATCACTGTTTTAGTGACAACATTTGCTATAAGTGTAATATAATATAATCTATAGGTTCAAAATAATGTGACCCTCCCTAAACGTCGGCCCTAAAAATTTCAGCCCACCCCAAATTGAAGCTAAAACAATCTCAGCCCTATTTTCAACCTGCGCATGCTCACCAGTACATTTCGGTGCAGTATAGGTGAAGTGGAAAACAGGCTTAACAATAAGATTGTATGGTGGATGTCTGAGATTATCTGCCATTTCACACCCGCAACACTTCTTAACATTGCACTGAATGACGACAATGTAGTAGGCAACATGGTCTCATTGCACGCGGAATGGAACTGCGGAAGTATTGTTCAGGGTGTCCACGGGCCTTGAAAATCCTGGAAAGTCCTTGAATTGGAAAAAAGAATTCCAGGACTGGAGAGTCCTTGAAAATCAGTAGACGTCCTTGAAAGTCCAGGAATTAATTTCCTTAACCTCCAGCTGTGCCAACATTAGTGATTTTGATTAAAATTACTGAATAAAGTGAATTATTTGCTGGTTAAATTTCACCTTCACCAAAGGGTGGACACCCTGAATTTGTTGCTGACTCAATGCTTCCAGTTCAGGCGGATGAGTGAAAGGTGTAGCAAGGCCGGATTCTGGTGAAAATGGTGGGGGAGATGAAGCGGTCTAGGTTACAGCTCCATGGAATATCAGGGCTCACAACGTACTGCCTAAAGTCAACTACGTGACGTATGCATGTACTGTAGCACTGATCTGGAAAATAACACTACTGGATAGTGAATGCACTATGCGTTGATGAAGCCAGTGGTGGCCATATTGGTGTGACCAGCACAAATCTTCTGTGGTATTGCTGAAATGTTAGAAGAGCTTCAAACAGTTTTCGTTATTGTTGGGAAAGGACACGTCTAGATAGTTTTACGTCAGGTTTACGTCACTAAAGTTCGATAAAATACTCAACAGCCCCTCCCCCCCCCCCCACACACACACCTAATAATTTTCCATACTTATTTTGATTTATTATTTTGAGATAGATACGCTATATATTAAGCTGTGAATTAGTCATTGTATTTAAATTTCAGTGCACGTAAATATAGCTTTATACCAGTGTCATGCGTACACCTTATCCATAATTCGCAATACAACAACAACAACAACAACAACAACAACAACAACAACAACAATTTTATTATAGCTATAAATATTTACAATAACAATCTGTCCGCAGGTAGCAAAAGCTAATCGAGGCGGACAATTACAAAATAATTAAATTAAGGATAGATATTTGAGATGTAGTTTACAAAAGGTGAAAGAATAATAAGAGAAACTATAAGAGAGATAATATTACGTGATTTAAAATTACGCAGTTGCAATTTAGCATAAGCATCAACAAAAAATAATAAAAGGAACAAGGTAAGAACATAGATATGCGCTTACCTATAATTTAATTTATGTTTGAAATTTTTTTATTATTGTAGCGAGATCAACATAATCCTCCTCTATAGTAAGTATAGATAACAATATCTCATGCAATTTTCTCTTGAATTTGTTTTTAGAAGAATTACACAAATCATCAGATATACTATTCCATATCCTGACTCCCGTTCTTGAAAATGACCTATGTAACTTGTCCAAACGCGAACTTTTAACATAGAAGTTGCTGCCAGAGGAGAATCTAGTGTTACATTTGTTAACTTCACGCGCCGGGATAAATAAATTTGAAATATTTAACGGCGTCATTTTGTTATAAACATCGTGCATTAGCACAGAAACAGACTTAAAATAAAGCATATCGATAGGTAAAATTTGATCAGAAATAAAAAAAGGGATCGCATGGGATCTATACTTCCCAAAGTTCATTAATCGAAGAGCACGCTTTTGAAGCTTAAAAATCTTGTTAAGGTAAACCCTAGCAGCTTGACCCCATAGAATAATACCATACGAGGTATATGGTAATATAAGAGATCTGTATATATCCGATGTAGTACTCCTTGGAACAAAATGTCTTAATTTGGCAATAATGCCAATTGATTTGCTTATTTTCGAAGCAACGTAGTCGATATGATCTTTCCATGTGAGGCCACTATCAATAAGTACACCCAGATATTTAACATAATTTTTATGCTCCAGAGAGCTAAATGTATTTGAATGATTGTCGAATATTTTCAGGTCTACCTGATAATCTAACCTTTTCTGGTGAGAGTGGAAAATGACAAAATTAGATTTTTTAACGTTAAGAGATAATTTGTTTGCAGTTAACCAATTATATAATTTGATTAGTTCGTGATTAACAGTAGTTTCCAAGGACCTTAGATCATTGTCAGCATATAATAGATTGGTATCATCGGCAAACAAAGAGAATTTTAATTTATCGGTAGAGTTATATATATCGTTAATGTAAATAAGAAATAACAGTGGTCCTAAAACCGATCCTTGAGGTACGCCAGAGAGCACTGTCTCTTTATCTGATACTACAGTACCAATCTGCGTTGTTTGAATGCGATTTAGTAAATATGACGAGAACCAATCATTAATAATTCCACGTATTCCATAATGCTGTAATTTTTGTAATAATATGGAATGATTTACTGTATCAAATGCTTTCTGTAAATCAATGAAGATACCACACGTATACATGTTTTTATCCATATTTGTTTGAATTTGATTCACAATGTCAATTATGGCATGTTGGGTTGAACGTTTTTCGCGAAAGCCATATTGATTTTCATATAGCATATTGTATTCCTCAAAAAAGTTTTTAAGACGCTTATACATAACTTTTTCAAAGATCCTATTGAAAATTGATAAAAGCGATATTGGTCTATAATTGGAAGGATCGGTTTCATCGTCATTTTTGAAAATCGGAATAACTTTAGCATGTTTAAGTTTATCTGGATAAATACCAGATTCTACAGATTTGTTGATTAAGACAGATAAAGGGTTACTTAAAATATATCGTGAGCATTTTAAAATACGTGCAGGGCAGGAATATAGACCATATGATTTGTTCAACGGAATTGTCATTATTTCCAACTCAAGCTCTTTGGGGGAGACATAATTAAATGCGAATGAAAACGGATTAGTGGAATTTGATAAATATTCATGAAATGAGGTTGAGGAATTTGGCATAGTTTAGAGGCCAGTTCATGGCCAACCGAGGAAAAATGTTTGTTAAAAATGTTTGGGAATTCTGAAGTATTAGACGATAATATATTTCTTTTAGGACATCTAAGAGACGTTATATGTTTGCTACTCTTCCTTTTACGGTTGATGAGATTATTTATTCCTTCCCATGTTTTCTTAGTGTTGAAAAGATTATCCTCAAAATATTTCGTATAGTAAGCTTTCTTACTCAAACGAGTAAGAAGTGATATCTTATTTCTGTAATATTTATACATACTTATATCACCTGAGCAAAATAATACATTCTTAGTTTTAATTGATTTCCTTAAGCCACGTGTTATCCATGGTTTTGATAATTGTTTACTTTTACGTTTCGATACTGGTTTCAAGGGCGCGTGCTTATTGATTAGTTTTTGTAATTTATTGTAGAATATTGAGAATGATTTATTAAGGTCATTCGTTCTTGAGATGGTTGTACTCAAATCTAGCTGAGAAAGTTCAGTATTGAATTTAACCTCAGAGAAATTTGAGTAATCTCGAGATAATTTTGTTTGGCTTTCACTATTATTAGCACCTATGTCCGAACAAGTAATGCAAAACTGCGAGTAGTGATCGCTTATATCAGAAACTATGTTACCGCTTAGGATAGAGCTATCAACGTTATTTGAAAATATATTGTCAATAAGTGTGGCGGAGTCCTTATGCACTCGCGTTGGTTTGTCAATAGTCGGGGTCAAGTTGAAGCTTTGTAGAGAGAGAAGAAAATCTTGTGCGAAGTTACATGAACAGCAACGGAGGAGGTTTATGTTGAAATCACCCATCACATAAATAGTTTTGCCAGAAGCCGACAATTTCTCGATAGTTTCTTCAAAATAAGCCTGAAAACGTTCCGGCGAATTGTGTTGCCTATAAATTACACCGCATATAATATTTGCATGTTTCGGTTGAATAATTTCAATCCAAAGCGCTTGAAAAGCCTCATTAGTGCATTTTTCAATTATTGTGTAATTTAGGGCATTATCTATATACATTCCAACTCCTCCAGCAGCTTGAGGCGTTGGAACGTATTCAAAATTATAGTTTTGTAAAGCGGGATTAAAATCACTTATCTCTGTTTGGTTAATCCTAGTTTCTGTGACACCAATTACACTAAAATTATAATGTAGTTCATCTAAGAGATGTGTTTGTAAGTTATCTAAATTTTTTTTAGGCTTCTTACATTATTGTGAAATAAGGAAAACTTAGAATTATTTAACCTATTTTTTAACTGATCGAAGCTGTGAGGTGAATAATATTTGCAGCGCACTGGTTGTGGGCGTTCTGTATTCTAGGAAACGGGAATAAACACTGGAAAATTGGGAAAACATTTTTTGTTGCCGTCTATTTCGGCGTTTTCAACCGCGACTTGTAAATTTGCAACTTTAATTGCATTTCTAGGTCAGAGATAACTCAGATTTCAACATTTCCCCGTGCTAGCATACCCCCTCCCCTACTCCCAGTAACACACGCCTTCGGCGTTCGTTCCCCCCTCCCCCCAATCCAAAAATCTTCCGCAGTCCCTGCGACGGACGCCCTTCTAGCCAAAATTACCCGGGGTCCCTCTGAGGTAGCCAGTCCGCCCCTGCACATCAGAACGCATTGAACTGTATTAGACTGTATTATAGACTGCATTGGACTCCGCCATTAGCTTATGTATCAATTGATTCTCTCGCCTACAAGAACATTGTTGTTATTTAATTCTTAGCTCCAAGACATAAATGGTTTGTGTAGATTTTCTGTTCTTGGCTGTCTTGTTCTTTCCAACAACTGCTTGGACTGGAGTGATCTCGAAGGTCTCCATCAAACACACATCTTAGAACTTAGTCTTCATGGAAATCCAAGGCTCGAGAAAGATCCTTATTGTAAGTCGTCCGGACAGGTTAGATAACATCTGGGGCCGGTTGTTCAACCGAGAATATAAATCCTAGCTGCGTCAGTTGCCAGAGTTTTGCCCCGGGTCCCGCGCAACCTTTTGCGTAGAGGGTGTCCATTATCAGCCTCGCCCCCAGGCTCCAAGTCAGACGCGCGGGTTCCGACGCAAGCAGTGGACGGTCCTGGATTATCAAATACTGGTACCTTTATTTCTAAATGTATATCCTGGATACTGTAGGGTACAATAACAATCCCATTTGGAGCCATAATGTAGGCAGGTATGCATCTCGTCTGAAGTCTCTGTATAGTAGTGTCTCCTTTCCTTGTAGTCTGTTATAATATATTGTCCATTTTATTGTAATTTTGCCAGATCGAATGCATATCATTGATTGTCTTCCTTTGGTATGGATGTTGGATGGCAGACTCATAACATGTAAGCATTGAAAAACTCTGCATGATCATAATAGAAATCGTTCTTCAGCAGCAGCAGCAGCAGGATGTTGTTGCTTCTTTCGTTTTGGTTTTCAGTTCAGCTGTTTAATGAAATTATTTTTTCAAGTTTTAAAAATAGTGGGTTAAAAGCTAACAAATTAATCTCCGGATAGTTCCTCCGCAGCAGGGGCGAAACTTGAGGGGGGGGGGGGGACACCCCCAAAGTACAAGTCATCTGGATTGGCAGGGCAAATCATCTGGATTGGCAGGGCAATGAAAGATTTCAAATGATAGAATGTGGGGTTAAGTAGATTCCAGGGCTTCCAGAGGGAATTGAATATAATTTATAGACCTAAATTTTACAGATATTGGTAAAAAAGAAGGGTTTCATGCATGTTTTAACAGGAATTTGTCCGAAAAAATTTTTTTGACCCTTAATTTAATTGGTTATATGCGGAAAAATGTTTTCGCCCCTTTTTTGAATGTCCGGAAAAAATGTTTTCGACTGTACAGACTTGGAAGATACAGTGTATATATGTATTGTAGCGACTTCTATAGTGTTACCCAGTACATATTTTAAATGTTTTACAGTGGAGGGTCAAAACCAAGATTTGGGCCCAGTGTGGGCTTCGCAGAGTAAGATTTAGGTCATCAGGTACGGTTAGGTCCCAGTCTGAGCTATACTAACTACAGAAAATATGCCTTGCTGTTACCCAAATACACAGAAATGTTATCGTTTTCATTTTTAGGTTTGCACGAGGGGGTGGGTCACTGGTCCTGGTGTGTAGCAACCTCAAAAAGGCAGTTTATATTTACAAAAATATAGTGGGTGTTTATGATATTGGTATGCCACACATCGGCCATGTGATGAACATTGCATTTTATTTCTTTATCATCTATTTTGATTTGATGTATAGCTGCAGAAAGACAGCAAGTACGAAAGTTCTTCTCCGAAAGTGAATTAACAGAACGCCCTGTGGTAAGATTCATTCTGCATGATACATTAGTTTTTCTTATAATATATCTTTTCATATTATGTAACAAGCTTTTTGGCAAAAATCTTGAGTTCTTGAATCTTCTTATATTATTCTCCACTTTGAAGTTGTGGATTTTAAGCATTTGACATGAATTAGTCCATTACATACAGTATATTGTGTAAAAGAAGTTATTGCATGTTTACAATGTGTATGATGTAAACTTGGTATCATGTAAATTCAAATGATGACATTATTCTGGAACGTTGTTTGAATCATCATTACATACAGTATGACGTCATCAAAGTTTAGTTCAAAGTTTAGTTCAATCCTCTATTGTAAAAAATCTTATTATATTAATATAAGAAATAAGAAGATTTATTTAAAAAAAATCTTATCTATAACACTGAGATAATCCGTACTGCTGTTTGTAGTGTGAGAACCAACCGGTCCCTAGAATAGCACGATCCTTACTGGCAACATTGGTTGTGGGGTCAAATCATGCTGATAAATTGTCCCTATATTTCATTTCATTTGATTCCAAGTTGATGCACTATAACGGATTATTTATTTTTTTTAAACCGACGAGTATATTCTGTGTCGTTTCTTTGCCGAAATTTGTTCAGACGGATTGTTGATCTCTACTACTGTATAAATTTGACAATAATTTTTCATAGTTACGTTATTCAAATTTCTACTTATTTTCGTCTGAATTTCTTAGCGTCACAAAATATCGAGGAAGAAACGTTTCACTCCAACTCCTCTGCAAAATCTTGCAGTGACTGGTGTCTTTGGTGAGAAGGTGAATATGAATTCATACGATAGTTCCCCTACAAAATGTCTAATTTGTATTTTGTGATACTTCATATTTTAAGTAAAATCCCAAAAGGCTATTCGCAACATAAAGTCAAGATGCATTAGAATTTGAATCAGCATAAGGACCTATTCAGAGATCTGCCAGGGGGGCTCTAACGTACAATTGAGTATAGAGTTGACCCTGAACTAGGCTACTACTTTGCTATCGCTGCAATAATATTATTTAGGCTAATACATTACAAGAATGTCTTGTGTCTCTAAATATGAATTTACTTTGTGCTCTCACTAGTTTGCTTGATAAATCAATACACGAATTTGATTTTCTAGTTCCAGTTCCCCTTGGGGACAAACAACTACTTAATAGCTATACTTTTACCCTAGTAAATGACTGGCACCAGCCCGAGTACTGATAGGGAGGACTGTAACTATAGCAATGTAGTGCACAGTAGATTCACAGTAGAAAGTTTTAGATTTGACGAGTACGACGTAACGACCACTGCATAATACGAGATTCGTTGTTTGGACATACTCGCCATCTTCTTGCGCCATTACGCACGCACGCCATAATCTCGTAGTATATACTTTGTTTTAGTATGAGTCTTTTCAAAAAACCCGTTGTCAATTAACGGCTACGGGATTTATTATATGATGACGTATCCAAATAAACGAATGTCGTAGTTATACTCGTGGTTTAATTTAAAGCTCTCTATTATTAGCAAAGCGACATCCCAGAACGCTGGGTATGCAAATTTCAGATCGAGTTAACTTTATGTTGACAATATACACTCACTCTGTTGTTTTTTTTTCCATAAATAATATACTGCCAGTATACTGTAAATAATATATATTTAAAATCTTGTACTGTCCTTTTCACAAGCTGGGTCTGCATATCTTTCCCATAGACTGAACACTGGATGAAGAGATTTTCTTTACACGAGAAATTAACGCAAGGTAAAGTACTGTTAAACTTTTACCGCGGTCATTGGAAATTACTCGGTGTTCACTATAGTTCTCAGTATATTTTATATCACTCATCGTTGGTTTTTAGAGATTTTATATATGACTTAGCGGTGTACTGTAGATTCAATAGATGTTAATGTAGATTCAATAAGATGTTTCCGAGAAATAACGGGCTTTTTGCCGGAACGTATATCTGCAGATATTACCGTTTAGCGCATTCATGCATATCTTACCTTCTATCGCGTTCTATACGTCTCTGCGGAGGAGAGAGATGTCGCAGAAAGGTTTGTGTGAACCACAATAAATAAACTTGATATGTTTCTTCGGGATAGTTCCATAAGGTCCCTGGAGTTCCATTAAGGCCCATTTCTTATTGGTCCAGTTTTACTGCAGGAGGAAACCGGAATACCTGAAGAAAAACTACGACCAAAGTCGACCAAGGCGTTATAAAAGAATGCATGTAGGAATTGAACCAATGCAGCCCCAGAGGTGGTGGCATTAACTACTCACTCACCAACACTCCCATGTCTCCGTGTTTCGTTATTATCCATTCATTTGTTTTGTTCATTCGCGTTCTTGACTTTGAACACAAGGAGTAAACTCTAAATTGACATCGTAAATAATTTCCATTCAACAGAACTGGACAGAAGACGACTTCGTTACTTGGCCTTCAATTTGCAAGAAGAATTTCGTCTTCAATCACAATGTTCCAACAGCAATGAAAGGTGTAGATTGAAATAGTGTTATCATTTTAAAAAATAACAGTACATTAGGCATTACGTAATTTTCTTGTCATTACATAATGTATAGGATTACACTTATATGCTTATATGTTTTCCCGCTCGAATATAATGTTTCTCTATCGTCTTGATCACAGTCACAACTTTATGCTAACCTTGTTGTGCGCGAAACATGACATGACGCAATACATGTATAAAATAAATGATAAATTTGAAAACGGTTAGAGCAAAAATATAGGCAAACAATATCACATCCGTGCTTGGCTCAATATATTACGTACCGTGACCTTCAGCAGAGCATTGACGGACCCTTTCACATGAACATCGTGAGTCCGGAATAAAAATGGCACCTACAAGGTGTACGTCATTTGTCCTGACAGCTGGGCTTCTTGTTGCTGCCGAGCGTAGCGAGGCAGCACACTAATCTCTACACGTGGTGTGCTTACCACGTGACCGCCGAGTTTATAGCCGCTACAATCTCGATTTATGTCATTTTGTCATCCACGGACGGGCCAAAACTAGCTGTTTTGATATTATTTTTTTGTTCCCGGGGGGGTTTGTTCACAAAATGGCGACTGTTATAAACGGACAGAAATATAAAAATCATAAAATAATGCGAATCTCCATAAAAATTCCGAGTAATATTTGTGAAGATGAATGGGTAAATAAAGCACGGTGTTATTTTGTGTCTCTGGCGCAAGAATGATCGACAATATTTTGAATAATTCAGGTAAGGATGGCTTTATTTCGTTCTCGTATAGTGATGTAGTCGTGCCGTGTGCCCTGTCTACCTGTCTGGTGATATATTTTATAATACATGAAGGCATTTATATTTAAATCTGCTGTTTATACTTGTTTAGTCACTTTAGTGTATTAAACTTCGATATAGAGGCATTGAAACAATATGATTTCAAGAATATATCGGCAATTATAATACCCACTGAATCACTGATCTATTCCCAACCAAATCGACAGTAATGATTAATGCCTTTATGCTGATACAAGAAGCAAATGAACTTTTAGTTTATTTGTTTATGTCACTTAATATTTGCAAAGCCAAAGGCGGTGAGTAAATAATAGTGTTCGGTACGTTCTATTTCTAGATGTTTATAGTTTAAAAACAAACGCAGGATGTTGTTAAATCAGGCTTAACAAGATTCCTAGAGCTACCCAGTGTGGATTGTTGTCTGCATATATGGACTTATCAGCAATTACATGTAATATAGCATATCAACTGACTTTTGTATAAGATATGACTTGTATAAGACTGCCTCAGTTATATATAAAGCCTATAAACATGATATTCTACTGACATACATTGATATATACATATGGCTGTGTTACCACAAATGCTCACAACTTCATGCAACTTCTTTCTAACAATATAGTTTTGCAGTTCTGACTGTTCTGAGTATGATCTTATTCATTCAGAAATATAAGCATTGCACTGTATTCAATGGCAAGCTATCCTGGATTCCAGAGCCTTCAGTTAATAATAAATTGAAATATCGTGAAGGCTCTGGTTCAACGGGAGGATTCTTTGATTAAACTGTGCCAATCACAAAACAGAATTAGCAGTTTTAGTACAGATTTTGGGCGTGTTAACCCATTAAGCGCCAGCGCTCTCCCCTTGATGAGTAAAATCGTCTGGCGTTAGACAGAGTAAAATACTGTTCAAAGTAGGGTGCAATGCGACTCAATGGGTTAATATAGTACATAACATAGGTCATAGACATACAGTTTCAATACAATACAAAATGATTTTGAACAACGTCAAGGTCAATGAAATCATACAAAATGAATTTATGGAATATCAATTAAATGTATTTAAAACAAACATAATTTCAACATCCCAATAAGCAATAACATCCCAGTAAGTATAAATTCAATTCATAAATTGTTTGAGTAGCCAAATTAAAAGTTGTACGAGTGACAAATCATTCAATAATATTCACATTTTATCATTTATATTATGTGTCAACTATCAAAGTCGCACTGTTAAGTATATTAAAATATACTTTTCATAAGATTAGATGTAAGATATAATTGTACGAAGGTAACTGAGGAACGACGATGTGTAAGACAATAAATCATACATACAGTGAAAAACGCTCTTTTTGTAGCACATCCTACATGTACATATCGGCAGCATTTTCATTGCGATAGTAACTCCTAGTCATTAAATTAATTGCTATCTTTTGAACTAATATTGGTGAGCTAACGTTTCCCGTACATACTTGTGGACGTGTTGTGTTTCAACAGGAAAACAGATGAAGAAATATTTACAGCAGTTGTTGAACAACGAGAAAATGACAGGGAAAAAAGTAACATGTTGTTACTTCTTTTAGTTGTAAGTATGCTCTTGCATTGCTTTTAGTTCTAAACGCCTGTTTACACTTGCAATTTTTGCTACGATTTTAGGTGCGATTTTCGTCTTCTGATGGATGTGAACGAGTGGATGAATATGAATTTTCTGAGTATATGTACCTTCATCTCAACATTCGTAACTTATCCACTCGTTCACATCCATCAGAAGAAGAAAATCGCACCTAAAATCGCAGCAAAAATTGCAAGTGTAAACAGACCTAACTGTTCACCCTGTGAATGGTGGGTCTAGTATTCAGAGTCAAACTGAAAGCACGCTTCTCACATGCGAGTGAGGTGAAGCGAGGTTGCAGAAGTGAAATGCACTACTATACAACTGTTTTCACTGACTTCCATTATAAGTTACGGCATATGCTGCATCTATATACTGCAGTTATAGGAAGCTGCCTGAATATGTACTACTTGTACAAATTATTGTTATTCAGTTGCTTGGGTGCACTATTGCATAGGCCCACCAACGTCGGCTTTGCCGTTCCTCATCAATGGTATAGTCAACAACGAAAGCTTGTTCCGTACCTATAGTCACATGGCCATTGGCTAAAACAGTTTTTCTGTAGTACTCCTGTCACAGTTTAATAAAAATACACTCTCATACATCAACACATATTCTGTATAATCGAGGAAAGCTAGCTAGGAAAGCTATGGCAGAAAATATTCTTGACTATTTTGGTATGGTTGATTTAAAATGAAACACCTGTTTAAATGTAGTTTTGGTGGAACTAACAGGTGCATGGGCTACTGATATATAGTAGTTATAGTTACTGATTTCAATTCTCCCAAAGTTGCCGCTATAGTTTGGCGCAAGCTTCATCATGAACCAAATGTCGCAATACAATAAATACATGTTACTAGGTATATATACAATAATAGGAAGACGAAAATTTTAATATTTGAATTTTTTGGACAAATCGTTTTGGTTGAAATTGAATCCTAAATTATTGAAAATAACTGTTTCTGGAGTGAACTTTTCTTTTGGATTTGTTTCACTTTGAATTATTACTTTGAAAACACAATCTGAAAGAAGGATATTTTACAATTGTCTACATACTGTCCTAATGTGAATATTTGAATTTTCTTTGCAGGCTGCGCTAGAATTTCATATTCCTGAGCAAGTTCTGCAACAAACCCTAGATATTGCAAAGTTAACTAAAATTGGGCAAGTATCCGCAATATATATAATCAATATAAAACTTCAGAACCATCTGTTACTGTGTTAGCATTAACGATCTCTCCAATGACATTGGATTTCAGATATGTTTGTTTAAGTGTTAAGGATTCTCCTAATTATGGTGAAGGGATTCACCTAATTATGGTGAACGGATATTCTGAAAGTTGTCTTTAAAGCCTATATCTTAAAAGTATATGTTTTGTAACAACACATTGAATTATACTTTATGAGCATGCCTATGGATAACTTACATACATACAGTATTGCTGAATGCCAAGAAATTATTCACTTCGAAAATTGAACTGGAATTTGACTGGAATGGGCATCAAGCTTGACTAAGACGATGTCATGTTTCATTGTGGACAGTAAATTTTATGATTGCTCTTCAACACTATATAATAAAGATTGTTTGCATTAACTATACAAGCGCGAGCTGAAGGGGAGTTCAATTTTTTATGAAATGACCAATTTAGTTTACAGGATGCTAACTAGTTTTAGCACTTATGGGTGGAATAATATTGTTGCTGCACCTCATTAAACATTGTTTTTCTGTCACAGGTCACATGATACAAAGGACTTATTTTTGTTACCAAAGAAGCAACAATGTTCTATGGCATCCTTACTTCTGTCCGGAGTTAAAATTGATCGCGATGCGAAGCGTGTAAGTATATTGGTAATCTTTATTTTGTTTAAGCAAGATAATCATAATCTGGTCTCTCTAGTATTCATATTCCCCCCACCAAATCTTACCTTTCCACACACCTTTCTGCTGTCTTCACACCGTACATGTTTTCTATTTCCACATCTCATTGGCAGACGATGTCGATCCACCACCATACTGTTGTTCCATTTCGTTCATCACCTCCATTCTAAAATTACCTCTAGTCAAGTGGGTCTTTGCTATCCTGATTCTCTGTTGAAACAAACCTCTTTCTCTCCAACTTCTGAACATCAATTTTTACATCTACTGGTTTGTGCTGTGTTGCTACAGTCGCTGATGGTATCACTTTACAGTATACATAACTGTGGATATGATCAAATGCCCTTTACATCAAGTGTTATGCTTACCTAATTACACATTTAGCCTAGATTATTTTATCTTTACAACAATTATGATATTACTTTCCTAACTGTGTTTATCCTCCCTGCCAACTTTCCCTGTGGGAGGAAACCGGAGCACCCGGAGAAAACTCTGATCTCAGAGGTGAAAGGCGCTTCCTCTGACATACCGCGCCAACGAAACCCTAAAATTTATGCTGCTGCCTGCTGGTTCAGCGTTGGGAAGGAGGCGGCTTACTGCTACATTGTGTACCGCTCCAACTGCAATGCTGCTTCAAGATCATGTGCTGCAAAAAATAAATAGAAATTCTTAAAAGGTAATACCATAGACGGATTTTCATATTTATTACTGGGGGTGGTGCCAGAAATTTTAGGGGGGTGAGCCGTGAGCAGGTGACTGAAGCAACACAAAGTGTGACCAAACCCCAGTAAGGTCCATATTCTAGCTAGGGGTGGAGCACTAGAGCCGCGAGGGGGAGTCTAGAGAGCAGAAACAAAGTATCCCAGGAAAAATTTGAAAAAATCATGATTTTTAGCTTCGAAAAGTTTTTTGAAGTTGTCAATTTGTCATACAATGGATTTGGCATGTCCGATTGTCTGTTAAGACTTGAGAGAGTTAAAGACTTAAAGTTAAATAAACCTGTAAAAGTGTAAACCTAGAAGGCCAGTACACAATATGCTTTTACTTTTATAAAGTCATTGACATTGTGTTGTTTGAATCCGAGTACAATTTATGATGCAACTCCGACGTAAATAATATTTGGGGCGTAAAGATTAAATCTAGGCAAGTCTATTTCCTAACAGAATTAAAAACTAAAAATAGTGTTCGTAAAAATCCCAAACGTTCCTTGCGTGCAAGCTATTCGCATGGCACAGACCTGCCAAGTTCGGAAGATAGGAATGCGTGACCAGGGCCGTTGCGAGGACTTTGCCTTTCGGCGGGGGGAAGGTTAGATTTACCGCCTGAATTGTTTCAATTCACCTGATTTTGCGAGGCGCTATCATGGTTGGCGCCGTGCAAAAAAATTTGAAAATTTGAATTCTCTGGACCGTCGGAAATAGCATTTTTAGAGTTTTTCCTTCCCTAGATTTCAATGTTTTACTGCTGCCTAACAATGAAGATAAGTAAAATAACTACTGATCAATATGACAGTGTTACTTACAGTTTAATGTGACTGGGAAAATTGAGAAAATTTTGGAAATTTGGAGTCTCCAGATCGTCAGAAAGCGTATTTGGCCATGTACCCCCAGGCCACGATGCATCTGAACGTCTTTATTTGGTTGGTCGATTGTTAACTCTAATTCTATGTTTGCACACAGCGTTGTCAATGAGTTATTGTACGAAAAGTGGGATAGCGTCATATAATGGTAAAAATGCGTAACTTTAAGATCATTTTAGTTATGCGTGCGGGACAGCGGGAACAAAAGCAGAATGCGTAACTTTCACGCGAAATGCGGGAACCTTGGCAGGTCTGGTCAATGACAAGGCACTGTAAACTCTATTCAGGGAAGATAATAGAGTTTCAAAACTTTACAATTGCTCCAATAAACCAGTGAATGCAAGCGAGGAGCGATTAGTTTCAGAGTGTTGCACTTTTTCTGTTCGAGTGTACTCCTAGGTTTATTTTGTATCATCAACACTCTGCACGTTGGAGTGGACTATTTAATTATTTATTTTTTATGCCGAATATTGGGGGGGGGGGTTGAAATTTTTTTTGGGGGGGTGGACATTTTGTTTGGGGTGGTTATAGCTAATATTGGGGGGTAGCACTTGGCGAAAATCCGTCTATGGGTAATACAGGAGTTTAAATGCGAAGAGAATGATAAAAGAAAGGAAAAGAGGAACGTGGAAGAGAACGGAATAGCAATGGAAAGTTTATTTAAATAATTATTTTACACTTTTTATATTTCTATTATTCCATATCAGGATGATGGACTTTACGACTGTCTGTATCTATGTTTGTACGACCTCGTTTCTGAATGGCATAAATTAACGAATAACCATAACATCCCGAGGTAAGGAAACTGTCTGATATGCCTTTCCATTAATTAATTTGGATGTTTTAGGAAAATTTTTGCGCATTTCAACTCGTCCTATTTTAGTAGAAAATTATATTATTGTTATTGCCGATGTTCTCCATATGTATTTTGCCATTGTTATGTTTATTAAAGGAAAAGTGGAGTGAGAAATATTTTGGCAGCTGAGGTTGTGCAGTTGTTTTGCATTGTCCCAGCATTTCTTATGCTTCTTGAGAAAGATACAGGTACAGCCCAGTTTGTGTGTTTCTTTCAGTAGCGTGTTGAAATAAAAGTCTGTATAGGATTTGATTGGGACGAAATTCACTCCAACACAGGATCACTATTCAACCTCGCAAGCCAGGCTCTGTACTTCCGGTTCCCTCCCAAACACGCTCCAGCGTAAACACGTTCCAGCGTGTTAGGGAGGGAAGCGGAAATAGAGAGCCTGGCTTGCGAGGTTGGATCACTATTATTGTGTATTTTATTGATGATATGTTCTTGCTCCAAGAACAGGGTATAACCGAGACAGAGGGAGCAGGATGCATTTTACCCTTTCCCAATTAGCCTTTCTCACGCGGGCCAATATCCATCATTTTTGGGGTCATTTTTCGAAACTGAAAATTTTTCTTCTTACTGTCTTCCCTCCTCAAAGAATCTAGACAATCAAAACAACAAGCGACTTTTCAGATTTGTAACTGTAAAGTTACCATTATACACACAACTACAAAGTCGCGTTTCGCGGTGCGCACACACTCAGACCACCTGACAGAGGCAGTACCATCCCAAAAATGGCGGATAAACCGAGCGCACGAAAGGCTAGTTATGACGTTACAGGTCCCCCATGCCCCCGGGAAAGTCTAGATCCGGCCCCCGCATAACCTCTCGGCGACCCTTTGTTTTGGTAGCTCTCGCCACCAACTGTGATGTTTCAGTGACGGTGTTCATTGAATCACATATTAACATTGTGCAAGCAATCACAGAGGCAGTACTTTATAGAAGATAACTACTGTACTAGAAACCACTACTGATAACCAGATAACTACTGCAGTTACGCTGCTTGTATATGTCGGAACCAGCTATCCAGCCCTTGTGAGTGACGTCACAACCGCCATTTTGGGTGGCAAATGTTTAGAGCTAGATAACATACACCGCATCCATTAGCCTTCAAAATTTCACAAATTTACTAATCGGTGGAGCTCCAATATTATTTTGATTAATACGAATTCAGAAAGGCATTTTTTTTGCGAATCCACGCAGTCAGTCGTTTCCTTTGCTGTCTGTCATTTTTGCCACCCAAAACCGCGTGATTTCTTAGCGTGACATGATATTCCCGCGTGACTGCAAGACATAACTGAAGAAAATGTCTTGAACTGCACACAAAAGATGCCTTACAGTAATTTTAGTGTATTTGTCAATCAAATTGAAAAGTGTTTTACATGATCTTTTATTTGGAAGGTTTGTTAGAGCTTGTATCATCAGCAACAAAAGAGCCTGATATTGCTGAACAGGTGTACAGTCTGGTAGCGGAAGAAAAAAGTAAAGGAGTAAGTCGGATATTTATTGTTTGTAGCTTGGTAGCGTGGTTTTATACTTCATTTCAGAGTTTCGATTTCTGATTATAATTTTGCCTGAGTTGACATTCGAAATGAGTGATTGCAGTTTGACTCTTCCAAACACCTTGGCCAGCTGCGCCTGAGTGCAGGCTACAGCTTAAACTAAACAGATCCTGATCCAGGGTAGCAAGCACCCAGGCTTTTAAAATTATTTTTTCAGAATAGTGTGCACAAATGTTTAATAAATTATATTTGCAATAATTCTCGTAGATTTATTGCCCGTCTTCGCGCTAATGCCATTCTGTTATTAAAAAAACGCCAAACTGTCCAAAACCTAGCAAATTTTATGAAATTATTAACTTTGTGTATTCCGAATAAGAGGCGAAATTTTTAGACGTAAAATGAAAAATACAGGAAATGGATATGTCACATGACTGCATTTACTTTTTCACGGTAATTATATAAGGTATCTGCAAGTGACGATGACCTGGCTTGTCACAACTCATGGCCAGATTTTGAGGGGAGGTGTGGGGAGGTAGGCACTCCCCTGAGATTGTTTTGCACCCCCCCCCCCCTGAGATTTTTTGCACTTCCTCTGAAGTTGTGCACTTCCCCTTGGGAAAGTTTAAATGATAGATCAAAGTGAAATTTTTATACGTTGCGTAGAGTCTACACTTGAAAAACTGATAACTATTCATCATCTCTGTATCAAGTGCCCTTTTAATGGAATATTTCGAAATAAACTTTGTAGTAATGTAATGAAGAGCAATATTGAATGGGTCGTACAGTCAAAATTCATAAATACACTGATACATATGTACAGTACATGCATACGTCATGTACTTGACTTTAATAGGGGGCTACAATCTAAGTCCTAACATTCGATGGTGGCCGTGGGCTAGACGCTTCACCTCCCCTAAAAATATTTTCACCTGTCCCAGCACTTCCACCGAAATCCGGCCTTGTTACAACTATGGGGCAGTCAGTTATTGCATTATTTAACTTTCTAATGTTAAATGATTCTCAAAAACAAAATCGTTTAAGGATTAATTTAGATTATAAAGGATTAATTTGGATTATAAATTCACTATAGACAAAGCCTGGTGAAATGTTACAAGAAATGGGTTCGTACATACTCAAGAAAGTGCACATGAAATGTTTTCAATTTCTACACAAACCTGCAACTATATTCTCCCCGAGAAACCAAACCCGCCTTTAAGGACTTCGAGTTATACAAAATCCGTAAGTAAAATCATTGCCTGCAAAGCAGGCGCTTGCCTGCTGAGTTAGAGTAATGACTTCAGTCAATGCCCGGTTGGCCTTCAGTTAATGCCTTGCCTTGCTTCACGTACATAATTATAACGAACGACTGCACATGAAGAGGACTAAGATATGACTTTGGCTTCATGCAGATGTTGGGGAGTCCTGCATAGTCTAACTCCAAATTCAAAACGTGCGCTTCAAAATTTCAAAACTTGTTGAATTAGCCTTTCTCTGGCACGATGACGAATATCCGCCATTTTTGGATGGCATCTGATTCTCGTTAACCAATGCAGACAATTAAAACAATGTGAAAAGCAATTTTGTAAAATAAACTAACCATTTACAAAGCAAATTTACCATCATTCGTCCAGAAAATTATCAAAAGTCACTGTTATGTGGACTTATCTCGCAGACTTGGGCAGAAAAGCCACCCAAAAATGATGGCGTGAGAAAGGATAATTAAGTTTCCTGAAGTTACACAGGCCAAGTTCAAAAATCAAATGGAGGCAGTGCAGCTATAGTTATCTAAACCTGGAGTTATACTGCATGGTTGACAACTCGAAATATCCTTGGTTACCTCCAAAACTGAGCCATGCACCTATAGTTCTTCTCATATAAATACTATTTTTAGACTGAACTCAATATTGAACATTTTCACTGTAATTTGACATTCACCGTGAAACAATTGGTACCTGGAAACAGTTTGACAAAGATTGAAAATTAGATCAAATTGATTGAAATTTTAGTCTTTGGAATGAAGAGCTTGTTCTATTACACATTAAATCTTAGAAAACAAGCTTTCTGGGACGAAGCGCTTATCCAGTTTTCGTATATATTTAGCTGAACACAAAGAATGAAGCACCACAGCGTTCCCAGTCTGCATCAGGCTTTACACGACGGCAAAATATACCCAAAACTAAACAGTAAGTTTCCATATATATATTGTTATGGACTATACTATACGTTACAGTCATTGCATGTGTACTCGCAGGTCTGGTGTACACACTAGCTTCTATAGGCGACTGAGATTATGCATGGCTACCAGTTATGCCAGGGAAGGGGAATGCATGTTATTAATCAATGGATTTGTATCCTATTGAAGGGGATCATGTTATGTGGTATCAAGTTTCTGGACATCTCGCTCGATAGAACTAACAATTCGTCCATTTTTCGCAGCTATCCTCCTAGTTAGGTCTGAAAATTGTATTGAATTGCTTGAAATTTCCATCTACAAAAATCCTTCAACTATGAAGTATCAAGTGCATCACAGTGCATATATACTCTGTTCCACGTCCATTTGATCCAACATCTGGACAACGGACAATTATGATATTTCCTACAAGCATTTTCTACGTTTTATTATCGTAGTGATATCACAGGAAAGAAGATTAGAACATCTTTGTCTCCTAACGTGAAGTCATTAGAACGGTTACCAGGTTTGTGATGTATCAAGACATCTTGTTTAGATATCGTAGTATGTATGGATAGGTTACCGATAATGCGGCTAATTTCTTGTCAGATTGGGGGGTTGGAAGAACTTTAAGGCGCGCACCCTTCATTCCCAAATAAAAAACTCTTTTGAGCGGGAGACTTACAGCAAGTGTAGTTCGATTCTTGTAGGAAGGCATTTAGTTGCATATTACATTCCCGTTTTAAATAGGTCTTGAAATATGCTTTGCGCTCGAATTTCCATGTCCAAAAACCCATTAACTTTTAGTTTTCTTAAACTTAGTTGTACCTGTTTTTTCAGCTCATGGTTTGCAACAATTAAACATGAGGAATAGAAGGGCGGATAATGGTAATCGCTTTATTTATGTCAACAAAGAATTGTTAGTTTGGAATTGTCAAGGTTATTGGAAAGTTCGGGAAACAACGAAAGGTTTGTGTTACTCCTCTTCACATTGAAATGTTAATGTGTTTATTCGTTTTGTGAAGCTACAATAGTATTGCTACTGTAACAGAAACGCTGAGTCTTACCAAATTTTGAAGTGATTCTGCACAAAAAATCAGGGACGATCATGTGACTGAGATAAAAATAGCGCATACCTGTATAGTTAACATTCAACTTGAAGTTCAGTTATGATATTTCATGCAGCGGTAGTGGTGCAGAAGCTTCCTGCAAAGTTAATGGAGCTTCGATGGTGCAGTCGTCAGAGCATGCGCCTTTCACCTCTGAGATCGTGCATGGGTTCGATTCTCGCTACGGACTCATGTGAAAAGAGTCAGTCAACGCTCTGGCGAAAGCAGAGTTGTTAACGAGTCCTATGTTGCAAGTCTAAGTCAAGTCACAAGTCATTTTCTGCAAGTCCAAGTCAAGTCACAAGTCGTTTGGTCGGAGTTCAAGTCAAGTCACAAGTCATTTTGTCTAAATCCAAGTCAAGTCAAGTCACGAGTCATTCCGAGTGGCAAGTCAATTCAAGTCAAGTCATTTTATGTGTGACCAAGTCACTTCACTTACTCTTTTTGGTTTTCCCGTTTTGACATATACTGGGAGAGTCACCGTGACAATTGTACATTGTTTACCTGTGCTATACATTAGTCATTACAAGCACACAATCTAAAAGGGAGTGTGGTTCTATCGTTTTAATAAATGATTTAACTGATCTTTCACATTTAGCCAATTAACTGAAATTAAAACTCAAAAGTTAAAGCAACGTTAGCAATTACCTAGGCCTATATTAAAAATTGCGGTCTTGCGGTTACAAATTGTCATTTGTCTTGAAGTAGCTGTCCTTTTTGAAGCAGTCAGTGTAATTACGATACCCGAAAGTTACAATGTTTGGAATTAAAGTCCCACTGTTTTTATCGCCACATGTAGCCATGTTTTCCCACGCAAAACGGCAAAATATGTAAATATGGCGTCGTTATTTTATGTCAGAAATTTTACCACGAAATCGCGAAAAAAACCGCTTTGTCCACAGGCGGCCCAATCTCGCAAGGGTCAGTATAGACTTATAGTATAAATGTATATTATATTAATGTATATTATAGTAAAAATATGTCATAAAATATAAATTTTAAAATAAAATTGACTTGCCTATTTGATAGTGTGTGTTCTCCTTTTATTCCTCCTTTGTTGGACTAATATTTTCCGAGACTTTGTACTCGATGTTACTAGTATACATGAAACATGATAAAGGCTAACGATTCCCGATCGTCGATACGATGGCACGGCCACTTCGAATCGAAAATTTTCACACTCAAATCGCTTTATTCTCCAAACAAATTCGCCAGCATGTACAACAAATGCCGTTCTTCGAAAATACGGAGGTACTTCGGCGAGATGTACAAGTTTTGGACCATATTTTAACAATGGAAATCAAAACCCACTTTCTATTGAACTTGCCCAGGCCGAAAATTACTACGGCGAACGTCTGCGCAACCAGGCCTTCTTTACCGTTGGATTTACAGGGGGGGAGGATGCCACTAATATATTCACGACAATATTTCGAATTAAAGTATCATATTCTACCATGCTTTCCAACAAAGAGCCCCTGTATATTATTTCTTCCTTAAATTTCTTCAATCTCCGTCGTTTAGTTTTCTTTTCTTCGACAACATCTCGAGTTTTATACAGTATCCGATCGAAGGAGTTTTTATTTTGAATATCAAATTTCAAATAATGTAAACAGTCGCTATCGCGGCCGCGATTGGCTGGCTGTTACCGGAAATATCTGCTTCCCCCCTGTAAATCCAACGGTAAAGAAGGCCTGGTTGCGCAGATGTTCGCCGTAGTAATTTTCGGCCTGGGCAAGTTCAATATAAAATGGGTTTTGATTTCCATTGTTAAAATATGGTCCAAAACTTGTACATCTCGCCGAAGTACCTCCGTATTTTCGAAGAACGGCATTTGTTGTACATGCTGGCGAATTTGTTTGGAGAATAAAGCGATTTGAGTGTGAAAATTTTCGATTCGAAGTGGCCGTGCCGTCGTATCGACGATCGGGAATCGTTAGCCTTTATCATGTTTCATGTATACTAGTAACATCGAGTACGAAGTCTCGGAAAATATTAGTCCAACAAAGGAGGAATAAAAGGAGAACACACACTATCAAATAGGCAAGTCAATTTTATTTTAAAATTTATATTTTATGACATATTTTTACTATAATACAGGCATTACTATAATATACATTTATACTATAAGTCTATACTGACCCTTGCGAGATTGGGCCGCTTGTGCTTTGTCAGAAAATACGCCGGCACAAATTCTGTCGATGCCATTGATATGTCCAAATTGTACAACACGACGATCGATCGATCAATACAAAGATTTTGGAAAACTTGATTTTCACTATCGATATTTACGTTTGACTTGCGTTGGTAACAAGTCATTTCTTGCAAGTCCAAGTCAAGTCACAAGTCATTTTGTCCAAGTCAGGTCACAAGTCATCAGTCTCTTTAACAAGTCAAGTCACAAGTCACAAAAATTGCGACTCGAGTCCAAGTCACACGACTCGAGTCTACAACTCTGGGCGAAAGTCGTGGGTTTTCCCCGGTTTCCTCCCACAGGGAAAGTTGACAAGGTGGGTTGGGATAAACACAGCTAAGAAAGTATAATATCACAATTGTTGTAAAGATAAAATAGTCTGGGTTAAGTACACGGGTAAAAATTGATCAGGTTGTTCGGCGTTGTTCAAACAGGAGTGAACAATGTTGTGCTGCACCCCGTGAACAATATTGTTAACAAGTTGTTCAACCATCAGTACTGTTGCAAGTTGTTAACATGATTGTCAACAAGTTGCAACAATGTTGATGGTTGAACAACTTGTTAACAATATTGTTCACGGGGTGCAGCACAACATTGTTCGCTCCTGTTTTGAACAACTTGCATCAACATGATGATTTTTACGCGTGTATGTAATTAGATAAGCGTAATACTTGATGTAAAGCGCATTTGATGGTATCCACATGTAAATTTGCGCTGTAGAAATCTTAATCTTAAAAATCTGGTTCAGCGGTTTGGTGCGGTAATGTGAGTACAATATTTGAAAATGCTTTTAAAACAAAATCTATATATTACCGCATATCGTGTCTTCTTGTTGATTTCCCAATATTTTCATGGTTTATTTTTCCAAAGCAAGTACGAAAATTCATTACTCATTACTCATTACTCATTACTTGGAATACAAACACCCGTTTGTGTGTATTGCACAAACCAACAAACGCGCCTCAAAGTCGTCCGAAAAGACATTTTCCTAACAATTACTCGTGCCGCCAAATATAGCCTATACTAAAATAACTATCAAAACCAAAACTTTTATAGTCTTAGAGACAAAATGTCACATTCGTTGTCAAAATGATAATTGTCAAAACCACCAAGACGCGTGCAGTCCGTTCCATCGTCTCCAAATAAGATGGACTCATTGTCGTTCTCTGTATTGCCTTGTGTAAAATAATGTTGCTGCAGTTTCTTTGCATAACTTTCATAAGCTGTAAGTGAATTGCGCATCTTCTGAACATCTTCTACTTTATCGAATGCGGCGTTTAAACGGTTTTCATCAGTTGCACAACCAACATGGAAGCAGGTGAGTGCATAATGTTGTCCATTGAGGGCGCAAAACATGGTTAAAGTCCCAGTTCCCTGGACCTGAGGTACATCAACTTTCTCGTTTTCTTCAGGTACTCGTAAAGGGTTGTTTATTGGTATAACTGGGGTTACTGCAAGCTAATACACCACCACCAGGTGTCGGTGAGACAGAAGATGATTTACATCTCAATTTACTTGAAAGGAGACCCAAATATTTAATTTTTGGTTTTCTTTCAGGTTCTCGAAGGAGTTCAAAGTGTTCCTTAGTGTCGTCACACTTGAATTTCTCTTCAAGTTCACGTCGTACAAACGATATCTTCACTCCTCTTTCAACTGTGAGGTACAAATGTGGACGAGGGATCTTTTTGTTTCGACCAACCAGCCCATACGCTCCACACAACCAAGGAAAACTATACAGAAGCAATGCCATATTAATAATGCAAAAACAGCCACCAAAAATTCAATTCATAGTTCTAGATTCATAAAAAACAATACCATTGCTCCAAACATTTATTCATTTCACAAAGTTAGTATGTTAGGGACGTGCAAGGGTGTATATTATTTTGAACAGTATTTGCCAGTGTAGGTAGTGGCAATAATAACAAAACTTGGGTTGATAGGAATACAACTACCTGAAAAATACAAGGAGAACTTTGACGTTTTGAGCGAAGGCTCAATAATTGATTCATTGCGTAGAATTCGTGGTCATATCAGGGAATGTTACCAGTATAACAGAAAAGCGTTTAGAAGTATTATAAAAACTACCATCTGAGAATTAAATTGTATCTGAATAGACCTTTCCCATTTTAAGCACGGGCAATAGGACAGGTGTAGTGTTGTTAAATAGAAAGTTAGAAATGGTATTGTACTTACTCATGTATTATAATTATGTTTAAAAGATCAGAATATTCATAACTTTATATTTTGTTTCATAAATAGTTCTTTAATATTCGAAACAAATTCCATATCTGCTTCGTCTGCCATCATAATAAGCAAGCGAGAAAATTATTTTGCCAGGAGGGGCGGCAATGCCGTGCAGCATGTAGATTGGGACGAGTAAACATGGCGATGGCAGACGAAGCAGATATGGGGCCATTCACAAAGGATGTCCGAGCCGAGGGGGGTTTGAAAAATCAGGACAAACTCGGACATAGGGGGGGAGGGGGGTTTTTAGCAATCCGGATGTCCGAAATTTAAAAAAATTCAAAAACAAATTTCTTTTTCCCTCTATTTTGAGCAGTCCTTCCCATTGTGAAATTGGTATTTTGACTATGCGGTTAACACTAGATTTTGTTTTAATTAGTAATTTATATGTTGTTGTGTTCACATTTACAGTTATAAAAAAGTTCTAAAAGTAAAAAAGTTTTTTACTCTTGATATATACAAGGTTGCGTGAGTTTTTGCGAGGCATGGCGGATGTCCGGGGGGGGGTCACAAATTCGGACAATACCGGACAAGGGGGGGAGGGGGGTCTGAAAATCCATCATTTGGCCGGACATCCTTTGTGAATGGCCCCTATGGAATTTGTTTCGAATATTAAAGAACTATTTATGAAACAAAATAAGAAGTTATGAATATTCTGATCTTTTAAACATAATTATAATACATGAGTAAGTACAATACCATTTCTAACTTTCTATTTAACAACACTACACCTGTCCTATTGCCCGTGTTTTAAGTGAAATTTTGATCTAGATTAGCTAGCCTGGACAAAAATTTCATCACGGCTTGAAAGAGCATCACAAAATTAGTAAAATTCCGGAATTTTGTTGCAAAATGTTGTAAAATGCGGATAATATAGCCTTGCAAAGTTTGTAATTTTCAGTCATTTTGTATTACAAATGGGAAATTGATAATCAGTTTGATCATCTGATTATCAATTTCCCATTTGTAATACAAAATGACTGAAAAACAGCAAACTTCTCGAGGCTATATTATCCGCATTTTACAACATTTCGCAACGAAACTTCGGAATTTTACTAATTTTTGCTATGCTCTTTCAAGCTGTGATGAAATTTTTCTCCAGGCTAGTTAAGATGAAAATTTCACTTAAAATAGTACAGGAGCTACTAACATAACATTATGACCCATTTTCCTCAAAAGTGCTGACCCCCAATATGAAAGGGTACCATCAAGGGCAAAAAAAATTTTCATTGGTCAGCTTGCCCGATTTGGGTTCGTTTGGGGTCCAGGCCCTTACAAATGCCTCGAATTCGGACCTTCAATGGACCTCATTAGCCTCAAGGCTGTAATTGTGCTATCCGCTTATCTTAGCATATGTAAATATTATTACTATATCTTTGTTACGCGCATTTGATCATATTCTCATGTAAATTTGCGCGATATAAATATTAAATTATTATTATTATTATTATATGCAGTCTTACTATAGAAAAGAGAATATGGAAAAGCTAACCGAAAAATACGGTTCTAACACTTAGTCAGACCCCCCGCAAAGATACAATCCGGGATCATCATTAGATCCCATTAACTACAAACTCAAATCTTTGTGTAAACAATCTTCATGTCATAAAAAGATAATTGGCAACAAAGCTTACCAAAAATTACGGTTCCTTTGTTAAGTCAGACAACGTTTTAACCCTATTTAGACTTTTGATTACATTTCGTAATTAAAGATGCGGTACAGTCCGTATGTAAACAAAGGCTTTGTTTACATTTCGGTATCCAAAATATTGAATTTTATTCGACAACTATTTATAATTTCATGATTCTAGAGTATAATAAATTATGAAGACACAAATAAAAAGAGGGCTCCTTTTTGCATATGCGCAGATCGGACTGTACCGCATCTTTAAAGGTCTTATCACTTGAGCTGGTCACTACCTATTTTACTATAAAAACATACTTCGCGTTCATGTGAAGAAACAAACGGGCTGGTCCGGTGTAACAAATTTTGCCGTTAACGTCGACAATTTTTACTTAGTTTTCTGCCTAGTTTATAAATCAGAGCGAAAGAAAATAAATGGTCAGTAACCGGACTCATCTGATCAGGCCCTGATATACATCGACAACAAAGTAGGAACACAACATATGTAAATCTGTTTTCTTTATGAGTTTATTTCTTTCTGTTCATAAACCTTCTGCAACTGAAGATCATTATGCATCTACATGAAATACAAAATATAATAATTAATAAGCAACTGTAGTTTTAAAAATTGCGGTTGCCATAGAGTATTTTAATAAAACACAAAACAATAGACACTCCGAAAATTGTAAACATTTTAATTCTTCTGAAGATGACTTAAATTATAGTCGAAACGTAAAGAATTAAAATGTTTACAATTTTCGGAGTGTCTATTGTTTTGTGTTTTATTAAAACTGTAGTTTTGTTACTCGTATTTTATATATTTGTAATTACTCTAACCAGCTTTTGCGGCAGTTTTCTTTGTTTTCAATTTTCACTATCGGTGTTATCACTGTCATCACTATTAGTGTCGTCTCTTTCTTCGTCTGAGATTAGTTCTTAAAAACACACAAGTATATATTTTTTTGTTTGTTTGGTATTCCCAATTGAATTTAGAAGTCAAAATCGATACGCTTTATTAGCAAGGTACAATTAAAAAAATCAACATAGGCTTACCTTCTTCTGTGAGGTCTTCTTCAAATTCATCCTCATTACTTGTTATATCTATCGGCTTAGGTGACACTTCCCCATCAAACCAGTTCACAGTGTAATGACCATCTACAATCTGCCAACCCATTTCCTCAGGTAATTGATCGGGTGGAGCGGGTGATGTTGATGACAGCCATAGTTCGGCAATATACTTTGTCCGGCGAATCTTTTCATACAGTACCCGAGAACAAGGTGGCAAAGAACTCCCGTCAAACTTTTTGACACATGCTAGTGCTTCGTCTTTTCCTTTCGGTTTGTACTTTTGCAAAAACAATTCTAACCTTATTTCATCAACAGAGGATAATTTCTTTTTTCCATACATGCTGCAAACGAACGTTTCTAAGGATACAATGGTTTCTTTTGTTATTTCAGCATTTGTCCCTAGTGACACAAAAGCCTCAAGCGCACTTTCACTTCCTTCAAGAAGTTTTAATGGACGGACTTTGCCTTTCCGACTAAATGAGGCTGTGTAATCGGATCCAGTAAACGCATGGTATGCCGGTAAGGCCAGACAAAGGGTTTCTCCAAGTTCCTGAAAAATCTGATTCACACTGATATATCTCAATGTATTCTTCGTGTAAACACCAGTTTCAATCCAAATATTCAATTCTTGAGGTAGCGAGCTGAAACAACCAAGGGCAATTACAAGCACGTCTGTATCAATCGTCCTTATCACAACATTGGCGGGTGGTTGCACTGACGATATGTGAAACAGGCAAACAGCATTCTAGAATCTGCTTCTTCATGAGTTGAAAACATTGCATGAAGCTCTCTCTTGACCACCACTCCATCTTCAACTTTAAAAGTGTAACAATAATCACCGCAATTCATTGTCACAGTTTTGTTTCCAAGGATTGTCGAGTGTACTTCACTTGCCCAAAAGCATGATAAGAATTTAACCAAAGCGGATTTAAAATTATCATTTCTTAAAGAATTCAACCAATTTGACGGTCTTTTCTGTTCAGGACCAGTAATCTGATATGCGCCATGGCGGTCGGTGCACCTCAAATCTCTTTCACAGTCTTTAATAGACGGGTTGACAATTTTGTCAGCAACGAAATGGATAGCGTTTCCCTTGCAGGCACATATGCGCTTTAATATAAATGTGGCAACTGCTCCAAATGTCGCTGGCAGATCAACCAAAAGGTGCAGGAAAAACATTCCATCAATTATAGTTATATCCACGTGCTGTGGATCGATGGTTTTCACCCTTGAATCTAATTGATTTAATAATTTGACCTTTGGTGTCTTCTGCATTGTGCCATCTACATGACCGAGGGATAAGGGCACTGGTGTTAAAGGATATTTCAAAACTTCTGCCACGTCAATATTCTTTTGCAAAGAATGATATAAAATACTGCCAAACAAGTCCCTCATCATTGTAGCAGCAGTCAATTTGTTGTCAGCACTCTTCACTTTGAACTTCTTTCCTTCGGTTGCAAAGGTAAATAGCTTTTGACGTGGTATGCGGTCCTCGAAACGTGATGGATCATTAGCGCATTCGTTTATAAATTTATCACGTGCTTCGTTTCCAACGCTGACAATGTTGAGTAAAAACGACTTCGTGTCTGACGATGCAGCTTTGCCTGAAGCTATATTGAAGAGATGTTCTTTGTTGGCGTCGTCAGTGAAAGGATTCATTGTTTCCCTGATCAGACTTATAACTTGGCACAAATCTTCCGAATTTTGCCGCATTCTGCTTGTCTTAAGATCTTGTGAAATATCTTCCTTTTTGGTCATGCCAAGGTCTTCAAACAAGTGTGAGATGATGCTTGTCCGAATGAAATGACTCTCTGCCCACCGTTGACGTGCTGAAATTGAATTCGTTAAGGCTGATATACCTTTTCGTTGACATGCTGCATCCGCGTTGATCGTTTGCTCCAAAGTCAAGTCGATTGGCATTCCTGAAAAAGGTTTCTGGGTTCTTCTGACGGAGAACAGGCCGCGCTGAAACTCATCGTAGATCTCGGGATGTGTATCTTTGAGTTTAAGAAGGTTGTCATGGTAACGAACAAGCCAACGGGCATAATTTGGGTGATTTAAACAGAAAAAATAGCTAGCCAATTTCGGTAAACAGTAAATATACAGCTCAAAGTTACCCTCTCTTAAGCTTCTACAAAAGGTGTGATACAGTCGAATCATTTCAACATATCTCATCCAAAACTGCGCCGTTGGACCATGACTTCCGTTTTCAGTAGCTTGTGAAAAATCGCTATATTCTCGAATGACTTCACTGACTTCATTGGAAAATTGACGGTCGTTCAAAGAAGTTTCGGATTTCATACCTCTAATTTCCTCTTTAATATCTTCCTTGATTTCATTTTCGTCCTTTGTTTCCAGAAAGAATGTAAAATGAAGAATTTCCATTGCAAGTGCAAGCAGTTGATGACATCTCCTACTCCGCTTATAACTCTTGCCTGATAGAAATGACTTTATTGAGCCTTTTTCGATCACACCAGCTTCATTGAGAATATGAGGACCACCAGATTCAGCGACGTACTTGCCAAAAGCGCCAAACAGTGCCATCTCTATGTGAAAAGCCCCTAAGGCTACGAATACATTATCGAACTTTGGTGATTCCTCGGCTTGAATTTGCATTGCAACTTTAGCGATGGCCAGATCATAGGTCACTGAAATGCTTTCCTTTTTGCTTTCATTGGCAATTCCTTGGGCACGTCGCATTGTTTCTGCAACTACAGCAGTAGAAGTTGGTGACTGATTGATTTGTGGTAGGTACCAAACTTTTTGTAATTCTTTCTTATTGGGAAAAACTTTTGCATTCCACCCGACCCACATTGGCGTATCATTTGGTGAAAAACAGAAATCCATCATCCATAAAGAATCGTACGCTCTTGCATTGAGATATGATTCAGGTTCAAACGTCCTTCTCGGATCATCAAGGGGAAGCACTGGAACTGTTAACATTCTAGGTTTTTTCCTGTATGGTTCTATATCTAACCCAGTTGCTTGAAAAGCTCTTCGTCTTTTTTTCCTAGATGCAGCCACGCGAACAAATTCGGGTTCACTACTTTCTTCAACTGTCGGTTCTTCTGATACAATTTGATAAGCTATACCAACCGTGTCGTGCAATGTGTCTTTTCCACTCAAAGTTTCGACAAATCGGTCAAAGTTGTCAAATGCGACCCCCGTTCCAAGATTTTGACTTAATACCATTCCGCTGGGTGTTAGGTTTTCTTCCTTGGTCGATTGAAACGTCAATTCCGTTTCTAGCTCCTCGATTGTAGAATAACCGATTGAGTGACCAAAGTGATTTAAAATCTCAATAACTTTTTTGCTTCCAGTTAGACTTTTCACTGATAACCCCAGCTGTAAATGCTTTGCAGGAGTCTTTCTTCCTGAGGTTGCTGAAAAGATGACATCATCACATATTGATTTAATCCTTCTCTGCTTCCGTTGCGATTTTGTTATTCTTTGATCAGGACCACCTATGAGGTAAGTGAAAAACTCCAACAATATATCAGGAATTTCAACTTCTCCTCTTATTATATGAGCAAGCTTCACTTCGTCTGGTATTGCTAATTTCTCAGCATCGATAATCGATTGTCTTAGTTCAAACGCTACGTCCCGAATCTTGGCCTTTATCTTTGTTTTCATTGAATTTTCTCTTCTAAATGCTTCTTCATCCGAGATTTCACTGCTGAATACCAGGTTACCACGCCTTGTCTTTCCTTTAATAATTTTTATTCGTTCCTTATAATGCTGTACTAACTTTTTTTCTAGCTTGGTGGAATTCGATTCAACATCTTCATAATCTTCACCACCTATTTCTGCCAGCAACATCTTGTATTGGCTGTTTAGGTCACTAAGTAAAACAACCTCTTTTTCTTCAAGAACATTCTCATTAATAAGGCAGCAGATCGCCCCAAATGCTTTGCAGTGTAGTTCTCTTGAAACATGCCAAGATGTTTCAGGTTTAGGCTTCTCCAATTCATGTGCCTTCTTCTCTTGTATTGCAAAAGGGGTCTTTTCCGCTCTACTCTGATAACTAACCCGACATATACCATGATAATAGATTTCTTTACTAACAAAATTCTCATTACCAATCCTCAATAGCATGGGTCGATCGTTTAACCAACGAGCATACATCTTTATGTTCTCTTGAAAGTTTTCTGTGGAGGCTGCAATTAGTTTCTGCATTGAATTCTTATGCTTCTTAACTTTTTTCAAGCAAAAAATACATATCTTTGAAAACACTCCACTTGAACCTGTTGGTATTGCTGTTGGAATTCTTGAACGTGTCAAGGGAGTAGAACTAGCGTCTTTCGTATTGTTTTGGAGACTTTTCCTTTTAGTTTCCGACAGGGCAATGAATCTTCGATAACACTCTATATGAAATCCATGAGTTTTGGTTACACCCTCAGGAAGCTGGGTGTCCTTGTACTTTAAGTTTCCTTCTTTCCTTGCTGCTAGGATAGTCTTGCACTTTTCCAGAGTGTTTGATGTAAAATAATTAATTTTTCCTATTTCGGAACCTTCTCCTACATGCAGAACACAACATTTACCTACAGGATATACGAAACTAACATCACTAATTACAAAAAGTGTAACTTAGAAAATTTTACATAATCAAACTTGCCAATATTTTCATAGTTTCCTTCTGTTACGTAATCAGTATCAGTGGAATCAGTCTCACAAGCGGCTATAATATAAAATATTGATGAATGATTATAATATTACATTATGCTAAAACTATTTGTAAACTCAAATAATTTAAAATACAATTACATGACCAAACTTACCAATATTTTCACTGTTACTTTCCGTCGCGTAATCGGTATCGGTTGAATCAGTCTCACAAGTAACTATAAAATAAAATAAAATAAAATATTGATGAATAATTATGGTTTTAAATTTTTTAATTCTGTTTGTAAACTCAAATAATCCCCGAGCCGGCGGCGCGAAGCGCCGTGCGAGGGTACTAATTCCCCCCGGCTATATACACCCGGGGAAACGAAAGCATTAGGGAAGTCTAAAGTTCATCAATGAGCGCGGGCGTCGGTCACCAACGATGGGTGGTCATCCTCACTGATCTCAAAAATATGGCGGACTGTCATGAATAACGGACACTGATTGGTCCAATTTAAAGTTTGCATTATAACGGCTGCATGACGACAGCGAAATAGCAAACATTTCTTGATTTGATGAGTTGATGATTGATAAATTTGTCAAATTTCTTGCAAATATTCTTCATTTTTGCTCGTATTTCTGCAAGATTTTGTAAATTTCAAGAATGAAAGGGCCAAAGGATCAGCTAAAAGAACGGAGCTGACGTTAACGAAGGTAAGTTTGTTTTAAATATTGATTTTATAATGGCTTTAAAACCCGACGGCTTTTGCGTATATCAAACAACTAAACAAGACATACAAGAGAGCATATAATTTCAGTGTATCTTTAATATTGATTCCCTTTTTTATTATATTGAATTTTTAAATAAAAAATAAAGCAAAGTTATTTGCAAGCGAGAATTTGAAATCATTTTATTGCAAACTCAAAGTTTATCGATAAAGCCATTTAATAGTTAAAGGCAGTTTAGTTTTATAAAGAACACTTTAAAGCGTTTTGTGAATTGTTTGTGGTTGAATTTTACCTTAAATTGAAGCTTGTATTACGTATAATTACATACCTAACATATATATATGTTGAGAAATTGATAATTTTGTAATTAAAAGTGATATTTTTAGGCGATTTTCATTTGTAAGAATATTCTTAAAAAATTATCGTGTTACCATAACAACTACTTTAGATACTTCATGTTCGGAAAATACAACGGTTTTGTTAGCAAGGCGAGGGTTTCTGCATGCATGTATTTTCTAGTTTACAATACAATTACATGACTAAACCTACCAATATTTTCATTGTTACTTTCTGTTGCGTAATTGGCATCGGTTGAATGAGTCTCACAAGTAGCTATAAAGTAATATATTTATGGATAATTAGTCTTAAAATTTTTAAATTCCGATGAAATTTTTCTTTTTCATTGACGAGAATTAGTCAAAATGTTATTCAATAATTAGGATATGATATTTCCAGTAACTATAAGAATTTAAATGTACCTTATCAGACGTGACAGTCCTTGTTTGCCTTACGTACATTTTTTGTATTCAAATCTTGATATAATTACACTATTATTACCTGACATATCGAGTAACAATGTCAGTCACCTTTGGCCATGGAGTAGTAGAAGCTCTTACTTCAAGTCATCAGGTGCTTCAAAAATGGATTAAACTGTGTTAATTCATGTGCCTATAATTGTTTTAAGATAAAGTGACAAGTTCGTAATATTTTTTATGACGTGATTTAATAATAGCGAAGTTATCTCAAGTATTTAGTATTTTCAAAATATAAATACGAATATTAATTGAGTCCACTAGCTATAAATTTCGATAAGTGTATCAATTACCTGCAAAATAACTAAGAGTAAGAATCCGTTGCTTTTCTGACTTTTATGCATACATCACAGGTGTTGATTCACTTCGTTTATATTGAGAGCATTATTTTCCCAGAAAAACAATAAAAAAAGACAATTTAATACATTATATTTACGTTTACCAGAGACAAACAAACATAGAAGTAATGAAAACAACTTGCTATGGCAAAAAAAATTACATACATGCAGTAATTTAACACAAACAGGACTTAAAAACACAGTTTCGCCATCTTTGTTGTTCTGGAACAGTACTTCGTGTAAGACGAAATTAGTTCTACTTCGCGTATTTGGTAAAACGTTGTCTGACTTAACAAAGGAACCGTAATTTTTGGTAAGCTTTGTTGCCAATTACCTTTTTATGACATGAAGATTGTTCACACAAAGATTTGAGTTTGTAGTTAATGGGATCTAATGATGATCCCGGATTGTATCTTTGCGGGGGGTCTGACTAAGTGTTAGAACCGTATTTTTCGGTTAGCTTTTCCATATTCTCTTTTCTATAGTAAGACTGCATATGCTAGCACAACTACAGCCTTGAGGCTAATAAGGTCCATTGAAGGTCCGAATTCGAGGCATTTGTAAGGGCCTGGATCCCAAACGAACCCAAATCGGGCAAGCTGACCAATGAAAATTTTTTGCCCTTGATGCTACCCTTTCATATTGAGGGTCAGCACTTTTGAGGAAAATGGGTCATAATGTTATGTTAGGAGCTCCTGGACTTACAACACAGCATAACACCCGACTATGCAATCTCAAAATTTCAAGATTCTGTCGCTACTAATACATCAATTAAATATTGCCCAATACAAATATAAACGAACACAAAAGCGGTTTATACTTTATAGCTTTAACTATGGTTATACACAGTTAATTTCAGCAGCCAAACCGCTTTTATATCTTATTACCGCCGTCAATAAGCACTCTTTAAGCAGGTTTTAAAGCTTACTTAATACCAGACTGTCTGACTGTGAACTAAAATTTAAATATAATCTCCTAACCTTATCGCTGTACATTTCTAGTGTAGTGGACGAGCACCGAATTGAAATCTCTAACGAGACTGGTTCTGGTGATATAGTTGTGGAAAGACTTGGTAGGAATAGCGGCTAAAAGCTCTTCGATATATCGATCTTGTATTGAAGTATTGATATGCTTTAATTAAAGTGCCTATGCAACGAATTTTTCACCTCATTTTTTATTGTTTTCTAAAAAGTACTGCTGGAGTGATGAAGAATGACGTTTACAGTTTCGTCATATCTCATCTCGTTCTCAAGTTATCACACTTTCTATATTTTGAGTTGTGACGTCACAAGTATGAGTTTAGATAATGGCAATAACAAGAAAGTATGATATCTTGGTGAGTATTTAATACAATTCAATGAAACTTGGTACACTTAGTGGGTGCACTCACATGAATATTTTTGTTAGGTCATGTGGTTGTCATGGCATCACACTAGTCCCCAGTCTCTTCTCTTCCTTTCACAACTTTCCTCCCGTGGACCTCTTGCAAGAGGATGTTTACATATTATAACGGTTTAAACTGATCACAATACCTACACGTATTATAGTAATAAGCGAAAATTGCAGAAATTGCTATTTATTTCGTTGAAAATGGATCATATAGAAATTGGAAGAGAAGGGACTGGGGACGAGTGTGTTGCCATAACAACCACATAGACAAGCAAAATTGTTGACTTTGTTGCACCCACTAAGTGTACCAAGTTTCATTAAATTTTATTAAATACTCACCAAGATATCATACTTTCTTTTTATTGCCATTATCTCAACTCATACTTGTGACGTCACAACTCAAAATAAAGAAATTGCGATAACTTGAGAATGAGATGAGATATGACGAAACTGTAAACGTCATTCTTCATCACTCCAGCAGTACTTTTTAGAAAAACAATAAAAAATGAGGTGAAAAATTCGTTGCATAGGCACTTTAAGGTGAGCCTTGAGGTTCATACATAACTGCAGAAACAATGTACCAATCAATGCGTTTTAAAACCAGAGTTCAATATAATTCTGAAAACTTTGTCTGACATTGTGTCAGACCGCCCCATGTTTTGGTCGGACATGATCAGACACTTAATTATTCTCAAGAGGGATGTTGTCAGTTGTCACAGTATACTAGAAACCAAAACTGTAACAACTACCAAAAGTCCAATGCCATATGCATAATGGTTAACAAAATTACACAATATCAATGACAACTTACTCAGTAACAATATATATATTAATAGACGCAGTTGTTTTAATAATTGACGAGATGACATTGTTAATTCTATGATTGTTTAGCAGACAGAATATTTGTTTGCATGTGTTAAAGATTACAGATTTTGTTAAAAAGATTTGCAACAATAAAGGAAGAAATTTTAAAATTAATTTAATGAGACAAAACGGTCAGCCATAATGTCTGTGCAGAGCAATCAGTAGACGGCCATATCAGCATTTTGCTCGGCTAATGGCTGGTGGCTGACCATTATATTGAGCCCTGTTTAGAACATAACACAAATATGTCATATGTAACATCTATGTTGGGCAACTTTGACTATTACTATTAGCACAAACAGTAAGCCTGGAAAGTCATGGTTTTCGACAAAACAAATGTGCTTTTATACAGACACAATCAGTGTCAGCCCAACTTAAATTCCGTTGCAATTTAATACAATATTCATTATTGCCAGGCCAATAACAAACAAGTGCGCTCTTCTTTAGTCAACAACAGCATCTTGTTATACTGAAATTTACATACAAACATGCTCCTGCTGATAAGAACAACTAACTGGCGTGACATCACAAATTTTATAATGCTCATTCCAGACTCCAAGCAGTTAGATATTCTGACGGCCATGTGCCAAGTAAAATTTCAACATCAGCAAGTGGCTCAACGTCGTATCCAGGGTCTTTCCTCTTGTGGAGAAAAGACCCTGTTAGACGCTGGTCACGTGATCTGCTAAAATCTAGCAGATTTCTAATTAACTATCTTGGATTCCTTTACGACAATCATACAAAAAGCAAATTATAAATTAAACTATAAAAATTATCTAAACATCAAATATTTATTGACCTCATCTTGGATTGCTAATTAAAAATCTGCTAGATTTTAGCAGATCACGTACGTGACCAGCGTCTTTTCTTCACTCGCCAAGACGAAAGACCCTGGGTACAAGGTTGCAAGTGGCTCTAAAATAAAATCCTTGCTTCTAATCAAAAGCAAAATGTTTTTCGCGAATTGAAACTACTACACTCGTAGCATGCTTTTAATAAGCTGAAAATCAATCTTGGGGTTACAGGCACCTGACGTTGCATTGGGCCACAATGAGCCCTCCTTTATTATTTTACGCTGTCTAATGCCAGATGGCTTTACTCATCAGAGGGCATATGCTGGCACTCCATGTGTTAAATAAATATAATTATTATATAAACACAAGTGTTATATAGAGTTTCTGGCCACTGAGAATAATCGTATTTAAACACACGTAAAAAATACGATATTTTTCCGTGTGAAAATATAATTTGTTGTAAAACACATTGCCACGGGCACAGATGTTTTATTGTTTTTCACTGAATTTTGTATATATAATAAACAGAAAAATACATGGGTGCTTGGAAATACCAGATTTATTTCTTGTGTTGAACATGATATCTCACTCGTTCGCAGCGCTCACTCGTGAGATATCATGTTCAACACTCAAAATAAATCTGGTATTTCCGTGCACCATGCATTATTCCCTATTTCATATCACAGTGTTCATACCACCTATGACCTGCCCACTTATACACCCATCAGACAATAGTTGGGCCAATGGAAGTAAGGTATTTCATATTTTTTGCTTTGTCCATCAGGTTTTCTCTTCAAACATGATTGATTCTTCCAGTTTCATTGACAAAATCAGTAGAAATTTGAACGACAACTGCAATTTCACAAAACAATTCGCCAAACTGATTCGTAAAATACAATTTCCGGTGGTACATGGCTAGGTGCCTGGCCCAGCATTGGGCCAATTTATACTGGTTTTATCCACCGCAATTTTTATAATAAATCATTCCTTTAAAATTGTTTAATTTATTTTATATATTCACTGAATTCATACTGTGTAAAGTTACACACGAAGATATTAATGTTTACAATTAAATATTAATATTTATAAATTTCCACGTTGCAGATATTGCCACTTGCCACAATTACGCGTATACAAACCTTTAAAACTTTGTCTATTTCAGCAGCAAAATAGCCAACTTGATAAAACATATTGAAATCACAGGGAACACCTCTCATGTTTTCTCCTGGAATATAAGATAACAAACGAACAACGCAATCAAGAAGAGAATTCTCCGATACTTCGTTCTTTGCTTTCTGTGTGTGACGGTCTCGGGTAGCACTCAGCTTTCTCATTTCATAAAGCTTGCCATTTGATGTTTGTTGCGGAATAGAGCATGGTATGCCACGATTATTCACACTGATCATAACATCATTTAATTCATCAATTATCCCTCGCTCTTCTCCAAAATCAGCAAACTTACAAACTTTAAGCGTAAACTCTCGCTCTCTATCATATGGCAAGGACCCTCGCAAATAAAAACACCTAGCTTCGGGAGAGTTTAATTCTCTTACGATTGTAGATGAAGATTCATTGATATTGATATTAAAGATTTCCTTAGCCAGGTTCACCGCCATGCGGTTGTTCACAAATGGTCTAATCACTCGCATCATTTTGGAAACACTTTTATAATATGTTTAGCAGATTTGGAAGCGATATCTGTTCGACAAATAACGTGTGTGCCGCATGCCTGCGTAGCATGATTCCAAGCTGACTATTGAGGTCAGATGTGACAGGGGGGAGCGGGGGAAGTGACACCGGAAGTGACACCTTCTGTTCAGTGTTTAACAATCTCTTTCTGATTTTATTCAAATTTATTGTGTCTTCCATTCATTACAATGATACAAATCGACAGTCCGGGAGGATATGATAAACTTGAATATAAACCACTATCTGTTGGTAAGTATACCCTGGGAGCAAATGTAAAACATAGCAATATTCCTGAGGAAGATCTTGTGACAGTACAAACGTGTGCTGCTGGTGTGAATTATGCTGATGTCTGCATACGTTGGGGAATTTATGAATCAGCTAAGGAATATGTTGGCTGGCCAATTACACCAGGGTTTGAGTTCAGTGGGAAAATCATTGCAAAAGGCTCCAATGTTTCTGAATTTGAGTGTGGTGAAAATGTGTTTGGCCTAACCATGTTTGGTGGTTATTCTGAGGTTGTCAAAGTACCAAAGAATCAAGTCTTTCCTCTGCCTAAAAACCTGGATCTCAAGCAAGCTGCTGGTTTTCCAACAGTCGCAATAACAGCATGGTATGCCATGTTTGAACTTGCCCGACCTCGGCCTGGATCATGGATATTAGTCCATTCTGCTGCTGGTGGGGTTGGTAGCATGTTGGTTCAAATGGCAAAAATAGCAAAGTGCAATGTCGTTGGAGTTGTTGGAGCATCGCATAAGGTCAAGGTGGTCAAGGAAACCCTAGGTATTTGAATCCTGTTTTTACTAATTTTTATGTACCATAAAATGGTTTATGGTACATACAGTAGTGCAACTGGTGCAAGTTTATGGTACAAGGTCTGCTCAGACTGACTTTAGGCTCCCTTTAGTTAAAACCGACATTAGTGAAGCTAAGATATCCCATAGTGGTGACCGCTATAGGGCTAAAAACTCTTGAAAATTATACAGTTTCATATTTTACAATAAAACTTAAATATTTAAATCTATTTGATTATTCATAAATAAGTTTGTAGACATTCTCTGGTTTTAAATATTTATTTAGTACGAGCCATGCCATTTGCGACCAACCTTGACAATTTTAGCACTTACTGTATGGTCTGTACCGGTATCTTCATGTTTCTTGTATATATCAGGTTTGGCAATGGAAGCAATGTTGTTTACTGGTCCAGTACATGAACTGGTCCAGTACATGTTTGTGGAAAAATACTGAAAGGTTGAAAGGCAAGCGTGGTGACCACAACACCACAAGTTCTAGCTGGTTTTTAGACTGCTCCAGGAAAGGGTGGGGCATGTGGCATATATCACTTTTTGCATCTGTTACTGGTGTTTATGATGCGTTGTGTACTAATGGTATATTATGTGTAGTACATATATATTCAGTATCCCAAATCCATCTAATTTTAAGAGCTGCCTTATAAATACTAAGTAATTTGCTTTGTTCTGCATAGGATGTGACTATGTTATTGATAAGTCTAATGAAGATTTATGGAGTAGTGCAGAAAAGTTTTCTCCCAATGGATATCATGCTATCTTTGATGCAAATGGTGTTGCCACTTTGAACGATAGTTATGTTCACATGGCACCAATGGGAAGACTAATTGTATACGGTTGGTAATTCTATTTGAAGAAAGTTCTTTTGTATATCATTTTGAATAATATATGAATAAGTCTGCAATATATCAAAGTGCACATCCACAAATTCATGATATGTTTGCTGGAGGCTCATGTGAATTCGAATGACATTGAAGCCAGTCATTTGTTGCAAGATGTGGTTGAATTTATCCACACTTACATTGCAGGAACATAATTATCTGTATAGTCCTTCCATCTCACATCAAGCTTATATAAATGATAATGTAAATTATATTTTAAAAGAACTGTAATCACGCTAAATTATCCAGGTGTTAGCTACAGTCAAACGTGTGGCGTTATACGCCGTTTTCCAAATTGGCATAGATAAGAAATGTCTTAGTTAATGTTGTGGGCTAACTGAATTTTCCAATTTTATTAAATTGCTGGGGGGTGATAACCCCCTGTTATCATACCCCACACAAAATGCTAATGCCTGGATGAATATCAGGATTTTTGGGCATCTCACTCTATATATATTATTAATTAATTTTTGAAGGGAGTTGTAGCAAATGTGACTATTGGCCCTCTGGGTTATTGAAAAAGTGCTTCATGCATCGTTTTTTATAATAATAAAAAAAACATTGTGAAGATCGTTATTCACCACAATAATTATTACATTTTCGACTCAGAGAAAATTGATTAACACCACTTGCCCCTAACTACAGATGCTTTGTAGACTAGAGCTGTGTGCAGGAGCCAGAGTACCAGAGCTCCGGCATATTTTGCCAGAGCTGGAGTTGGAAAACTCCGGCAAAAACTCCGGCAGACAAAATTATGAAAAATTATTTCATATTTCAATGAGCTTTTGGTAATGGAAAAATTAATTTGAATGATTTGATGTTACTATAAAGTTTAATTACTTGCTCCGATCCGATTTGTGGCTTCGAAAATTCTGCAAGCGCATTGCTATCACTTTTGATATAAAAATCCACTGACCCTGATGTATTTTGGGCGAAAATACCATGCTGCCATGCGGTTTTACTTTCTACAAAACATTGTTTAAACAAGCACCAAAGCACATATATTTGATAAGTAGAGGAGAAAGCTCAAAAAGGAATAAAATAAATTCTGAAATTACACTGAAATACTTCGCCTGCTTCTACTTTTAAATATGAAATTTCCTTAAAATTTCCTTGCCGGACCCGGACCCGGAGTTTTGACTGCCAGACCCGGAGCCGGAGCTAAAATAACCGGAGTTTGCACAGCTCTATAATGTAGACTGCAAGCAATCCCTAGATGCTTTGCAACGTTTGTGAATAAGACATGACTTTATAGTTTCAACATGAGTCAATTTTATTTCAGGTTTCCACACCATGCTTCCTAGATCAAATGAAACAGGTTCTGGAGCTATACAATGGTGGCAGTGGTTAAAGATTGCTTGGAATTATTTCTGGACTCCTCGTTTTAATCCACTAAAGGTACTAATTGTACTGTTAGTTGTGCTAGGATCAGTGAGATCCATATATATCTGGGGCGAGAACTCAAGCTAATGATGGCGGAAATTGAAGAGGTATTCATTGAAATATAACATGTGTGTCTCGACCTCCAGACATGTGTGTCTGGGGGTCAGATTTGACTTCAACAAAAAGATGTAGGCAGTTTTTCTGAAGGTAGCATTCCCGTTATGTTCATTTCGATGATTGTACATCAATTTACGCCATGTTGGCTTCACTTATTTCATAGGCCGAATGACTAAAGTTCTTGCTCCAGATATATATATATATATATATCACTGGCTAGGATTTGGCACAATGTTACTGCTGTTGGTTGCATTGCAATTGATTGTTGAGGCTTTTGTTTTTGCTATTACCAAAACCTGGTATGTGACATATGTTTAGGCGGCATTGCCAAACAATGTTACGTTTCTAACATAATGATTTTCTTTTCTCAAATAACAATATTATTGGCAAAAACACACATCTAAATGTTGGCCATCTCGACAGAACACATCTAAATTATTATAACAGCACCCAAATTGCAACTATAGCTCTAGGCTCTATAGACAGGAATTGACAAATTAAAATGTATACACAGGGCCGCCGAGAGGGGGGGGGGGCAGGGGGGGAAATTGCCCCAGGCCCACAGGTTCTGGGGATCCCTAGAAATTTTTTGTTGGGCCTCAGTCATTTTTTTGGAAGAAATATTTCTGCGCAAAGGGCAAGATATTTGTTTTTTTGTTGCCTGGAAAAATTTTTTTGCGGAAAATTTTGTGAAATAGGGGCCCCTAAAAAAAATTTGCCCGGGCCCCCGCCAAACTCTCGGCGGCCCTGTGTATACACCTCCCCTTTTTGCGTCTTTGTTGAGCCTTAATCATTTTTTGTTTTAGGTTCTTGCGTATACTGCATATGTATATATAGTTCTCACATTTTACAAATCGAAAATATGTCTCAGAGTTGATCTAGGATACGTCTTTCCTGAAACATATAGGGTGACGTGATCAGCTAACGCACATGTTTCAGTTGCCGCCCAATTCACATTCGAGATTTTAAAGATCTACGACGCAGCCGGCTCAATGACGCGGACGGGTCTGAATTTCAGCTCGAGAATGAGCGCTATAAGCAATTTGAGTACTGTAATAAAAGTTTGAAGCTTTTTCAAATAACCTTACAATCAATGTTTACTGTAATTTCGACTTTAAGTAATACCTCTTGGGTCGCAATAAGCTTTCACGTTGCTTAAAATGAAAAAGCCGTTGAGAATACCCTTGTTTTTGTCTTACATGTCAAATTTCTTTGTTTTGAAAGCGCGTCGTTCAGTCTGCCGCGTCGTAGATCTTAAGCTCTCTACTACCATGTATATACAGTAGCTCACATGTTTAATTACCAGGCACCGCTCGTTATTTATAATGTAAGCATAAATTTGAAACAAAGCATTTAAATTCAAGTTGGCAAACTACAATGGGCATAAGATGCCTTATAGGTGGTTAGGTGTGTTTACCAACACCATTACTCTTTCTTTTCATTTTAGATGACCTCCTCCAATAAAAGTATAATGGCTTTCAACTTGAGCTTTCTTTTCGGTCAAGCAGATATATTAGCCGAAGCCATGCAACAGTTACTGTCTTGGGTAGAAGATGGTTCTCTAACTGTTTGTAAAGTACAGGAATATCCTCTAAAAGATGCAGGTAAAGCTCACAGTGACTTGGAGTCAGGTAAAACCGTTGGAAAACTTGTTCTAACGTCTGAACAATTTGAACTACAGCATCATTCAGAGAATTGATTTGAAAACTACTATATAAAAACGACTTTGCCTTTGGCTTTAAAATTGAGAAAGTAATTACGAAATATAGAACAAGTATAGATATTATGTACTATATATTTAAAACATGCGTAGGAGTGTTTTATCGTATTTAAAATGCGAGTGCGCAGCACGAGCATTTTAGATATGATAAAACACAACTACAAGTGTTTTGAATAGCTTCAAATTAGTATTCTTTATATAAAGAACACTAATTAGGATGGATTTTTATATAGAATACTAATGAAGATGAGTTTTATCAGGTATAAAGCCTCTTCGCGTGACATATTATGGTTGTCATGATTTGCCAATAAGCTTATGAATTAGTATTAATGAGTGTTTAAAATGTGTTATATAAAACATATATTAATAAATATATTATACCAGCAAATTGATATAATTTATGTGATTAATAGCCACCCCCTTTTGAAGCTGTTGAACATCCAAAACATACATGTCAATTACGAAAAGCATACCTGCTGTTATGATTATTGCATATTCATGGCGTGGCATTATCCACATGGGGCCCAGTCATCATTTATGGCGGCGGGTGGCACCGAAGAGAAAAGGGTTGGGTAAACGAAATTTTGAGTAAGTAAAAGGTTGGGTAAATGAAAAACAAAACAACTCAAAGGTTGGGTAATAAAAAAATTATTGTCATTTCCAAAGCATGACTCATTGAAATATTGGAGACTGAAAAGGAATGTCAACAGTCATATGTCAATACAATATGTAAATCGATTAGAGTCGCTATCTTGATCATTTTCAATTTGTTGGGAGACAAATGGTGTCTCCAAAGAAAGTACATGTGCAGACAACATGAAAATTTAGACTGCAGAAAAGCCACAAAATCCACAAGCCGTTATCAAACTCGTGTCACACTTACATGTGTGACAACTGAATGGTATATCCTTTTGTAAAGTTTTTGGCTAGGAGTGGGTATTTATTTTTTAATTGATATTTGAGGTTGGGTAATCAAATTTTTTACTTTAATGGTTGGGTCAGCAACATTTTTACCACGAAAAACATTTCTCTTCGGTGCCACCCGCCATAAATAATGACCGTTCCTTAAAGGCAATGCTTTGCATGCATGGATCACTTTAAAACAATTGAAAATAATTTTTAATGATAAATATTACTAAAACATAGTTTCTTATTTTTCAATACTTGTTAAAGAGGGCTTCAAATTTCTTCTTAAGAAGAAACTAATAGATCAAAATATTAAATAGGACTGCATGACGTTTACACGGTTTACAGAGAAGTTTTCATGCGAGTCCAAAAATATATCAGTTTTTTTTTGCTAAATTTCGTGTTTTTACCTAGACCAATAGTATTTAGGATTAGATGGTTCAGATTCTTGTCTCCACTATCCATCTTACGTATTGAGCTAAGAGAGCCACAGCTACTCCAGTCTCGTGATTCAAGCAGCCATCTTCGAACAAGTTTTCAGCATATTGTAGTTTTCTTGATGTTCCTGAGTTTTGTTTTCCAGAGACCTTACCAAGAAAGATTAGTAAACAACTCATTTGAATGCATGAAAGAGAGCCGAGTTTATAGGGACAACGCTGTGAGCATTGGGGCGACTCGTGTACAATTAGGGTTTCTTGCAAGGAAATTTTACCACTGCGCGAAAACTGAGTTATTAAGTAAAAAGATTGAAGAAACCTCATCTTATCACCTTCTATGCTGAAAGAGGCTGCAATTGTTTATTATATACCTTGAATATTAAAATGGACGAATGAGTGTGTTAATTAGAATTATTATATGGCTTTTCAAAATTCTCTATTCTGATTGGTTGACAAGCGGTCCGTAAAAACCCATATCCGGACCGTGGTCCGTATTTTCCGTATCTGGACCGGTGTCCCGGATGTCGTTTTATATCTGGCGGGAAATTTTTGCTTTGCAAACAGAAAAAAAATTGCTTTTTAATTTTCCAATTGTGTGTCATTAAAATTTACAGATAAAAATTTCAAACAACCAAATTGTTTTTAATTGAGCATGCATGCCTACCGTATATTGTTACCCAGTGAAACTGACGATTTAATTCGCGCGAAAAGCATATGCTCACAGACTCAGTTCAGCCATATAATAAACCGATTATTGACCTCGCTTGTTCGGTATGTACTTTGAAATATCAGACCTCTGTTTTTTGCATGGACGTCGCTCGTTCCATACTAAAAAACCTCGGTCTGATATTTCACAGTACAGACCGAACAAGCGAGGTCAATAAGCCGTTAGTACTGAACGGCTACTAAGCGGTGGTAACAGGGGAGTTGTAGGGGTTCCTGTAGAGACTGCATGACCTGTCCGTGCATGCGTGCTGCGAGAATCTGCGGAGGAAGCAGCGCTCTGCCAAATATTAAAATTTCACCACAGAGTTGGCTGCGCAGGAAGCTAAAAATAATTTAATTTCTTTCCTCGCTACATGCTGAAAATAATATGACGAATGAAATTTTTTTCGGGGGCTTTACAATATTAGGGTAAGCACAGACAGGTAATTTTATTTTGAATTTTAAAATCTTGACATGCATGGGATGTGTTGTGCTTGGGCTCGATTTGCGCGTATAACATATTAGTGAGGCAGATAGAGGACCAAAATTATGGAAAACTTACCATGTCGTGGGACAATTCCTTTTGCCTTCATATTGTGCCCTGATGGCTAACAAATACGTTTCTGTATGTTGGCCGCGTTAAAATTTCTTGTGGGCTCCTGCATGCCGACATGTTTTTCTTCGAATTTTGTATTAAACTTTATTACAGTTAAAAAAATGTGAAATTTCTGATGCATTTCTAATACAAATGACTTGCATCAATAGAAAGCTAACAAAAAACTACATATGAAACATTTAAACGGTTAGTTGGGATTTTCAAGCGGTTTTCGAGTTATTGCCGTTTCAAATGTGAAAAATAAGCCAAAATCTCGCAAAAGTCCTGGGTACTAGTCTGAAAACACGCATTCAACAGCTCGTAGGAGTCATAGCTCAAGAAGAACTTATATGTAGTTTTTTGCAAGCTTTCAAATGATGTAAGTCATTTGTGTTAGAAATGTATTGGAAATTTCACATTTTTTAACTGTATATAATAGAGTTTAGTACAACATTCGAAGAAAAACGTGTCGGCAGGAGCCCACAAGAAATTTCAACACGGCCAACATACAGAAACGTATTAACTAGCCTTCAGGGCACAATATGAAGGCGAAATGGAATTGTCCCACGATAACGTAAGTTTTTTCCTTCTATCTGCCCTACTATATCTGTAATGTCTTTAGATGATTTAAAATACCTTTGTTCCAAAACATCCAATATCTATCTGCCATCCAAGAATCATATCAAAATACCTCTCATTCAAGAAATCTTCGTAACTCGCTAAACTACACACTAGAGTTTGCTCCACAAACAAATCTTTTTCAATTTCCAATAAATTGCTATCATGCCACAACTCATCTGCAGTTTGCAAAATATTTTCACATAATTCATGAAGAAAATCGTGTACACTGCTGTTCAAACCAGATTCTTGAAACTTCTTATTGAACGTATTTTCACAACCTTCTCCCAGTCCAAAAAGGAAATATAGGACTTGATGTGTGGGTGTGTAGCCATCAGCATCTTTCTGAATCTCAAATTGCCAACAGAAATCCGTTATGTTGCATGTACTGTGTCGATCTTTATCTTCTAACAAAAGAGATATACAATGATCGGACGTCGGGCCGTCAAATATGAGGTTTTTCAAAGGTTTTTTAAATTTTTTTCGATTAAGTTTTTGAAATGGACGGAATAACTGCCAGGGTTTTGAAACGATCTTCTGAAACATTTGAAACGCTTGCGTATTACCATCACGAACAATTGGCGAGGATTTCATGGAAATATTTTTAGCATTTATATACATTTTTCTGATTTGAGGGATAAGTTTCGTTTTTCCATTCTCTAATTTCCCATCTGCATTGTTGTTGTCGATTAAAATTTTTCGTAATATTCCTTCAGTAACTCGCACTCCTAAGAGGGAATCAATATTTATCGTATCATAGTTATGCTTATAATAATATAACACCTTTTCTAATGCGAAAACGGCTCGTTCCATAAGCCGTCTATTGCTATTTCCATTGATGATGAAGGCTTGTGTATTTGAGTGAAAGGCAAGGTTGTCAAATGCTATGGCAAGGAGTACAATATGAATGAATTTCACTGTATTCCTGTTGCACATCTTCATAATTTATTTGAATTTGAACCAAGTATTGCTGCCCAAGCCGCAAAAGACAATCAACGTTTCTAAGATACCTGTCTGTTTGCAGTGTTTGGGAGCTTATATATCAAGAGATAAGTCGTATAATTATGTAGTCATAATTATGTGGGAGTAATCCATGCTGTGTTCACTTGCTGATTATTTCCGTATGTCAATACCTGTGGAAGACGCACCGTGTACCGTGGGAGTAGACGCATGCTGTGCTGGAAATATTTCCGCCGAGTTATTTCTGTTCAATGGGAAATTATTTTAACACAAAAGTGGGACATGTAATTTTGGGCAACTTTCCTGTAAGATTTAAAAAAATTCATAGCACACGAACCGAGCTTGCAAAAAATGCATAATTAATAAGTAATCATTGCCATAAATGGGTGCATTAACTATTGTTTGAAAATATGATTTAATAAGTGCATGTACCGTGGTAGTCTGGGTCAGGCACAGGTTTTTCCACGCTCGCAGAAAAAGCATTTCTGACCTCTGGCACCCAGGGTAGTAGTATACAGGTGATTGGAACTAAAAATACATCCTTATTAATGATTTTATTATTGCAAAATAGTTGACATAATGTTAATTTTATAATTCTTCCGCGTCACTTGCATGCAGATTATAAAAATATATTCATTTTCTCGTTCTTTCTAATTTTCTTTTGCAACCCCCTTTCACGGCTTTCACAGTTGTTTTTTTAAAGTTAGAGATAAATACCGAGTAACCCTGAGGGCGTGAAGCGTGCGAGCATAAAACTCGATGTTCCGCATGGACCGGACTTGCTCGATTTGTGACTTATTTACAATTGAGGAGATATTCCAATTGTGTTTTGCCTATTTCATTCACCGTGGACAACGATTTTGCGATATTTATTTCATTTCTTATCTATAAATATGAATATAAGTGATATTCATAGCCTAAGGGCTGTATTACTATATATATATAGGGCTGTATGCCGCCCGTGGTCTGCATTTGTTCTAGCCCTTGACTTAATAAGTTCATTGCCTGCAATATATCCGGCAACGTATATATACAAGTAATTTTATGAGAATGTTAATTAATATAGTGTGGCAGATCCTATTTTTAGAGGGACACATTGATATTATAGATACATATATTATAGCGGAAGATATATTTAGTATATTTTCGACTCGTTTTCATATTCGCGATTGCATAACAACTATAACAGTATTTAAGGTAATATTCAAAAATGTGAAAGTTTCTTATAGGTTTAACTATATCCGATGATTATCATATTATATATATATATATATATATATATATATATATATATATATATATATATATATATATATATATATATATATATATATATATATATATATATATCACGTGACATTTAGTATTTATACATTTTTTTGCTTGGGACTATATAATAAACACAACATTACACGGTGGCTTGAAGATATGACTTTTATCATGAGGGTTCGTACGGGTCCTGGAAAACCTGCATGGAAAGTCATGGAATTTCAATATTCCAAAATCCAGGCCTGGAAATCCTGGAAAATCAATTTTAGTCATGGAAAGTCATGGAAAATTGAAATTTTACATAACATTAACAAAGTATTTTACTTATTTCAATTTACCAGTCATAACAATAATATGAATTGTTTTTAATTGTTATATAACGGATTTTTGCAACAGCGAAGTGAATTTGTTATATAATGGATTTTTGCCAGATGGAGCAAAGTGAATTTTGTTCTTTTATTATATCTGTTATCGTTAAAATATTATTAACGATATTCAGAAATTCCAGACTTCCAGGTCATGGATTTTGAAAAAAATGGTCATGGGAATTCATGGAAAAGTCATGGAACCTTAAATCGGAGATGGTACTGATGGTGTACGAACCCTGTTTTATCTTCTCATGATAAAAAACCATATTGTTTTCACCATATTGTTTTTTGTTTATATATATATATATATATATATATATATATATATATATATATATATATATATATATATATATATATATATATATATATATATATATATATACAGGGTGTATAAAAAAAACGGAGTCCAACTTTTGTGCTTAATAACTTTCGGACTGCTACTTCTAATAAAACGGTTTTAGGCTTATTTTAAAGCCTGTTCATTTGTCTTTCGAACAAATGGTCATCCGTGTCTTTAGTGCAAGTTATAACCATCGAATCGGGCCGTAATGTAAATATAAATAGCAAGTTGACGGCAAGCTAAAACACGCTTCAGCCGGGATTATAACGCATTTGAAGTCAGCAAGTGAATTTAAAATAGTGTATTGGAAGCCATTATTACTTGATTTTTACAAGCAATTGCCAAAATGCCTCAATTTGCTCGTTTTGTTGACAAAATAAGTTATTTTCATCAAGTACCGGTTTGTTATTGCATCTCAAATTTTTGACTCTCCAATCGCAATCACCTAAAATATTATTATTCACGAACTTCTGGATTATATTTGCGAAACAACCCACCGTTGAAAAGCTGAATGTCTACGCTTTAAAATGAATGTAAACCTGAACGTTTTGCTTTAATATTCGTTTCGAAATTTATATTTGAAGCGAGGACTCCGTTTTTTATGATACACCCTGTATATATATATATATATATATATATATATATATATATATATATATATATATATATATATATATATATATATTTATATATATATATATATATATATATATATATATATATATATATATATATAATTTTTTTAGCTACATGTATATATACAGCCCACTCATTCATGAAGGGAACTATGCGTGCATGTGTCATTAATTTGAAATATTTCCAATTAACATATTGATGGTTTTTGCGGCTTCAGTTTTGAGTAATTTCGTCCGGCTAATACAATGCGTTTACTGCTATTGTTCAGTAGGATAAATTTGACCCCAGAATAGTTAAAAGTAATTATTATGTTCTGTTTCCATGGTTTTAACATATGATTGAAAAAATGCTGTATTATTATGGATATACTACTATATATACTATAGTTAGTAAGTATAAACATATAATAGCTACAGCATTTTCTGCATTTTTTAATCAGATATTTAAAATCATGGAAACGGAGCATATTAATTACTCCAATTATATAAATGAAATATTAATATAAGAGCAAAAATGTTTTCATGAGTTATCATGCGAAAACGTGTGGAAAGTAGAGCACCAAGTCCAAGTGACAACTCGTTAGTTATTTTGTTCGATAATTAATTTCTGATGTAAAACCTGGCAAGAATGATTTGTCAGTTTAGCACATGTTCAAACAAAGCTTGTTAAATATTGTACTTTCTTTAATGATTTCAATCAGTAAGTAAAGAATAATTCAAACCAAGGAAGAGTCTTGGCTGATGAAAGTCAATTGACCAACAAGGATAACAGCATGTTTTGCAAATTTGTTTTTGTTGTGTTATCTGGGTTGATTTTTCAGTCAACACATGGAAATAGTCGAACGTTGGAAGTGTATATCGATCGAACAGTTAAATCCTTAGAAAACGTTGTTGATTTCTACATGAACAATGTTGACAAATTGAATTTGGATTCTATCTATGGATTACGTGTTGCTCAGGGTAGTCTAGCTAACATACTAAAGACGTTATCAGTTCATAATTCTCTTTTTCAAAAATTGACTTCCTTACATAACACGATGAAGAATGCAGCAGAAAAAGCACTTCCCTATCTGAAGGAATACAAACCCGACTACTATAATCAGTTTAAACCTATTGTAGACAAACCATGGACAATTTTTCAGAAATTTAGGAGAATGGAAAATAAAGCCGGAATTTCAAACTTGCAGCATTTCGAACATTTTCACGAGACGATTTCAGATAAATGTATGACTGAGATTACTGGAACGAACCCTCATTTCAAGCGTCCTTGCCACGTCTCGTTGGATTGTCTGGAGCTAATGACAAGCAATAAGCTGAGGGGTTATGGAAATACGCATCAGATATTATACTTTCTTCTTGGATTCCAAACTGGATGTCGCCATATTGTTGAGAGAGAATTTCAGAAATTTCGTGGGCATCGTCAGAAAAACGACATCTCGAATGTGGATCAATTTTTAGAGAAGAAATGTGAGCAGATCTTTGTAGAAATGAGTGCACTAAAAGAAAACGTGTTAGCAAATCGTGATGCTGATTTATTCATGGAGCAAGGTTTAATTTGTGGCATTCTTGGATATGAAGATTTTCTGGATCGTACGATTCTTGAAAATATCTTCCTCTGGCAAGACAAGGAACATGGATGCTTTGGAAAGGAATATTCTGACATTCAGGTAAAATACATTACATTTATTTACGATTGCGTAATCGTATACTATTGAAGAATGAAAGTGTCCACTGTTGACATGAGCAAACACTAATCACTAAACCGGACTAATCACGGGCCGATCGTTTGACTTATGGAACAGGGCCTTGTTTAACTATATAATTGAGGGGGGGGGGGGTGTCAAAGCCCCCCCCCCCCCCCCCCCC